ATTTTCAAAATGTCAAAATTTATTTTGGTTCTTCCTGCAAGCGGAGCAGTTTAGACGTCTCTATACATAAACCTTCTCGTCAGATTTCCGCTTCCCTTTTGTAGTATTATCACTCTTCGTCGTGGATTCGTCGGCAGTGCATGGTCATGCTGGACAGGGAGATATCGGTAGCCATTTTACGGCTGATGTTGTAGGAACTTGGGCGAGAGGTGAGTAAAAACCAAGCTTTATCGAGTGAATACTTCTATCACTGAATAGCTTTGTTTTGGTTTGTTACACACGCATGCTGCATGTACAGAGCATTCGATTTATCAACCTGCAGTCAAGTACAGACCCAGGGAAGCTTCTCTTTTACTTGCCCAATGATCGTGCATAACATTTTATGTGAAACTCGTAAAAAGAAATGCAATGGTAGATTTAAGAAACTATGTGATGGTCAGGAATCAGGATACACATGGCATTCTCTACCTGGATGAATACTTGTGACAATTTTAATATAGAAATACTGCGCTGTTTTCCGTGTGCGTTTTGTCCAGACCTGGAGACCACATCAGCTGTGTTTTCAAGTTTAATTTGCGGTACAGTAGTGGCAAGAAAGCTGTCCATCATGCCAGCATCATCCGCAGCAGCAACAGCAGCAGCACCCCAGCCCACCGCCATAGTCAACTGCACTGCAGAGACACCTAAAAGATACAATGGTGGTTGGTGTGTTGTTGCGGTGAGAAGAGAACTGGAAGCTAGCAGAAAGCCTGAGTTAACTAGCCTCAAGCCGGTGTTGGCGACTTTCGGCCATGAAATTCTGGCCAACATGTCTCCGAATCTACCAAACTTTGAAAAGATAATTGAATCTGAGACACATGAGCATCCACCGTGTGTGTGCATGCACAGTGTGGGCATGTCAGTATGTGTGTGTGTATGTGTGTGTGCTGCCAAAGATGGCTCTCTCGTCGTGCCGATTGAATATGGTCCCTAATCTCTTGGCAGACTGCCGACTTTCTGCTGTCGCTTCCATGTTGTCGGTCCCGCAAGGGGACAGGTGACCGTAATGGCAGTGTTTACCAGGACCAGGTGTGTGTGTATGTGTGTGCGCATGCATGCATGCATTCCAGTGTGTGAATGTGCGTGCATGCGCAGTTCGTGCATGCCGTGTGTGTGCATGTGCAGTTTGTGCATGCCAATGAGTGCGTGCGCACCCGTATATTGGTGCTTGCATGTACGCATGCGTAACTGCTGACACCCAAAGTTGGCAAAGAGAAGCGAGACAGAAAGAGAGAGGGATTTAGAACAGTTTAATTCGGTGTGCATTGTCAATTCTGTGATACTCGCCACAATCGGCCAAATCTGTAATTGGATTCTCAGTGTTGGTGGTGCATATACGTTGTCATGCTTCCTCTTGACATGAGACATACTGAAAGCGGTGATGTTCTCTTACACTGAAGAAGAAAATAAGAGAAATTCCTTGACTTTATAATAATGTGGTCGTCATTAAAAAACAATAATGTTTTAGAAACAAAGGGTCCCTCAAAAAGTCAGTGGCATATCATCTTACACCGAGAAAATTCACAGGTAGCACCTATATGGAAAGGACAATGGTTACGAGAAGTTTTTTCGTGGGTCGAACCAAGTGGCTTTGATTACTGAGGCTGAGCTATTTTCCTCGATAAATTACATCAAAAGTCACGTCACTATCCGCGCGTGAATCGGGCCTCTAGTCATACATCGCAACACTGCGATAACGCCTACCGATAAATTAGGTGTCCTCCTACTAGTAAACGAGCAGACCACTGCAAATATCTCTGTATACACGTTCTGATGGACGCTTTCTCCCAAAAAATACTCAAGGCTACTCTAAATTGCATTTGACGACGCTGAGGTACTCAAGGCACTGCAAAAATTTTGCGCGAGGCGAGCATGGATAATCAAGATTAACGGCGTTTCCACTCCCGGTATTTGACGACTCCCTGGTACCGTAGTACCGTACTTTTTGACAGGCCATGCATGCCTGGAATTTGAAATCTAGCAAACACAGTGCTTCAGCCAGGAGTCGTCCTGGCGTGAATTTGTCACCGAGAGATTTCGTTTTGACCCCAATGGCTGGCAGGAAAGAGCTCTATGCTAGCACGAAGCTGGCCATTGTAAAGCTGAGTCAGAATGGTGAAAAATTTAGTTAGATTGCCAGGATTTTGGACCTGAACGAGCGTACGTGCCGTAGAGTCATTGCCAAACATCATGTCTATGGACGTGTTGAAAACTAGAAGTGTTCTGGCCGGCCCAGGGTGACCAGGGCCAGCTACGACCATCATCTAAAGATACTCCATATGGCAGATAGATTCAAAACCAGCCCGAAACTGAGAGCTGAGACGACCAAGCAGACGGATTCACGGGTGTCTGGACGAAAGGTGCGCAGGAGGCTGCAGAACGCAGGACAGAAGGGCTGCATCGCAGTGAAAAAGCCTTTCATGTAGGCCAAAAATTTGAAAAAACGACTAAAGTTTGACCAGGCCCACAGGAACTGGACAGTGGCAGATTGGAGTCATGTACTGTGGACTGATGAGTCAAAATTCAACTTCCACGCCTCTGATGGAGTGAGGTTTGTTCGCAGGAAGCCTGGAGAACGACACAGCCTGTATTGTTTGCGTGGTACTGTGAAGCATGGAGATGGAGATATCATGTATGGGGATGCATGTCGGCGACGCGCGTTGGACGGCTTTTCAAGGTCGAGGGCATCATGACAGCCAACCAATACATGGGCATTCTGCAAAATGTCATGCTGCCGTCCATGACTGACCATTTTGCTGATGAACAGGCTATTTTTCAGCAGGGCAATGACCCCAAACATACTGCCAAGGCACCCAAAGCATGGCGCGCGACGCAAGATTTGACGGTGATGGAGTGGCCACCACAGTCACCAGATTTGAATCCCATCGAGAATCTATGGAAAATGCTCAGCCAACACCGCCAGGGCAGCAGGAGGGCAATAAACGATGGGGAGCTCTTCACTGAGTGCAAGCAGGCATGATATTCAATTTCACTGGATATCTGCCGCCGCCTCGTCGAATGGATGCCGCGCCGCATGGCGGCTATGATCAAGAACAAAAGAGGCCCTGTGAATGTGTACAGGCTGACTCCAGAGAGTCTGGCCTTGGTTCTGTGGGGATTAGAACAGTTTAGATGAGAAATAGTGCACTCTACGCTGCCTATTGTAGATTGTGCAATATTGGCCAAAAGTGATGTCCGGCCGCACATTGCCATACTTAGGGATAGGGACACAGAAAATATACTTTTGTGAAATATTTTTGAATATTCTCCTCTAGACTTTGTATCTGCTCTAGAAAATGACAGGTGTACAGCTTGTTGTGCCATTTTGTTGAATATGACCGAGAAATCCACCTGCGGACAAGACTTTTGGCCACCACTGTACATGTAGGAGTCCAACGACGCCAAGGTGATTTCTGAGCATACCTTCCTCACAACACTCTGTCTCCCTAAACTGGGTGTGTTTTTCAACAGAATTGTTTAGCCGGTGGCCGCGGACTTCCTCCCATCAATCTTTCTCTGCTCGGTCCCCTGGTAGAATCCATGCCTGCTGAAATTCTGGTTCAAGCACACTGTAGCTTTTACCTGCCCTGACTACCTGCTACTGCAAACATGTACTTCGAAGTACACCGTATATGTTTAGCTACAGTACATAGTACTCATCACCTTTCTTGGCCTGAAACGACCTTCTTCCTCTGTCAGTCGGTGATCTCACTGCCTGAGTACATACCTATGTGACTATCGTTCTGCAGTACTTGCCTATTTGCGTGTTTCCACTGATCATCTACCCCAAATCATCACTGACTCCTAGTAATGGTAATACACTTTTAATTAAATGTCTTTTGTGCAGTTGTATAGCCGGTGGTGCATCGAAAAGTGACCTTTTTAGTTGGCTGAATTTCAAGTGAGATAGATAGAGAGGAATTAAGGGAGAAACAGAGAGACTCGAAAACAGATGGGGGGGGGGGAAAGAGCCTCGGAGAAAGAGAGAGAGAGAGAGAGAGAGAGGGGGGGGGGGGGTTGGTTGGTTGGTTTTTATTTCACTTCGCACATTCAAACGGGATGACGACCCAATAAAATGACGGCGAAGGCTTAGCCTAGAAGTGGCTATGGAAGAACATAGTAAAAGCTATGGAAGCACATAGTAAGAGAATAGGATACTAATAACTGCGAGTAAACGGGGGGGGGGGGGGGGAGAATACGATGTATCTGTGATACTACGTGAGGATTACTGAACTGCACGGGGGGGGGGGGGGGGGGGGGAGAGACAGGGACAGAGATAGAGAGATCAAGGCTGTATCAGCGTCAAGTCATTGTTATCTCCTCGCTACAGCACAAACATGATAATTATTGTCATCATAATTATACATGTAGGACTCTCAAAGCACAATTCCATTTCTATTTTATTTATACAAAGAGAATCTCGGTGCCTGGATACGGTAGGTTGTGACAGGGAGTACAATGTGCATGTCATGTACAGTAGTACTGCACGTGATGTATGTGACTAAATGCACACGTACATGTACATGTACAGTGTACATGACAATAGTCATGGGCATTTATGATTTACATGTAGATGGGAAAAGTTCATCCAATGGCCAAGTTTACTAGCCGCGGCGCTGCTACTTTTTTATTTTTTATTTTTTAATAATTCTACCAAGCATCAGAGGTACATTTACAGCGTACATAATCATTGTAGATGAGATCTCCAGTCAATCCTCCACATCTACATCAAGACTGACCGCATGCTTCAGACATTGTGTCACTATGGCTATGCAAATATGGTATGGTAGGTCGCATCACGTAACTCATTGCATGTGACACTGATAGCCAGTACTGAGTGGGTGCCATCACAGTCAGTATCGCTTCACCACTCAGTCATTGACCACGACCAACGACATGGGACAGCATTTTCGTCAATTTCCCGAATTTCCGAATCATTTCTGGGTCGAATAACTCACCCAGGCCAGGGACCCTGCTGCTTGAACGGAGCTGGTTTAGTGTAGCGGTGGTGAAGAGTTCCCGACAATATTCAACGCTGAAGTTTAGCGTCTGAACTGGTCAACCCTAACTGGTATGCAGGGAGTCGAGCTAATCGGAGAAGAAGAAGTGAAGCAGAGAACAGAGCGGCCTGACTAGAGGAAGGGGTTCTTCGAGGACGCCCAAGCAAGGTGGAGAAGGCGTTCGTGTGCGGCATGGCGTCCCATCCACACGTAAGCTGCAAGCAATTGTTTATAATGGCTAGAGCATGACCTAATTGAAATACTAGGTGTATTGCATGTGCAGGGGCGGGCGGTAACTAGTGCAAGCATATGCCAGTTATGGCGCTTGGTACGCCATCGGTCAGGCATCAGGTTGCTAGCCTCCATTCTACCTCTCTCTACTACTTTAGCTCAATCCCCTGCTCGCCAGAGAACAGTAAATGTTGTATGTGATATAATTTATGTATACGTTTCTGGTCGAGCTCCTCCGCCCAACTCGACGCGTCTTCTTCACCACCACAATCATAACGTCGGTGGTGTCTGAAAATGCAAGTGAGAAGCGTAAGCGGTCGCAAAAGCTTCTCCGTTCTCGTCATTCAGCGCGAGCGAGGTTTCAGCGATGCATCTCATGCATCTTGACTTTGAGCTTATTCATGAGCATTACGCGGCATATCAAAAGGCCAGGAGCTCTTGATCAGTCTTGAACCCGTTTTAGTTTCGTGATTCGTGCACGCGTGGATCATGGAGTACTCTACTCTCTACTCACTCTACACCAGTTCTAGATCTAGTCTTTTCGGTGTGGCTGTGCCTGTGGTGCATGCAGTGAAGGATGATGGCTAGCTGCAGGCCGCCGAGCACTCAGTACAAGACAGTAGATCTACGAGTACGAGCTCGTAATGCGACCAAGTCAAGTGGTCCATCAAATAAAAAAAGAAAGCCGGGTAGAACTGCGTGTTCATGTTGGCTTTGAAGTTTGTACAGGCCAGGAGCCGGGGATAGGAGTTCGGTGAAAACACGAGCGATAATGAGTTGCTGAGTTGTAATCAAAATTAACAATTGTTTGATTTCCCATTTTTCTTGACGCAGGAATCTGGCTTGGCCCCCAGTGGCCATAAACCGGTCCCGACGCAAAAGGCATCTCCGAGCCTGACGCAGCGGACATCAACTGAGAAGAGAAGCAGAAGAATAGCACCACCTGTGCCTCCACCGAAGAAGCCGCCTAGCGTTGAAGTCGGTGGTAGCACGTCGTCAAAAGTGACGAAATCGCCAGACGCAAATGTTCCATCCGCTGGCCCCGTCGCAGAGCTCGGGAAACTAGCACCTGGCCTCACCGTAGCGACAAAAAGTCCAAGGGTAAGGATTCGTTTTTATCTCGTGTAGATATAGCTTCCTGATGTCCACATGTCAGACACTGATACGAATACGTACTGTCAGTTTTGCATGAATACAGTACAGTTGATACTTGCAGCTATTTTTACTGATAATTTATTTATACTTTATAGTAGCAGCTGCTTCATGGATGCTGATGGACGCTGATGGGTCTTGAAACTGTTGCTTGTATCATGCAGCAGTAGGAAGTACTGATTCCCAGCCACAGCCACGTGGCCAAAGAAATCCGACTCACGTGCCGAAAGCAGCGCCAAGGCTCATGCGGCGGCCCTGCAGCCCTCGGATGGGCTCCTTGGACCGTTCATGTCATTAAAATGAAAACACGTCGCTACTTTGGACTCACGGGTCGTATTTCTTTGCGCTGCTTATATACTTTCGGAGAGTTTGAAATGACGCTACATTGTCAGGGTGACCGGACATTTTGTAGAATAATGCTCTACAAAATGTCCGGTATATTATTCATTTCATTTCGAACGCAAAGTACTTTTTTATTTTTTCACAATCATGTGGCGCAATTGCCGCTAGCCAGTCTAGGGTGGTGTGGGTGATTTGCCACTGTAGAGATCGTTTGCATGTTCACACGAGAACGAAGCGAGCGCATGCAGAGTGGTCACTGATTGTCGAGTTCGCCGGCACCCTGCGGAATTCCGTGTTTGTACCATTGACTCACTGCTTGTCCCGCATTTGCTTCTTCGCGGAATTGCAAGCTGAACGGGATTGCGGGGTGAATTTTCAACGATTGATGGTCAACTGCCCTTGTTCGAAAAGTTCCTTTACTTTATTTGGCGCATGGTGAGTTGGGCAGGTAGTCCACTTCAACGCCGCACATGCTAATCATTTGCATGAGGCGCTCCCTTGCACACATGGATTAAGTCAGCCATCAGCCGACACAACAGTTACGCTACCACTAAAAGTCGAAATAATCCCGACTACTTTGAAATGTTTATACGAGAGCATGTACTGGTACTACTACTTGTACTAGTACATGCTCTCGTATAAAACAGAAAGGCTCCAGGCCGTTCAAAAATAGAGTTCTTGATGGTCTCGTATGTAAAGAAGTGACCTCCGTAAAATGCATATCGTATCCGAAGCGGAGTCCAAGTTTCACGTCAGAAAGTCACCCCTTACAAGCTCTCTAGCACCTAATACTGTAAAGCGTGAAATTTTCGCGGGGTTTTTAGTTCGCGGGGTTTTTAGTTTCAGAATCCGGACAGGTTTGCGAGGTTTTAATTTTGCGATTGCAGAATTTGCTACTGTGGCATTCATGCTAAACCTTTTTTGGATCTCCTTTTCGCGATTTCCACGTGGTCGCGAATTTCGCAGAAATTAGACCATCGCAATAATTTCACGGTTTACAGTACCCGATTTTAACAAGTTACATACAGTGCGTGATTGCAGAAGCAAAGCTCAGCAGATGGGATGGGATGGAGCAGTGACGCATAGTCATTAGATATTCTGTTGTGATGGCGAGTTGTGTACTTTAGCAGTCATCGGAAAACGTTGCCATTGTAGCAGCCTAGTTTGGAGCCCACGTAAAAACTTGTTCCGATTGCCCATGTAAAAACTTGCTCCGGAGCACACGTAAAAACTTACCATGTGTACATTTTTTTTAAACGAAATAATCAATTATTATTTACTGCGGCAAAGAAACAGCAGCTACAAAGTGCAAGGTCACCCATGCACAAAACACGTACATGTGCATTGTACAATCATACGTAAAACTTGCTCCGATTGCCCATGTAAAAACTTGCTCCGGAGCACACGTATGAGTAACAACTTGCTCCGGACGGAGGACACGTAACTTGCTCCCTCCCTGTGCACATCTAACAACTTCTTCCGAGCACGCATATCAACTCACTCTGGAGCACACATGATAACTTCTGTGCACGTGTCTGTGTTGCCACACCTGCCGACATGTCAGTAGCCTGCCGATTTTTGAGGCCTGTCACGACCTGCCGACAATTGACCGTCTCCTGCCGACAACAGCCGTGAAAGTGTCCAAATTTGACCTTTGTGCAAGGTTTAGAAGTCATGGTCCAGAATTTTGGCTTTTACTGCTCATTACGAGTGTTTCCATAGCTCTCTCCTACAATGCAAACATCAGCTGTCTGGGGGAAATCGGCAAACTCAGCCTGAGCCGTGTGCACTGTAGAATCCCGCTGGTGGGTTTGTACAACGAAGCTTGGCGATGTTCGACCTTGGCCTAGGCTTATGCGCGGGTGGGTTTATCCGCTGGATTCTACGGTATATTGGGGATACTATGAAGGGGGGGGGGGGGGGTCCGGGGGCAAAGCCCCCGGATGATGCATTTTTATTTTTTCAGTCTACTGATATTTGGCTATAATGATGTGGCAACACTGACGTGTTTACAAGAGATTGCTCCTGAGACCACCCGATTACCTACACACACTGGAGAAACAAAGCAGTAACGTGTCCACCAGGAGACGTACACCAGGGAAGCATGCAGCAATGAACCCAGAGCACTAATACATTCAAGTTGCCACATTCCAACCACCGAGCCCCAGTGCAGCAGCACGAGCGGTATTGCACCTGCACAGGACTGTAAACCACGCGTGGTTGGTGAAGAATAAAAGAGCAGCTACACCACACCATGGAATAGATAGTCAGCGAATGATACCAGTGTAGAGTTTGTCCAGGCCGCATCCCAGTGTTTATACCTAGGCATATCTGAGACTGTTTAGCAGGATACAAGCGCCGTGTCTGACAAGCAAGCGCTGCTTAACAAGCTGCCGGAGATGGGATGTCTCATCGCCAAACACTGGTGTGGAGTATACATGTACCAGTAGCTGAGTCGAGTGCCCTGGCCTTGGCTAAGCTGAGTGTAGCTTTCAGCAGCTTACTGTCACCGATCAACACTTTCACTTTACCTGCTCTCCGTTTCCCCTCGTAACTATTGTTTTTTTGGCGTCTGCTATAACATCACACCGGGCACAGTGCAGCCTCTCAGTTCAGCAACTTAGCAGCTCTTCCTGCATGCATTCATTTGTATTGTGTCTGCCTATGTCGCCTTGCTGCCACTTTCACTACACAGTTTGCGCCGTGCGTTTCGCGTTTACCAGCATGTGTGGCCGGGCGCTGAATTCCCCACTTTCTCCCTCTCATGTACTTAATCATGTGTTTAAGGGAGAGTTGTTCACCATTTTCATGGAAACACGAAATTTCTAAACCACAGCAGATGTCTTGGTTGCTTGCTCACTTTCTGTTTGACGACCATTCCTCATTAGAATGAGGAATGGTTTATTAAACATCCAGATGGTTAGCTGTGCTCAGGCACGTCAAGGACAGTGTATACCTGATGTAACAGAGTTATGATATATCGTCTGTTGATGTTTCGGATATTTGTTTATACAGATACTATTTATTAGGGCTCAAACGGTTAGTCCGATTAACCGGTTGCAGACCGGTTACGAAGAATTAACGGTTAACCGATAAAGATAACGGTTACGCAGTAACTTTTCAGTCAATTATTCAAGTATCAGGTCGTTGCAAAGTATGCACTTTCGCAGGCTGTCGCACGAGTACGCAATTTCTGGGCTGTCAACTCGGTCATATCTGGTCTCTTGGTGTGAGAGTACATGTATGTATGAATGATCATGCAAGAGAATGTACAAGTGTGCGTTGTACTGAATAGGGTACATTTTTTGGATGAGTATAGTCAAATATACGGTTAAAAAAGAGTCCGCATGATTGCCGTGGCTTATAGATTATAACCGTTAAACCGACCGCTAGCTTAGCAGTTAACCGTTAGGGGTAAAACCGTGACCGTTTGAGCCCTACTATTTATGAAAGACGGAGATGTGTGATGCAAACGTTTGCTCGTTGGTTCTGTTTGTGTGTTGCAGCCGTCTCCAAAGAAACGACGGGCCCCGCAGCCACCATCTCAAGTTGCAACGGCACAATCCCTCTCATCTGCACCAGTCCCGCCAACATCACCTGCACCAGCACCACCCCTATCCCCCGCACCTCCACCACCCCTGTCGCCTGCACCAGCACCGCCAGCTGCTGCCACCAGTCGCAGTCCCAAGGAGCAGAGGTCACCGAAAGCCCCACTGAAGCCCCGTTCCATGAAAGTGTTGCCGGGTGGTATCAGCCTTCCCTTTCAGTCTAGACATTCAGTGACTGCTCCCTCTACTCCGTACCCCAGTGATAGCACTGCACCACCGCCTGGGCTGTTGGGAAGGAAGCGGTCTTCGTTGCCATCTATCCATGCCCAGGACAGCATAGGTAAGGCCTAGTCGCTGTTACGAGTACACTGAAATCTCTGCTTGGAGAACACCTCACAGTGCTGGCAAGAAAGACTGGCGTGTGTGTGCATGTGTGTGTGCATGTGTGTGTGTGTGTGTGTGTGTGCGTGTGTGTGCGTGTGTGTGAGAGAGTGTGAGAGAGAGAGAGAGCCCACACACACACATGTTTCTATGTGCACATGTCTGTGTGGGTATGCATGCCTCATATCGTTGTAACACTTCTCCCGAGATAGTGCGGTAGTTTGGCTGCACTTTACTGTACCCCTTTATTTCATACTGTACCGACGACAAGGTTTTGAGCTTAATTTCGTTTTAGACTATCGGGTAAGCAGGACTTCTGCCTTGTACTGTCTCTTGTGAACTTAACGAAAATAGGTTCCTATGTAAACGACAGGGAAATTTGACTTCTATCGAAAGCTACGGTTCACAACAATTCGTAATTCTGCTATAGGCCGTTGTTTCATTCTAATAATTGTGTTCAATTCTCTCATGTCTCTTTCACGCAGGTGATTTCCAACCGATAATTGACGAACCAGATGAGAACGTGTATTCTGAGCCAAGGAAATTGGACGACCTCCCTCCCTCGGTCACTTCGCCACTGTCCGCTCCCACCAGCCCACCACCCTCTGTTCCTCTCACTTCGCCGCCCGCAGCAACTGGATCCGCTCTTTACGAGGAAGTTGTACCCCGCGTCAAACGAAGTTCCGAGTCGATCCACCAAGCTACGCACAGTACGCAGAGCTACGAACTGGCTATGGATGCTGGTCAATACGACGAGCCAAAAACGAGTGCTGGTGAGGTGCTGGAGTATGCCGAGGCAGACACCGGCCCCCGCCCTTTGCTACGGAGCACCGTGTCGCCATGTTTGATCGGGAATCGTATATCGAGCCGCTCACCTGACGCTAATCGGAGATTTGGCGGCGCAAAGACGCCACCACCAGTGCTGCCCTACTCCCAGCACCTAGCCGACAAAGGATACACATCACCTCGGGAGTCGGTGTACGAGGTTACGGCGGATGGTGGGCAGGGAGAGCCAAGCCCCAGAGCAACTGAGTACACCCCACAGCAGCGGCGAGAGCCGTCCCAGGCAGGATATCATCCCGGCGGGAGTGACGTCGCCCCAGCTGGTGGTAGTGACACCGGCGAAGAGGGCGCCTATTCGTACAATTGCCTAGTTGATCAAAATTCCGCTCCACCCAAGCGCAGACCCGACGGCAACCAATACGACCGATTCTGGAGTCACGAGCGCCGAGTGTCCTCCAAGACTGAGACAGATCTTCTGCATTATGATCACATCCAGTTTAGTCGCAGTACCGACAGCGAGGACATTGAAGCGCACCCGGTTATTTCAACTGCAGCTTCGTGTGATGTCAGCGGTGTGCAGGAGCAAGTTCCGACCGTGCCATCGCTAGAAGATATAGAGCCTGCGATGGAAACCGTGGGTTCAAGCACTGCCATGGAGCCGAGAGACGTCTACGCTCACGTACAGCTCCGAGAGAAGCCGCCATCGACGTCCGACCATCCCGTCGGCCAGAGAAAAACACTCGTTACTCAGGACAGTGACACATCGATAGGGCCACCTCTAGACCCCTACCAGGGTACGCCAATGGTCGGCGAGAGTGTTCTGGAAGAGGATAGCGAGATCATGATCAATGGCAGTCATGACATGTACTCATCTGTGGATGAAATGCCGGCGGGATCACACGCAACTATTCCACTGCGGCAGCACGCAGTGGATAGCATTCAAATGAACCGTCGATCACGCAGTCTGGACGACGTGGCCGACATACGAGACCCTCCAGATAGCCAGCAAGATGGTGTGGCTAAGTTGCAGGAGCAACGGCAGCGTCGCGTACAGCAGCACTCTTATGAATATGTTGAGGTCAAACTCAAGCCCAAATCTAAGTCAGAGAAAGACAAGCAACGTGTTAACAGCGTCAGTGATGCACCTAGCACTGATCCAGAGGAGGAGCGGAAAGCGGCGGAGAAATGGAAGAATGAGGCGGAGAAGCTTCGCAAGCAACACTTGGAACGACACAACTACGACTATGTAGAGCCCATCAGACCTCGCCTGAAGTCGTTTGAAGCGCCCGCATCCGTCTCCCTGGAGCTAGTCAAGAGGCCGGACCAACCCACGATGCCTCTGCTGGCAGCTAGCTTGCAATCCGGAGAAGAGTTATCCTGGGATGACAGCGACCTGTCTGGGCTGATGTCGCCAGTATCAAGTACAAACAGCGCCAGAGCTACACCACAGGTAAGGACCCCAGCACACTGTGGTCTGTAGAGCGTGCAGCATGATTGTGTCATCGTTCTGAGAGGTGTGTAGATCGTCTACTACAGTGCTGGCAACTGAAATCCGACCCCCCCCCCCCCCTAGCGGTGCGCTAGCCGCGTTAGCGATTCGTACGAGACGCTAGGGGAGTCGGATTTCAGTTGCCAGCACTGTAGTACTACAGTAAGGTCAGTAATGGTAACGAACATTTAACTGGTGACAGTCAATTTTTTCTTCAGACTTTTCCCGTTTGTCTCTCTCCCTCAAACTAGTGAACATTTAACTCTAACGATTTAACGAAAAAATTCGTTAACATTTGAAGTCGTTATTATGTACTACTACTACTGAGTACTACAATGTCAACGATATGTACATGAACAGTCGTTTGCCAGTTTTTAGACAGAATTCGTTAGAATTTTACCTCGCTATATTAAACCTACACAAATCCGGAGATGGTTAACGTTTAATTGATGTTAAAATATCTGGTCTTACAGTAGCAGTGTGTATTCAATAGTGTAACACACACTAGTTTGGGGAGCAGTGGTTGGAGAGCAGTGGTTGGAGAGCAGTGGTTGGAGAGCAGTGGTTGGAGAGCAGTGGTTGGAGAGCAGTGGTTGGAGAGCAGTGGTTGGAGAGCAGTGGTTGGAGAGCAGTGGTTGGATAGCAGTGGTTGGAGAGCAGTGGTTGGAGAGCAGTGGTTGGAGAGCAGTGGTTGGAGAGCAGTGGTTGGAGAGCAGTGTAACACACACTAGTTTGGGGAGCAGTGGTTGGAGAGCAGTGTCACAAACACTGGTTTTCTATCCAGCATCATCGAGAGTCTACAAATCGGTTTTATCTAGAAGCCTTAAACATTTTCGCATATATAACATGCGAATGACATCATCAAAACTGATTTGTATTGAGTGGTAAACATGCAGTAGATGTGATCTAGTGCAGCAGTTATCCTTGTTATGCACATTCATATTATCTCGGCGGTTCCATGGCATTGGCGAAAGCCACGTTTTGTTTAGGGAGAGCTAATCAACTACTGGCGATATAATGCAAGCAGGCGAGAGCTATATGGGATCTCATCTTCCCGAGTACATTGAGCAGAATGATTAGCCTTTGGTTTGACTGCGGAGCACTCGCTTTACCAAACCCACTCGCACTGGTATCATCAAGTCATGTGGCCCATGAAACATCTCCAGCCCAGGATCATCAGAATTAACAGCAGATGTGAAAACCGTAGCCAACTCTCAGTGTTTAGTGCTTCTGGAGTGCATTCAACAAGCTCAGTCGGGATGTTGTCAGGTTCCCGTGCTCTTCCATTCCTATTCCTATTCTTGTTTTGCAGCCGGTGTGACCTCAGGTGTGATAATGCACTTTAGACAACTGTGGGGGATGGCAATCCTGCTGACACATGTCACTAGTGAACATTTTAGAGCCAGTAGTTCCCGCTTTGTTTTTCTCCATATCCGCTTTCTTCAAGCTGAAAGGAATGCTTGCACCACTCGCACTAGTTTCATGTTCCTAATTCACTGTCTGTCTACAGAAGCCTGTCCGCATGGGATCGTCACAGAAACTGGTGAAGTCGCCGCAAAAGAAACTACCACCGACGCCAGTCGACTCGGCGCCAAGCCAGTCGAATGGCCTGCCACCTGGTTGGGAAGAGTTCACAAACTCCCTCGGTACGTACTACTGGCACGCGGATAGCGGTGTCACGCAATGGGACAGACCCACGGCAGCGCCAACCAATGATACGCCGGAATCGGACCAGGTGAGAGATATAAACATCTTGCATTCCACACTGCCACAGAAAGGGGACAAGCTGGTGAACTTGGACTGCTTGCGTGCATGCATACATGCGTGTGTCTGTGTGTGTGTTTGTGTGTGTGTGTTTGTGTGTGTGTTGGTGGGTGCTTTTGTGTGCGTACCTGCGCACATGCGCTCACTGATCGCTTGTATCATGAAACTGGTCGAATTCATTCCATGTTCACAGCAGACTTGAACTTTGCTTCAAGGGAGTTCTGTTCATCAACCTTCCTCATTTCGTATTATACCGGTATGCTGCTTTTCTGGCTGTGTGACAGATGTATGCTGCGCCAAGTAGTCTACCGTACACACCTAGCTTGGTGGACGAGACGCTCAAGGAATTGACTCAAGCTAGTACACAGTAAGTCAGTTGCCTGTGCAGTGTACCCATGGATTTCTTTGATATGCATCTCTCTTCTTCTCTTCGCTCTCTCTCTCTCTCTCTCTCTCTCTCTCTCTCTCTCTCTCTCTCTCTCTCTCTCTCTCTCTCTCTCTCTCTCTCTCTCTCTCTCTCTCTCTCTCTCTCTCTCTCTCTCTCTCTCTCTCTCTCTCTCTCTCTCTCTCTCTCTCTCTCTCTCTCTCTCTCTCTCTCTCTCTCTCTCTCTCTCTCTCTCTCTCTCTCTCTCTCTCTCTCTCTCTCTCTCTCTCTCTCTCTCTCTCTCTCTCTCTCTCTCTCTCTCTCTCTCTCTCTCTTGCATATTTCACTGTTTTAATAAAAGTGTACATTGTATTTGACTATTTGAGTGGTGACCAATAATTTGTCATCGACTTTTTTCTTCTTCTTGATGATGATATTGTCAACGGGACAGTACTGTTTGTCAATATCGCGGACTCTTTTTATTTTTACAAACACTCTTACCTCTGGTGCTGCGGTACTGTGCAACAATATCGTGTCACTGATATTGTGAACAGGCGGCGAGGTGACAACAATTTTAAGATGGCAATAAACCGAATCAGCTGAAGCGACATGTTACGAAGGTTTTATTGAAATGTAAAGTGGTGTAAAGTGGTGATGGACAATGAAATAACTGTGATGGAAATGTAATGTGAAAAACAATAATAGGAACGATGAAAAATATAAACATTCATCGAACTAGCTTTCGCACAACGCTCATCAGGAAGCATCGTTGTACTAATTAACATATTGCAACACAGATTACTATAAAGGATCAATAGTGATAATTATTATAACACCTAAACAATGCCAAAAAAAGTATCACAATGTAAACGATACCGGGGTGTGTTCCAACGCATTCGTAAGCCTGACCTTTGTGTTCAAAAAGAGAGTGTTATCTTTTGAAATTGTTCAACCAGTAGAATGTTGTGTTTGTCTGGCCGTGTTGGGCTAGAAGTTTGTCACTAGTGTTGTTTCCTACTTGAATTTTGTCCCCTTGGAGTGTTTGATTGGTATCTCTAACGCCTGATGTTGTGATAATGATGGGTCTGCTGCACTGTGTGGTCACTGTGCCAGGCCAACGGTGGACCGAGCACGGAAGCAGCAGCGCTGGGCCAACTCTGGCAGCAGCAGTGTCTCACGTTCATCCCTGAGCTCGTCCGTGACGTCACCAGATCGGGTACGCTAGTAAACCCATTCACACTATATTGGCACTATTGTTTTCCGTTTTGCGAAATTTCAAAATCGTGGAAAATCTTGTTAACCCTTTGAGCACGCATGACGTATTAATACGTCACGTACAGTGTCACTGCACCCACGCATGACGTATTATTACGTCGTGAGTGTACATAGCGTACAAACGCGATTTGCATGAACCGCGTGAGTTCAAACTATCGTAACTCGGTCAATTCTTGGCCGATTCTCACGATCGAAATATGTATCTGCAAGAGAAAACTCTCAGCTTGCGATAGAAACAATCGCCGAAGCGATACGACCCCGGGTTGTTGAGATATGCGACTCGACACGGCAAATTCAAATCGATTTTTTTGCAAACTCTGCAGAACGCGTATTTTCCATTTTCGATCATTTTCGCGCTATCTGCTGCCATGGAAACTAGATTCAAATGATGGCAGCGGATCTGGGGAGTCCTCAAAAAAATTTTGAGCTCGATACGAGCAAGGAGAGTGAAATGGCAGCTGAGGATTTGATCTCCTGGCCGTGCTCAAGTCTGTCGAGCGCGTGCGTGAAGTTTGCCAGACTGTAGCATGGGCTTTTGGTGTCGCTCCGAGCTGAGCTTGGAACTATTTTGTTCCTCGCCTCAAGACCTTTGCAGGAAGCTCAAGATCGTGGAATTCGTCCAAAGAAAGGTAAAGTTATCGATCCTTGAACAGCTACTACTTTCATAGGAAAAACGCGATTTTTGCAGGTGCTGGCGTGGGGCGGCATTCAGGTAGCGTCGTGCTCAAAAGGTTAAGGCCATGGTAAAAAATATCTTTGATTCTCAAGTACGCGCGCATCGATTTTTGGTGGCGCACCGACGATTTTTTTTGTTTCTATGCATGCATATGCGTGCATGAAAACGGTCAATGCGAAAGGCATGAATCCGGGAGTAGTAAAATACCGGTATTTTTCTACTCCCTGGCCGGAATAATAAAATAATTATAAATTAATTATGAACCTGTGACGTACACATGTGTGACCCTATCTTTGGAAATAAAAAAATTGTGGGAATTAAAATAAAAAATCGCTCGCTCGCACCGATTTTCACAGGCTCATGACCTGAGAATCAACTTTATTTTTTACCATGGCCTAAATGTCGAAGAATGTCAGCTGTCGGGAAGTTCTTTCAGATCACACACAGTCTGCTTCCACCTTGGCCGTATTTGCTGCAATGAAACGTGTTGCTGAGCAACCGGTGCAATGGATGTTATGCAATTTCATTGGTCGGTCTAGCTGCTTCTGCCCCACCTCCACTGCTTCGGCTGCCATCAATATGTGCCTCGCTGCTGTTTATTGTTTATTGGCGTTTGCACGATGATGGTTTATGACTATCTGTAAAAAAACAAAAAACAAAAAGAATCCATCATCAGTTGAGATGCTTTGGCAAAGTCGCGTCGCAGCAAAACACTAGCGACCCGTGCTCTATACATAGCGCCTATATGCGGCTCAGCTGACTCATCATTCGTGTAAACTCTATAGGAGACAGAGCGATGGGAGATGCCTGTTTTTAGAAAGTAGTTATCGCAGTTTCCCAGACCATGCTGCATCGATATAATGATATGTTTGACTATGCAGAGAGACCACCCCCTATCAAAATAATAAATTCTACTACTACTACTACTACTACTACTACTACTACTACTACTACTACTACTACTACTACTACTACTACTACTACTACTACTACTACTACTACTACTACTACTACTACTACTACTACTACTACTACTACTACTACTACTACTACTACTACTACTACTACTACTACTACTACTACTACTACTACTACTACTACTACTACTACTACTACTACTACTACTACTACTACTACTACTACTACTACTACTACTACTACTACTACTACTACTACTACTACTACTACTACTACTACTACTACTACTACTACTACTACTACTACTACTACTACTACTACTACTACTACTACTACTACTACTACTACTACTACTACTACTACTACTACTACTACTACTACTACTACTACTACTACTACTACTACTACTACTACTACTACTACTACTACTACTACTACTACTACTACTACTACTACTACTACTACTACTACTACTACTACTACTACTACTACTACTACTACTACTACTACTACTACTACTACTACTACTACTACTACTACTACTACTACTACTACTACTACTACTACTACTACTACTACTACTACTACTACTACTACTACTACTACTACTACTACTACTACTACTACTACTACTACTACTACTACTACTACTACTACTACTACTACTACTACTACTACTACTACTACTACTACTACTACTACTACTACTACTACTACTACTACTACTACTACTACTACTACTACTACTACTACTACTACTACTACTACTACTACTACTACTACTACTACTACTACTACTACTACTACTACTACTACTACTACTACTACTACTACTACTACTACTACTACTACTACTACTACTACTACTACTACTACTACTACTACTACTACTACTACTACTACTACTACTACTACTACTACTACTACTACTACTACTACTACTACTACTACTACTACTACTACTACTACTACTACTACTACTACTACTACTACTACTACTACTACTACTACTACTACTACTACTACTACTACTACTACTACTACTACTACTACTACTACTACTACTACTACTACTACTACTACTACTACTACTACTACTACTACTACTACTACTACTACTACTACTACTACTACTACTACTACTACTACTACTACTACTACTACTACTACTACTACTACTACTACTACTACTACTACTACTACTACTACTACTACTACTACTACTACTACTACTACTACTACTACTACTACTACTACTACTACTACTACTACTACTACTACTACTACTACTACTACTACTACTACTACTACTACTACTACTACTACTACTACTACTACTACTACTACTACTACTACTACTACTACTACTACTACTACTACTACTACTACTACTACTACTACTACTACTACTACTACTACTACTACTACTACTACTACTACTACTACTACTACTACTACTACTACTACTACTACTACTACTACTACTACTACTACTACTACTACTACTACTACTACTACTACTACTACTACTACTACTACTACTACTACTACTACTACTACTACTACTACTACTACTACTACTACTACTACTACTACTACTACTACTACTACTACTACTACTACTACTACTACTACTACTACTACTACTACTACTACTACTACTACTACTACTACTACTACTACTACTACTACTACTACTACTACTACTACTACTACTACTACTACTACTACTACTACTACTACTACTACTACTACTACTACTACTACTACTACTACTACTACTACTACTACTACTACTACTACTACTACTACTACTACTACTACTACTACTACTACTACTACTACTACTACTACTACTACTACTACTACTACTACTACTACTACTACTACTACTACTACTACTACTACTACTACTACTACTACTACTACTACTACTACTACTACTACTACTACTACTACTACTACTACTACTACTACTACTACTACTACTACTACTACTACTACTACTACTACTACTACTACTACTACTACTACTACTACTACTACTACTACTACTACTACTACTACTACTACTACTACTACTACTACTACTACTACTACTACTACTACTACTACTACTACTACTACTACTACTACTACTACTACTACTACTACTACTACTACTACTACTACTACTACTACTACTACTACTACTACTACTACTACTACTACTACTACTACTACTACTACTACTACTACTACTACTACTACTACTACTACTACTACTACTACTACTACTACTACTACTACTACCACCCGTCTATGATGGCTGGCTTTCTCTTCACCGTGGATTGAAGGTCGCTAAAGACAGGCATGACTGTATTTGCATTTGTGTTGCCGACTGTTTCATCCCCGCAGGGTGTACACACATACTATGCAACGAGCATCGGCTACGTCGAGCTGGCGGAGCACGAGTTGACGCAGCGAACAGTGCACGGCGGCTGTGTAATGAACTGCATAGCACGGCTCGAGGAGATTGCGCGAGATGGCGCTGACGTGCCTGCAGACATTCGCCTGGAGGTGAGTTCATGATGCTCTACCGTAGCCAGTATTGCTCGCGCCTGACTTACAATACGGTGACTTTTCATGCAGGAAATATGTCCTTGTGCATTTCCACATCTTGCCAGAGTGTTAGTGATGGACTGAAGTATGTGTATTTAAAAAATTGTAAAAAAATCACCGAACTCCTATTTCCAAACTACCCATTCACTTGGTATTGGCGTCAGGCGTTTCTTCAATTCCCAGAAGTTGATGAGAACGCCCCTCTGCAGTACTGTCACAGGGTGTACTAGTACTAGCACATGTACATGATTTTAAATTGGTCTTTGAGGTGGACACGAGGCGCACGCGGGGTGATTCACGTGACATTGTGCTGTGGTTGAACTGTGCCTGTGATGCTGTAGGATTCAGAAGTCTACCTGAAGATTGTGTCCAACACTATTCAAGTTGTGGAGGTGCACACGCACACCGTGCTCCTGATGCAGTCGCTGCAGGGCATTCGCCTCTGGGGTGTGTCCAAAACAGATCCATAGTGAGTCTTGTTGCTGGTGTATATGTGTAACAGGGTTCTAGCGTGGACAGAAGGTGGTGGTGGTAGGGGTGTGGGGAAACAAACAGTGTACCTCTTTTTCTTTTCTTTTTCACGTTCCACTATTGCCTTGTCACACAAAATTCGACGAGCACCCAGAACGATTGATTTGTGACCGCATTCTCGTTGAGTGACCTGAATATATATATTTTTTAAATGAGCAGAGTGGTGCGCTATCAAGAGTAGGGAGCACACCATCAGAGTAAGGGGCATTGCCCCCCCCCCCCCCCCTTTGGCTAGAACCTTGTGTATTTATGTTGTTGTAGTGGTAGTTCGATGCTACCTTGTCTTTCATATCTGTAATGATTGACACTGAATCGTAAGTGTGATGGCAACCCGTGAAATGATGGCAATGCTTGGCCTAGAAATTGGCAAGCTAAAGTAAAGATAAGGAGCCGTCCGTAAAATTCAAATAAAAAAGGAAACCCGGAAAGTGGAAAGTTGGAACTGCTTGTCGGCCGCTAAAGCGGCAGGCAGGCTTTGAGATTTTCAGCACACTCCTCATGGCAAGCTTGCAGAGGTAGGGTTACAGGCTAGGTTGGAGCACCATTGGGTTAGCTTTGAACTCCAGCATGTAAACACTGCATGCCTAGCTTCAAGCTACAACACTGCATTCCATAATAATCATTTCATTTGACAATCGGGTGGGACCAAAATGCAGGGCTACTGCCACCTGCTATCTTGAATTAGTAGCAGCTAGAGACAGTCATCCAAGTAGCCCTTTATGCAGGAGGCCTTCCTTAATTTAATAAAAGGGTTTTGAAGTGTTCACCCCATCACTTGGCGTCAGGCTCCATTGTGTCGTATGACCTGTGTTCCCTCCACTAGTGCACTGTTAACATGTTGCCTCTGATTACTTATTGCTACTTCAAAGTTCAATGCTGATTATTGGTCACAGCTAACTTACTTGTGCAAGCATGTCCTTTCACTCACTGGATACTGCACTGCACTGCACTGGTACACTGTACTAGTTGTTGTGGCTGTGCATGTGGGTGTGAGTGTGTTTGCACTGAAATGCCCAAAGGTAAGTACCCGGGATATTTCAGCCTAGTGTTGGCATCTGTCTGGCTCCGTGAGCCACTAGAATTCTGATATTCCGTCATTCACATTCACGACACATGCGATCATGAATGACGTATCAGGCAGCTCTGGAGTACTCAGTGGAGCTCTGCAGGAGTTTTCGAAAGGGAGAGGCTTTGGCAATGGTGTTTTCAAGTGCGTGTGGACAGACTTGTTTGAGTGTGGTACAATCATTGTATCCGGCCTGGCACTCAGTTACATCTGCTGGACCTAGTCAGCTAGTGCATGTTCCAAAGCCATGTACATGTACTTACAAAAAAAATTAGTTTTAGTCGTGATACATACCACCAGACAGTGGCACCATGTAGCACCAGTTGTCGTGTTACTGTTAGGGTTCAACCTTCTTTTCACATACATGTACGGATGTACCGATGTATTGGGTTAGAAAAGTTGCCTGACGATTGAAAGACTCAAGAAACTCGGAGTAGCAACGGATTGTGTTTTCTTGGGGAGGACCGCTTCCAGTTCCATTGTGTACTAGCTCCAGTGCACCCCATGCCCAGCGCTGTTGAGCCCTCTTTGCGGTGGACTGGACCACTTCCCCCTGTGTACCAATGTACTAGTATTAGATAGATAGGCCGTGTTTGACAAGCTGTCAACGGGATCACCAACACCAGTGGCAATTATGTGGTAGTGCTTCTGCTATGCGTGATCAAGGTGATGCGCTACCAGATATGCACCTGAGAGATAACAATAATGATCACAATAATTATGTATAGAAACATAGGGCCTAGGGGAGGAGATATAAAAAAAAAAGAAAAGAAAAGGGGGGGGGGTGGGAGTATACAAAGAGTATGATGAACACTACGTCCACAACACAAAACATTAGTAAAGCAGGATTCATCATTGTTAGGATCATCCCCATGCTCATTTTCTGAACATTCATCGGAAACACCTGGGTGTCGCCGCCGTGCGGGTGGATCGATCTATGCCTATGGCCCAGTACTACCAGTAGGCAGTAGATCTAACTTCTAAGGCTACTAACTAAGGCCAGTGGTACTTTGATCTGCAAGGGTCGCGATACGAAACTCACAGCGAAACGCTGTGGCTATGCTATCACCAGATCACGCCAGTATCAGCGTGACATCGGAGGGAAATGATATGGCAGCCACGGGGACCGCGTACCGGGCGATAGTATTGACTATTGTGATGTGAGGAATTGACCCATGTTTCCGACCGCTGATCATCAGTCAGAAACCGCGATCGTTTCTGTACTGTCTTTCAAGTGACTGAGAACTCTCAGTCTGAGTGAAATCTGAGCGATCTGGTGCGAAGGCCACATCGTTCGCGTGTAAACATCGCATTGATCGCACCCCTTCGATTAGATGGTTTTCGGCAGCAGTAGAAAATGCCAGGGGTTCAAGTAAATAATAAGTGACCGGTATTACGTGGGCGAAAGTTTGTAGTTTTCTTCTTTCTCTGTGGGTAAGTATTAGTTAGTTTGACTTCACTCGGCTGTTGAGCAATAGATCATTATGCGCAGTCAGACTGCCTCCTGCCTGAGTCCTGGTTCAGTTGTGTTTCGCGAGGTGCGCACGAGACGTGCTTTCTTTCCTGGAATGGTTCGTTGTACACAACAGCAACCAGTGGCCCGTGGCCCCCTTATCGTCCACGCGTTCGACGTAGACACTTATGTTATTAGCAAGAGTAGTACTCTTGTTATTAGTAATTAGACAGACGTAGTTCCATCTGTGAAAAAAAACTTGGGAGAGCTAGAGTGAGTAGAGAACCGGCATCGCGCCTACATCGAGCGTGGAGTACACGTACCGCCGTCAGCCGGTAAGTACAGTATTATACAGTGCGAGTTAGTTCGTGTCGTCTGTCGAGTGCACTTTCATCCTTGCTGTCCTCGCTTCATCATAATCAGATAATAGCCGCGTCACACTGCATGACTGTATCAATGTAGTCGCAATTTTGACGTTGCATTGTTTCCTGCGCTTCCGACCAAGCGTTAGCCAAGGTTCGTCAGGAGAAAAAGAAAATTCTGTGAGCGTGTTCCGTGTGCTGCTGAAGCTAGTGAAGGACTCTGGAGTCTGTCGTGATCATTACCGAAGTAAGAAGCGTTTGTATTCTACATTTAACCAGATGGAACCGTTGGCACTTGTCAAAACAATGAACTGACAGTGACCATGTACTCGAATCCTGCATCGTCCAAACGATCGAAACTGGTTTTTAAAACATGTTTTTCGTCTTGGGTGGGCGGTATGGAACTTTTGATTTCGGTTTATCGATGAGTCTTTGTGTGTGTGTGTGTGTGCGTCTGTGTCTGTCTGTCCGTCTGTCTGTGTCTTTGCAGTGTTTTTGCTTTCGTTGCCCGAGACCAGACGACTCAGCGACACCGCTGTCGCATCTATCGGTGCAAGATTTCCGGCAAGAAGATTGCGCGGGTCCTGCGCACAGCCTGCGACCAGATCCTGCAGGAGCGCAAGATGAAGCAGGACGGCGTGGAGAAGCCCAGGACGGAGGACACCATGGACGGTGTCATGTACAACACGCCGCGCAGCGGAAACGCACCGCCGCTCGTACAATCACGCTCCTCCTCGTCGTCGTCAGCAACGATCGGCTCCGACAGCTCTGCTGGCGGGTCGTCGACGCAAATAGATCGCTCGGCAACACCGGACGGGGCTGTTCAGGCACCCGAAGAGAGTACGTTGATAACCATAGACACATGGCCCGGGTATCCTAGTGTGTGCAACATGAACACAAATTGTTTGACATTGTTGGCCAAACTGGCAATACCAGGGCTGCCACACTTGGAGGGAGACGAATCTGACAGGGGTGCGGGGGTGTCCCCGTCGGGGGTGCAGGGGGCAGGGCCCCCGCGGTGAATTTTTTTAAGAAAATGGCTTGCTGTTGGGGCCCCAGAATACAGCACGCGTGCATTTTACAGCTACATGTACATGTACAATGACCGGCCAAACGCGACCTGGAAGCGCCGAGTTAATGGCCAACTCGACTAAAAAGCGCTCAAAATAAAATAATCGATTGTCCCTCTTCGGGACCAAAATCTGTCGGTTTGTCGGACAGGCGATCAAAAATCGGACAATTTCCGAAAAATCGGAGCAAGTGGCAGCCCTGCAATAGATGCACAGTCATGTAACTACCTGAGCTGCATACATGGTATGTCTGCGAAAAAAACCCGCATCACGCAGGAATGGTACTCGCAATCTTTCGCTCAGAAAGCGTTAGCCATGTCACTCCACAAAATGGTCCCAGTGATATAGATAATGTCGCTCCACCAAAGGGCCCACTGATATAGATGACTACTGTAGGCCGTTGCATGATCTGCATGGATTGCAATGATGAAAAGTCTGAACTCCTAATGAAAACACTCACCTTGGTGTCCATGATGTAATGATGAGAGTGAGCAGTAATTTATACTGTTGTGTTGCTCTCTGTCTGTCTCTGTATGTTTGTCTCTGTCTCTCTCTCTGTGTCTATGTGTCTCCTTATCTCTCCGTCTCTCTCTCTCTCTCTCTCTCTCTCTCTCTCTCTCTCTCTCTCTCTCTCTCGCTCTCTCGCTCTCTCGCTCTCGCTCTCAAGACATTGACCCGTTACTTCGGGAGCACAAGGAATGCTTTGCTGCAACGTATCTCGGCTTCACCGACGTCCCATCTAGTTCCGGTAAGTATGCGTGTTGACATTGGTCCAGCTTCGGACTAAAACATATTATACCCTTTGTAGTTTGTAAGGGAGACAATGATTATTGCAGTTGTCTAGACTATGTATGGTGTCCAGTTTTGGCACGGTGATAATGTTTGGCAGCCTGGGGGTTGGTCGCCGACAATCAACAACACTAGTACCGTAGGAACAAACTTCAAAGTAAAAAATCAATAAAAACAAAAACAAAAGCAAACAGGGCGCTCACGAAGGGCTACCACTCGAAACACACTGCTAGTCACTAAAACTGTTTTCAAAATATTGATCAACGTTTTTGGTCTATGGCTATCATCAGCTAACTAGCGTTACAGGCATGAAGCTGCAGCTGCAGCGAGTGTCCAGACTGGTCTTACGTGATTCTGCATGTGATTCTATTGCCGTGATGCGTGGTCATGTGTGCAGGTGTGGAAACCATTCGCAATGCAGTCAGCAAAATGCAGCACACCTCACAGGACAACTGGGTGGAGGTGATCGTGGAAATATCGTCGGTGAAAATCGCCCTGATTGATCAAAAGGTGAGGGCGTCAAACATGGTCGAATCACGCAGCATATCATCCTAACCATACACATCATGCTAACCATACACATCATCCTAACCATACACATCATGCTAACCATACACATCATCCTAACCATACACATCATGCTAACCATACACATCATCCTAACCATACACATCATCCTAACCATACACATCATCCTAACCATACACATCATGCTAACCATACACATCATCCTAACCATACACATCATCCTAACCATACACATCATGCTAAGTACATGCCATAGTACTGTGTCAGGCTGAAAGGCTAGGACGATAGCTACAACGGTCGAACAGCTGTCTGGAGGAATATTGTGTTTTACCAGTTGTAAGTCCGGGTATAAGTCGACCCCCAAACTTGGGGCCTCAATTTACCGGTTTACGGGCAGTTCTACCCCGGTTATAAGTCGACTACTGTAAGACCAGTAATAAATAATAAATAAAATTCACGGTTCGCGTGAGACTCGGCTGCAAGCCGAGTTTTCCGCATCCGCCATGGGAACGCCACCACCCTCTAGGATCAAGGCGCAGGTGCAGCGCCTAAACGGTGGGAGTAATGTTAACGAGAGCATTTTAAACATCTTGTCTTACAGTGCTACTTCCCTTTTTAGGTCATTAAAAGGTCATTAAAAGGTCGACCTATAACCGGTAAAATATGGTATTACCACCAGTATGGAATTACATGCTGGTCGTTTGTTGTGTGAGTTTGCGAGAGTCCAAAGAGACGGGCGTGTTGGGTCATCTTTGAGCGCATTCTGGGCCTATAAGAAACTGAATTGTCTACCGCCTCCACGTCGCTTATTCATTACCTGCTGTGTTGACTTCTTCACAACAACAGTCCTACAATGGTTTATTCGAAATGTTTGTCCTTCTTGCAGACGCAAGTGACTTTCAAAGAGCACCGGATTCGCTTCCTCACCTTCTTGGGGATGGGCAGTGACACATCGTAAGTACAGTGCACCGACAGTTCTACACAGACACACCTGGGTTTAACGACCACTTTTGCTTGCACCGTGGGGTGGTCGCTTAAACCAGGTTTTACTGTAGTACTAGTAGTGTAGGTGTTTGGTTGTTTATAAATGTTTACAATAGACTGAGTGGAATAATGGATGGAATACCAGGTTGAATACCAGCAGTGTAATTGCAACATGCACCTGATGGAGAATCCAGCTGCTCCCATTGGTGAAGCTTGCAGTTCCTGTCGACTTGGATAGTCAAGTTTTGGTCAGGGAGGTAGGAAGTGGGTGTTCCAACGTAGGTAAGAGCCAAGTTCTCCAGTATCACTGCTGAAGTCACTACACCTTGATCTGTGTGGCCGTGGCATTGCAACAATTGTTTCTGTTTGGCCAGGGTTACCTGTGCCCGTGTGTGTGTGTGTGTGTGTGTGTGTGTGTGTGTGTGTGTGTGTGTGTGTGTGTGCATGTGTACATGCGTGTGTATACGCGCATGCACATACCCGTGTGCTGCACAGATACTGTGGATACATCATGAGCAGTGGCAAGGACAAGTTCTGGTGTCACGTATTCCTCTGCGAGAAGACCAGTGGCAAGCTGGTGATGGCATTGCAGAGTGCGTGCAAGGTAGGCGCACACTCTCAGCCGGGGCTCATCGCGGATGGGATGCTTTGAAGCATCAGTGTTGCTTTCCCTCTGCCGGGTTCATGCATAGTACGTGTACAGCTCCAGTTAGTAGTGACGTGTACATAGCAAGGAAGGGAATCTGCTCAATGCTCATACCCTCGAGCACCTGGTAATTCAGGAGAAGCATGCTGTAGATCAGAAAGTTGTAGAGGAGAAGCTTACTTTAGATGGAGCACTGTGTCTACAGGGGCGCCGGAAGGTATTTTAGTGTGGTACGGTCAGCCATCTGAAGTACAATTTACTTGTGGGGGAGGGATGGCTGAGCCGGAAAATTTGGAAATTTAGAGCCCAGATTAGTGTATTTTATTGATTCACGGGGTGACTGGGACAAAAAGTGGTACGGTCAATACCGTAGTGACCGTACCATGTGCAATGCCCCTGGTCTACATACACTGATGAGTGACTGGCAAACTAACCTGTTTCACAGCTCTGTTGCGAACACTTGCCCCATGGCTTGTCCTTCCCACTCTCCTCCAGGCTCGTTTCCAGCGTGTTGTGGACACGCAAGATACGGAGGAGAAGGCGGACCACCTGGTGAAGAAGTACCTCAAACCCGCCGCCACCCCGGCTGCACCGACGTCATCGGACGACGCACCACGGCCTACGCCGGCTCCGCGTGCACCAAAACCAACTGTATCAAAACCGGCACCTGTGAGTTACAGTCCAATACCATAGAGTGGTTTCACATCTTTGGTCATGTGACTAAATTTGTGTAGAAAGTGATCGGGTCATGTGGACAGTGGAACCAACATGGCTGACGTCACGTGACCCATAGATGCAGGGTTTGAATGGAGTTGGAACCAACATGGCCGATATCACATGACACATAGATGCAGGGGTTGAATGGAGTTGGAAGTTGGAAGCAACATGGCTGTCCCGCATGGTCATGTGATAGCTGTGAAACCAGCACTCTATACGGTGACAGTAGTACGTGTTGCTAGACCTGTGTTAGCAACCATTCCGATACGAAACCATGTGTATTGTAAAATTGTTTTACTTTTAAATTTTCTAGGGCCCTTCCGCTCCTGTAAATACTTGGAACATGTACTTCAAGTACTGAAGACTGCCATGTATGTGCGTGTGCGTGCGTGCGTGTGTGTTCGTGTATCTATTCATGTCCACCTACTCGCCTCCAGGAGAGTGCGTTCTTGTCGGTACTGCAGAAGCTGAATCGTGTTGCTGGCCGACCAGCGGTGAGTCTGCTCACTTAGTCGGTACATGATGCATAGCACTACTGTTGATGGCGTGTTGATGGCGTCACGTTATCCGTGATGTCGTGTGTTATTGTCTTATTGATGGTTTGTACCCACGTCTGGGATTGGGTTAGGATTAGGGTAAGGACTTTGGTTGCTGAGGCAAATGTGATGGTGAAGAGGAGATGAGTACTGTCCTCTATAATAATAATAGTAATATAATGTCAAGCTGACAAGCTCATTGGAACAAAAGGGCTCTAATGCCTCCTGGTTCTGTGGTCATAATTCTGCTGGGATGACGACTACACCATAGCTCAGTGGTTAGAGCATCGCTAGCTACAAGCGAGGGTCCCTGGTTCGAGTCCTGGTGGTGACAGTCAATTTTTTCTTCAGACTTTTCCCGTTTGTGTCTTTCCCTCAAACTAGTCAAAATTCTCCACGAGCTACCTATACCATTGATGTTAGCCGTGTTCTCTAAATGATCCCTTTGTTGTTTGTTGCAGACATCTGGCAACAATACTTACTTTCTCTCCGTCGCCGCTAAGTACTACGGAAGTGAAGATGTCTACACTGCCTCGGCCGGTGTCAAGTACGTGCAAGAGCCGTTCAAGGTAAGCAGTGGCTGCGGTTCCATCCTTTGAGGCTGGCTAGTGCGTTGATTTTTATTTTATTAATGCGATTAATAGTATTAGTGAAGCGGACATTACAAAATGATGAATGAGAATACATGTATCTAAAATGGTTGTTCCTAATCGATTTTCTTGAGACTATCATCAGGGAAAATCGTCTCACAATAGAGGCTACACGGAGAAACAAACTACTTATAGGTTATCGGATAGTGGGAAGTATACAAGGTGAGGTGTGAAAAAAAAACTAAAGTGGGAGAGAAGACGAAAGAAATTAGAAGAAAAGATGTGAGAGTGTTCTGACGGTGTGAGCTACTACATAAGGTGAGTGAAATGAAGGCGTGGAAGCAGGTGGATGTGATAGAGTGAGGAACTGTGAGGTGTAGCCTCTATTGTGAGACGATTTTCCCTGATGATAGTCTCAAGAAAATCGATTAGGAACAACCATTTTAGATACATGTATTCTCATTCATCATTTTGTAATGTCCGCTTCACTAATACTATTAATCGCATTAATAAAGTTATTGTCTCCTCGTCGCCTTTTGATTTTTATTTTGTTTAATACCGTTCAGCTCCAGTATGGTATGGGTTGTCACTACATGTATTCGCTGCCGGTGTTGAGACCACAGTGAAGCCTGTCTAAGACGACCGCTCGAGGGACCTTCACAATGTGGTCTCTGTTACCAGGTGGTCTCCTTATCCAGGGCCACCAGTCTGGAAATAGCATCGCTTGTCCTGGTTCCAATGCAGTTGGCGTCATGCTTGTTTGTACTCAGTTGTTACAAAGTTGTCAACGACCTGACGTCACACTTCGAAGCCCTATTATAGGCCATACACACGGAGTAGAAAAGAGAAGAAACGAAGATTCTTTGCTAGCAATGCAATGAGACTGGCAATAATGATTGGTATTAGAACCCTGGTGCTAGTCACTCCGTTCTTGTGCAATGTGTTGTTTCATCTGCCCTTGCAGAGGTTAACCAGTGCTGGCCGCGTACCCGTGAGCTGCAAGTGCGAAGTGGACTCCAACGGCGTGCACCTGTCCGACGCAAAGTCCAAGTTTGACTTGTGGTGTCCAATTGACAAGATCACGTTTGTCACCGTCATCAGGTACTAAAGCGGTATTACATCGTACAGCGCTATACGGGAAGCAATCACAAAACCACTGCCCATGGCATGGCATGCAGTGTTTGTGCTGCGATGTTGGAATATTTGTACAAGTACACCATGCCGCACACAGTCACATGCACCCACCCATACACATGCACACTTGTACTTGAACTCATTGTGTGTCATGTATTTTTGATGTTGAAACGTTTCTTCAAAGAAAGAAATGTATTGTCGGCTGATGGATCCTATGCCTACGCCGGGCAATACATGCACGTCGCTCCTTGCACGGCGTTTCCTGCAAAGTTATATTCCGTCAACAGCACGACACAATAATATACCTACTTGGGTGTTAAAGGGGAAGTTAAGGCAAAAATTAAAATTTCACCAGTTGTAGTCTTCGGGGTGCTGAGTCGAATGGTCGTGGTCCGAGGAAGCTGAGACGCTCCCTTCCTACTTGAATCCCAATCGAACTCGCGTACTTCCACCGAAACTGGGTGACTGCGCCCTACTAGATGGGGATTTGTATGCAAAATGTCACTAAAAGCGCCATTTCGTTCTTATAAAAGCACGGATGACCGCGATTGGCCCATGTGTTGTAGTCTTTTGGACGCTGAGTCGACTGGTTTTGGTCCGAAAAGGCTGCGATGCAGCGTTCCTCCTTTATTCCCAATCGAGCATGGTTGAAGAAGCAGTCACGTGCTCCTGCGTACACCAGTCACCTGGTCACCGTGCCTGCAGGGTACAACTTACTAGCCTGTTTGACCTTTTTTGGGTGCAGTCCTGTCACTCGAGTTGAACTCGAGTTGAACCTTGGTGTGAAAGTTGTCACCTGCTGGCGTGGTGACCAGGTGATTTGGGCACCCAGGACCACGTGACCGCTTCTTCAACCATGTTCGATTGGGAATAAAGGAGGAACGCTGCATCGCAGCCTTTTCGGACCAAAACCAGTCGACTCAGCGTCCAAAAGACTACAACATATGGGCCAATCGCGGTCATCCGTGCTTTTATAAGAACGAAATGGCGCTTTTAGTGACATTTTGCATACAAATCCCCATCTAGTAGGGCGCAGTCACCCAGTTTCGGTGGAAGTGCGCGAGTTCGATTGGGATTCAAGTAGGAAGGGAGCGTCTCAGCTTCCTCGGACCACGACCATTCGACTCAGCACCCCGAAGACTACAACTGACCCGCGCTCTGCGAAAACCGACCTTAGGTGCTTCGTAATTTTTTCGAGAAAAAGAACAAAACGTCACGATCTGTCGATTTTTGAAGATTACAAAGTGAGAGTCATGGCGGAACGAAGCAGAAGACGGTCGCTAGCTCAAATTGCTGTGGGCTTCTCCCCAGAGGTTTTAGCCGAACTCCTTCACGATGAATAGTCATTTTTTGGCCTGGTCCAATCGCAGTTCTGATGACAGCAGTGCCGAGGAGAGTCGGATGTGGAATCGCACGATTTATCGCAGGACGTAACGCTGATCGAGCTGGACGGTGATGCGGAGGAGAATTTCGATCAGGCGTCAGTTCTGCCACCAGCCCACCCCCTCAATGCCGGCAATATACAGAGTGCAGACCAAGAAAAATCGGTTCAAGTACTGTCTACAATCCAGGAGGCGCGTGACAAGTTAGTTTGACAAGCGCTGTAGGTGTTCCGCACTGGTGCTGTTTCAAGAGCATGACACTTGAAACCTTGCTTACACTTACAGCGCACACAGCGCAGGTCCTGATCAAAACAGATTGCTACTTGTGTGTAGGCGGAAAGCTAGACGTGCTCAGGAGACGTGGTGAGGCTACCCAGTGCGTCCAGCATGCTGGGAGATGTGATAGATGGGGCTCAACAATACTACTCTGAACTACTAAGTACAGTCAGTGGCTGGTGTGGAAGTCATGTACATGCATGTCAGGAAGTCTTTGTGTGTGCCCCCAGGATCAAGCCCTGGGTGCTGAAATCTACAGGCTGCTGTCAGTGCAAGTGAAATCAGCCCAACACAGAACTCTGGAATGCACTGCCTGTGGAAGATGTTGTGGAGCTGAAGCATTTTATAGAGCATTATGCTATGCTAGTATTATGCTATAGTTCATGGCCTCCCTTATTAACCTGCGGCTCCACATGGGCACAACAAGCCAGTACCAACCTACATGTATTTGCCCAGTATCACTACGAAGAAGCTTGTTCACCAGGCGTTCACAAAGCCTGGTGGCAAAGCTGCATACAGTACGTTTGGCAAGATTTGGATTTGATATCACGGATTACGAAACAATGTGTGTGGCTGATGTAGACATAACTAGATGTTCTAACTACCAGTACCAGATAAAACTATCAATATCCTTTAACCCGGCATTGATCTTAGCTTCTTCACTACTTTGCACCTGCCTCTACGCATCATTTCGGCTGGCATATCCTCAAACAGAGCCAAATACCTCTTCCACCAGATTCGTGAGCAACACCATCCACAGAACAGAGATAGAATGTGTCTATCTCCACAACAGGAAGATCCAATGCCATCATAAACCTTTCCTTTTGAGGATTATGACATACAGATTTATTCTGCAAAGTTTGGTTGCAATCATCCTGCTTGAATTCTCATAGCATGGGTTCCAAAATGTAGCATAAAATCCTGGATTTTTGCTATTTTTCCTCCAAAAATTGCAGAAAAATTGCAAAGAAATTGTCATTGTATCTAACTGAATATGTATGCAATCCACCTAAAACTTCACCAGAAGTTGAAGAAAGGGTCATGGGTCAACAATCCAGCACAAACTCAATTTCGCCAAAATAGCACCTAAGGTCGGTTTTCGCAGAGCACTGGTCAACTGGTGAAATTTTAATTTTTGCCTTAACTTCCCCTTTAAACTTTCCTAGGAGTGATCTGCTGTGTGTATATGCAAGAGTACATGAAACCCAGAGTGTGCAGCTTGGGGCCTTTTCTACTATGGGTGTCTGTGATTACATCATATTTGGCGCAGATCTGAGGCGCGAAATGGCGTAGTGTGTACAGCTGAACTGCAGTTGTGCAGAAAAAGACCTGCTTGAATCCTGCTTGTACGCACTGCATCACTAAAATGATGTTATCATGCCGTGATAATGTAATCAAGCCGTGATAGCAACCCATCCGAGCTGCACACTCTGGTTTTCATGTACTCTTGGTATAATGTGTACGTGTGCGTTTGTCTGTGTGTCCCAGCAATCACATCTGCTTCATTGCCGACTCCAGCGGGCACAACCTCTGCCACGTGATAGGCCCAGATAAGGCAACGGTGAGTGCCATGCATTCCCAACCACGCCGAACACCACTGCAGGTTAACGTCCGTGCAAGGGTTGCTTGATTTTTAGCGAACCGACTGTGCATTTGTATACCGCAGGCTTTCAACGCACCTAAACAATAATAAACCCTTTTTGAGGCAAAGACTTTCGGTGGGGTCCGCCAATGAATACCGACCGAGCCTTGCACAAAAGCCGTATTTGAATGGAAACAGGCCTCTAATAGAAGCCGCATTTTTACACAAATCAAATCGAAAGCTGCAAAGTAGCCACGGCTTCAAAACGTGACAACACCGGTGCAGTGCAGGGAATAATACGATATGGCCAGGATCGTCTTGTGTACAAAAAAATTCACGTTTCGCGTGAGACTTGGCCAAAGGCCGAGTTTTCCGCATCCGCAGGAACGCCACCCTCTCAAGGCTAGATGTATAAGGCGTCGCAGGTGAAAGTGATCTGTTGGTAATCGTATATACAGTCAACTTCGCTAATAACGACTTCGGATATAACGACAATTCGCGAATAACGACAGAATTTCCATGCCCAGAGCAAAGTCCCATCTAACTGTATACATTTAACTTCGGATATAACGACTATCTGAATAACGCCAGTTCGCGAATAGCGACATGATTTTAGTGCCCCGAGGTCATATTCACTGCTTGAATACAGACTTTCTGGGTTTTTGACAGCTATTTCAAGTACCTGTCATGCAGAAGTACCAGAACCCGTGGCGATGGATAAGGCACACATACAAGAAGATACAGCCAGGGGGGAGGGGGGCTTTTTCTTTTGCTTCAAAATACATGTAGTTGGAATGATCAGTACATGTAGTTGTACATGATTGCACATTAATCTTCATACATGTACATGAACATGTCCCTGTAGATGGCTCCAAAAGGCTAATTTTTCAATTTATTTCCCTTGGATATTGACTTTATAGTTTCTTTCAATAGATGACTTGCACAAAGATTGTCTGGGTTCGAGACGGGGCAAGTGCACCTTCTGACTCTGACTTCCCCACCTTTTGAGTTCGTGACTTTCGAAGTTTCGCTTTTTGCCTGACGAACACTGAGCTAGTTTTTTTGGCTAGAGAGTAGAGTTGTTTTGATTCGGCTTGTATCGTCATGCCGAAGCGCTGCTACGCTCATGAATGCACTAGCAGACGAGAGATGGAACTGAGGCTCCCATTCCATACGTTCCTTTTGGAGCCGGCCGGCCGGGAGGCAGAAAAAATGAGGGGATATTATTTTAGTATCATTAGTGTAGGCTGCAACAAGCACGTCGTGGTCCTGAAGTGTGACTACTTTCCCGCAGTGGAAGTGAAGTCAAGCACAACGAAAGTTTGTGGACGTCTGAGAAAGAACTCGATTCCCTTCGATTCGGCTGCACTAGCTCCAGAGCGACCCCAGTCTCCTGAGGACAGACTGCGGAGAGGCCAGGAATGGAAGCCCAAACCACGAAAATGAGGGGTGGAAGGACTGAGTGTGAGAGCCAGATGGCCTTTAGTAGTACTTCAAGTAGTATCTGAGTTGAAGGAGAGAACAAGTGTGCTGGAGAAACGCTGCGAAGTCCTCAGGCCTGATGTGTACTAGCTACTGTTGAAGTCTCACTTGTTCCGATATGAACACTTCATCAGCCCTGACTCTGAGCAGCTGTATCTAGACTTGGACTTAGGCCAGAGACATAGCATTGTAAACCTTACTGAAGCCATTATGTATCCAATGCCTGGCTCTAGTGAGAAAGCAGTTTGCCGCAGGCTCGCAAACTATGATTGAATCAGGGAGTGGTGGAAAGTCACATTATACCTCCCCATGATTAGTTGGTAATGACGACGATGCGGCTCCGGCTGGGTTTCAGTCTTAGAAAGGATTTGTTGGAGCATCATCAAACAGTGCATTCGCATTCATCATACACTGGCTCCGTTGCCTACAGTAATTCACATTTTGACGGGGCGCGCTGGGAGGATACGGAAGGAGCGGCGGGAACCATTGGAGTGCTCATGATGCTGGTTAGCGGAGACCGATGAGTCAGGAACGGGAACGCAACCGCACTACTGTACAGATCAGGAAGCGATGGAAGAGTTGAAACTGCTCAGCCTTCCATGCCATGTACAGGGACACAAGCGTAAAAATGGCTACATTTCAAAAGTGAACTGGCGATGGCATTGTGTGGCGACGAACACAACTGCAACTGTTCAAATTTCAGCATTTCGAACATTATGCTTCCCATGATAACTCACCGAATGGCTCACATGACGGAGTTGTACATTACCAGGCTAGGATTATCATTTGCTATATTTATGGATAGTCCTTGAGTTTTCAGATGAAGTGCTTTATCTTTTACCTGTCGTTCCTTTAGTATGGCACAATGTCCATGGCTGCTTCCTTGTCTTCATAACAGACTGGTATAATCAGCATGATTCTGCTTTTTTTTAGAAGAAATAAAACTTTCCTTTGGGAAAGGAAGCCCAGAAACGTCAACCCCCATGGACTGTGCTTTATGACTCTCGTCCATCGACGTTAACCGTCGCAATCAAAATAATAGGAGATCCTCCAGATAGGCGTTAGCCTTTGGGTAATCCTGAAATAAAGATTCTTATTATTAATAACTGCTGCATGTATGTTGTGCTGTGCGAACCGTACAAGATTTTTACAGCTCACCCACGCTATATCCCGTACCGTTAGCGTTACATTGAATATGAACTAGGCTAGCACAGTTATCTGGTTATCCTTCGTTCTTTTGATGGCGGCGGGTAGCATGGAACTTGACGTGTTCTTGGGATCCTCGTGCAACACTTGCTGTTCCCGGATGCCATATTATTGGGTGCATCGAGGTTGCTTCTATGCTCACTGTTGTTTAGTAAGACAATTTTTTATAACTGTTTCACCGAAGAATAAGGCAAAAGTATTTTGGGTTGGTTTGGACGCCTGGCTTCTCTTCACATAATAATACAGTCATGTACTTCCACTCAGGGAGTAGTACAATACCTGCTTCCACTAACCCTACAAGTGCACATGCATGACTCATGAGCTGCTGAAGACAGTGACGGTACTGATCATGTACATGTACATGCCGTGCACCGTTCATTCATGCTGACACTAGTCTACAGACGGTGTAGGGTGCCCGCAGTGTAGCCTGGGTGCACAGGGTGCACTTGCCCCGTCTCACTCGCGGCTCGGATCTTTGTGCAAGTCATCTATTGCAATACGAAAATAAAGTACAAATTGACGTGGAGCATGAAAAGAGCTTCATTTCGATATGCATGTCATACTATACAAAATATGGGTTCACATACATTCAAATGGGACTTCGGATATAAGGACACTTCGCGAATAAGGACACTTTTCTGAAGCCCCGCCGAATGTCGTTATTCGCAAAGTTGACTGTACCTCGGCAGTGTGCAAGACAGCACATATGGAAGCCTGTGGAAATCCGAGAAATTTTGCAAACACTGTATTCCGCAGCGTTTGTGCCCGACTTGGTGGTAGCGTGTTGATTGTGGTATTGTTGTGCTGTGTGTTGCGGTGTAGGTGTCCCTAGCGGGAGTGTTGTCCAGCATTGAAGCAGCCATCGAGGAGCACGCAGAACGCATGTGTGGCGGACGACAAGTCGTGCTCAACGACACTTCCAAGTAATGACCCATCGAATGGAAACGATCAAATATGCCGTGTAGATACTTTACCTGAATCGAATGTGACTCAAATAACAGATCTTTCGCCCCTAGGCTTCTTCATCTCATAAGTATATTTGTCTAGAAATCAAGCTTGACTATTTCATTGCTGCTTCTTTTGACTGTTTCATCACTGCTTCAAACTTCTGCTGACCTTGACTAACTAATTTTTTATCAAACAAGGCACTCTTGACAACTTCAAATCATATCTTTACTACCATTCGTAATTATTTTTTACACGTCACTGATGATGAAAGTGGTAAGGCCACCTAGAATTAATTCGTTGTTTCGGGTCACTTCACTCATCCGTACCAGGGTCGGTCGGTCGGGTTTATTTTTTATTTTATTTTATTTTTTATTTTTGTTTACGTCCATGTGCATGTATGGTACATCGAATAGCTTTTGAAGTTTTGTCCACCTAGCCAGTCGATCAAATCTGACTGTAGAGTGTAGTGTAGATAATCCAGCGCAGTCATTGTCCCATCAGATCCAGGTAGGTCCCCTCCAGGACCAGATCTTGGCCTCGCTGGCAAACGAGTCTGACGAGCAGCTCTCATCTTGAAAACAGCGACAAGGTGGCGGAGCTGATGCTGTTTCAGGACCGATTGCGGATCGGAGATAGAAGACAACGACGTTACGTCGTCACCAAGCGCTGCATCCTGTCATTTGGCTAGCCATGGCTGCTTCTGAGGTGGATATCTGGACTGCTATTATTAGGGTCGCGCCTGTACATAGTGTAGTCTGTACATTTGCATGCACTATAAAAAAAAACATTTTGCGGTCGGGTGAAAAAAGACGGTCGGTCGGGTGACCCGAAACAACGAATTAATTCTGGATGGCCTAAATGTCTTTTTTTTTCTTTTTCTCCGTGTCACCGGTGGACCTGGGGCACACGGGCAGAACGAGAGAATATTTTCACAAGTTTTTTATTGCAGCCGTAAAATAATTATGTGACAATAGCACCACTCGAGACGGATGCAACAAGTAATAATAGTAGTAGTACGAAACAGCCTGTTACGACGGCACACTGGGGCACACGGGCAGAACGAGAGAATATTTTCACAAGTTTTTTATTGCAGCCGTAAAATAATTATGTGACAATAGCACCACTCGAGACGGATGCAACAAGTAATAATAGTAGTAGTACGAAACAGCCTGTTACGACGGCACACTGGGATAACAAAACAATAATGAAAAATCGATGAGCCGGAGAAAAAAGGGTCACAGCCGATTATTATAAGGCCACACGGGCATAAAGAAGGATAATGAAAGATCCATGAGCCGGAGAAAAGGTCAGCCGGAGAAACTTTAAAAAATGAAAAGAAAACGATAAACCAATCGGACGCAATGCGGGGTAAACCGATTTCACTAGTGTACAGTTACAGGTACCACAACTTACTTCACAACTTCAATTCCAGTGCAGACAATTATCTAGTTTTGCCGGGGATTTCTGGTGGTGGTGTGTTGGTGATGAGCAGAGGTTGCGGGCTGCTGCTGCTGCCAGTTGGTGGCGGGTAGGGCACCGCTGGTGACTGCTGCATGCGCGCTGGCACTGGAGCGGCGTGCTTTGTGCTGATGTTGCTGCTGCTGCTGCTGGTCTTGGTAGTGCACTGGCGCAAGCGCAGTGCTGGCGAGCGGTACCATGCCTGAAGGGAACGACGCCGACACAGACCCAGGGGCAGCAGCTTGGTGCAATGCACCTGTACCAGGGGGGTATAAGACGCCACTGGCGCCAGAGGCAGCAGCAGCTGCTGGCAGCGTGTTGATCAGCACAGCATTAGTGGTTATCAGGTTAGGGGACACGCTGCCACCGCCGCCGCTGTTCAAGTGAGTGTGATGCAGGCCATGGGTAGCAGCAGCGCCACCACTGGTGCTCATGTGTTTATGGCCACTGCCTCGCTCTACGGGTGAGTGCTGCTGTTTGACATAGTCCAGCATAGTTCTCTGACTAGGGGAGGTGGGTAGTGCGGCAGCAGCATGTGGCGACGTCCCAACCTGCAATACGCGCGTTGGTGAGGGACTGACAGTGGCGCCCCCAGTACTGGCCAGCCCATGCACCGCTTGGCCACCGGCTGCTTTGGAGGTATGCAGCACGGGACTTCTAGCACTATTACTGCTGCTGACTACCCGCTGGCGACGCTGGTGGCTATCACTAGCATGCCGACGGGGATCTCGGGGGTCTTTAGGGCGGTCTGACATACTCTCACTGCTACTGCCACCGCCGCCGCCAGCATGCATCAGGTTACTGCTGCTGCAGCTGCTGTCACTGCTACTGCTACCAACAATACCATCTGCAGTAGCAGTACTACTAGTTCTAGTGCTAGTGCTAGTCATGTATCGTAACGAGCTAGAGGGTAGGGAAGTACTGATGGCACTGACGCTGGCTAAGGAAGTAGGAGACGGAGGCAACTTGAATGCACTGCTGGTCATGCCACTATTGTCATCAACAGTCCTCTTACCTGGCGCGTATTGCTGGTGGTGATGGCCGGCTGCTGACGGTAGCGCTGCTACCTGCTGACCTTGCTTGGAGCGCTTAGATCCAGTGACCGGCACTGTGCGTGACGCACTGCTGGCCTTTCTCGACGATGCAGACACCGGCCGCACTTGCTGATGAACCGTAGTGGAGTTAGGCTTGGACGGCTGTGGAACCGCCCCGGCTGTTGCCACGGTACGGTTCGGTGTTATCACGCCCACCGGCGCTTGTTGACCAGGCTGGTGGAACGCCGACGGGCGCTGGAATTTCTTAGGCGACACGTCTGCAATGGGCGGTATGCTGCTGCCGTGGCGGGGTGGGCTGCCCATGCGTAGATCTTCAGATGACTTGGATAAGGGGATGGTTGTTTTCTTGATCGAGTGCTGCACTGCATTGCTGGTGGCAAGCAGGCTGGTGGATTTCCTCAGCTGCACCTCCATTTGCTTCATAGCAGGAGTGGAGGCATGGGAGGCATGCTGCAGCGTGGCTTTGCCTTGCGCTGGGACCTTGCTCCTTTGGTGGCCAGACTCGAGCATCTTCTTACTCGGTGTAGAAGTTCCAGCAGACTTATGAGATTTAGAAGGACCAGCCTTACTATTCAGGACATTGCCGGCGGCGTTGGGTAAAGACTTGGGCATAGCCCCGATGGCCGACACTGTCCTACTCATACTCGAGGAGTGTAGCTTAGGGGCAGAGAGAATGCTTCGCGAGGACGATTGCTGTGCGGCGCGATTCATCGGCGACATTATCTTTGGTGCCTGAGCTCTCTGAACTGGTGGTGGTGGTGCTGCTGCTGGTGGTGCTAAGGGCCGTGCAGATTCTAATTTTACCGGCGAAGATACAGTCCTGGTGGGTGACCTCACTTGTTGAAAGTGCGGTTGTTGCGGAGGCTGGGTCACTTTGTGGCTGCCAGCACTGGCTTCCATGACCGTGTCAGGAGTTAGCGGAGGTGGAGAAGATGGGATGTTTGCGGTGGACACGCTGCCGTCGCACGTATCCCCAGTGCCTGCAGTTGACTGGGGCTGCGGCCCCGCCATGCTGCCATTGTCACTGGTTTTGATTGATGACAGATTAAGACCCTGGACAACCAAACAGGCAAGCAAGCATGCATACAAGCACATAAGGTCACATTATTCCCAGCTAAGCATGCATACACCCATGCACATAGGGTTACTTTACTCCCAGCTTATACCAGTTATCTCAAGGTTATACCAGTTATAGCATTACTATTACTACTATCAGAGATCTGAATTCAGTTTCGCCACAACCAGCTTAGGCCGCGGTCACACCGAGCAAAATTCCGCCCATTCCGGACGGAATTTGTCCGCGGTTTCCATGGAAATCGTGGAATGGCGGACACTTTCCGCTGGCGGACTTCAGCCAGCAAGTGCCCGGCTGAATTCCGCCGAGTCCGCCAGGACGCCATTCCACTGATTTTTTCTTGAGTTTTTGTTTGTTTGAGGATGGGAATTTCAGTAGGAATTTCGTTGCCGTCTACTGATATTCGGTTTCGACCAAAGCCTTCGCAAAGCGAGGAAAGCAGGCGAACAGAGCAGGATAGACTATTTGTTTGAGCTTGATAAGTTCCTTCAGCCTTCCGTTCAATCTGTGTTCTTTGGTTCGAGTTTGCAGTAGCCCAGTATCTTGCTGGTCGTGCCTTCAAGGATTTTGGTTGTATACCTATTGCGCCGTGACCACGAGCACTCCCGAGCGTGAAACAAAACATGTGGAGCAGTGTCGCAGAGAGAGAGAGAGAGGGAGAGTTGTCAAAACTTACTTGCAAAAGACTAATAGGCCATTCACACGACGTGTAAACATTTGCACGTGTGTGACCAAGATAACACTGGCAAACCGTGATCCAGTTCACACGGTGCTGGGCAAACTTTGCAACCGTCAATGTATCCATAGTGACCTCCTGAAAATGCCGGGAAATGTTCAATTTTGAATTTTCCCTTGTTCAAGCACTGCATTTGCAGTACGCACTTTCAACAACCGACACTTTTCCTGGCGTGCAAAGATAATCGCGAGCAAAAGGGCCTCGGCCAAGATAAAAAATCAGTTGCACGCGGGTGTCCAAGTTTATCGTATCCGAGTAAATATCCTTGGAAACGGGTACGATAAAAGTAAGTTTGGCCGTCGTGTGAATGGCCTATAAACTGTGCATGGCCAACGAAGGAAATCACAAGAGAACTACGTAGTTTATCTCGCACACGCGCAAAACCATTCGGCCAGTCAGCGCATGCATTTGGTCAGTTGGTGTGACCGTGCAGGGAGCGTGCAGACCGCCACTTCAGTCTGCGATCCAGCTGTACGCACTTTTTGCCAGTTTTGGTGTGACCGCGGCCTAAGGCGTCTGCGTCCAAGGCATTACATACCATGACACAGTTTTCAAAAACAAGCAAACACATATAAAAAGCCCACTGGGGCATGCAGCAGAAACATACAGACACGAAGAAAACAGTCTGAGCCTTACCGGCGCTGACTTGGTCTTGCTTCGCACATACGGACGTGGACCACGGCCAGACTTTGCAGGGCCTACATCACGAGAAATCGCACATGCACACACACACACACACACACACACACACACACACACACACACACACACACACACACACATACACAACAAGAGCTCTATTGCAACTGCATTGATGGACTGCTAAGGGGAACAACACGTCCAGAATAGTCTTTATAATCTGTACTGCAGTACCGTTGCGTGTAACATTTTACAACACACTTCTGAAGTTGATGGATGAACTCAAAATTCAATTAGCAACATCATTCGCCTTCTCTTTAAATTCACAACGCCATGATTCTCGATCTGAGGATGGCACTTTGTCATTTTCTTGCATGTAGGAAATGTCCACCTACATGGTCCTTTTAGATATCTCCTGCTAGGATGTACATGACTTTCTTGAGCGATCAAAGTTGACTTCTGCATCTGACCACCTTGGTGCGTGTCTACAGCTTTGCTGTGGATGTCTGCATGGAGGTGCCTGACAGCCTTACAGGATTGTTGTTTTGTGGGAGCCGTGCATGGTATGCCATGGATGAAAATCATGCTTGGTGGAGTTGCTACAGCGAACTCAACATGTTGAGCAACGGCCAACACTCTAACATAATTATAATGGGTAAACCAGGCGCTTACTGGAAGTATGTTCATACCCCCCCCCACACACACACACCATAAAACATTTCTGACATGAAGACATACCTTGTAGTTGCTTGTATCTGAGCACAGTGATGTATGCACACAAACACACACACACACACACACACACACACACACACACACACACACACGCAAACACACACGCATACACACACGCATACACACACACACACACACACACACACACACACACAAACATGGACGCACACCATAAATAAGAGACAGAGATAAGACAGTGTTCACGAGGCATAGCAAACGAGTAAAGACTACGCAGGCAGCTCATGCATTTAGCGACTTGCTGATAGAAAATGCACCTATGTTGTACGTAGTTTAGCTGCACGCCGTTCACACGCTGATTGCATGCTGTCTGCACGCTTTTTGCCTGGTTACTGCTAAGATTATGTGTCCGTGCCTGGCTCCGTGCCTGGGTCCGTTTGGGTTATAACTCGTGGCCCTGCGCCGCTTTCCTGGTCTTCCGTTTTCTGTAGTCGTCGCAGCTCCTCGTGTTGGGTCCGTTTTATTCTCTCTCTGGTGTTTTTTTGCCCTTTTGTTACTCTTATCGTTTCCGTTGTCGTCCTGAGCCCTGCTCCTTTCCTTTGTCCCCTTATTCGTCGTTTGAGGCCAAGTAAACCGTATCAACCCGAACAATTCGTTGCTCTGTCTGACTGGTCGCGGGGGCTCAGACAACATTTGGCGCCCAATTACAGCTCGAACCCTCGACAGTTCTCTTCTCTACCGTCTACGATGCAGACGCTTGTTGTGCAGGGTTAGGCGCGGTTCTCTCGCAAGTAGTCAACGAAGTAGAACGTCCGGTTGCCTACATCAGTCGATCATGTACGCCAGCAGAGCGAAATTATCCGATTACTCGTTTGGAGTTGTTAAGTGTAGTCTGGGCCTGTCAGACGTTTCGGCCATATCTCCTGTCGCGTCCTTTTCTGTTGCGTACTGACCATGCTAGTTTGCGGTGGCTGCTGAATTTCAAGAATCCATCCGGCCAAGTCGCGCGTTGGCTCGGTACTTTAGCTGAATTCCATTATACTGTCGAACATCGACCAGGTCGTCTCCATGGCAATGCAGATGGTTTAAGTAGGCTACAAGAGGGCGATACTAGTGTTAATGTAGTTGCCATTCCGTCAACTGGCACTGACGAGTTACGCAAAGCAGTCGCTAACGACAAAGAATTGCAGGTCGTTTTGTCTCGCCTCGCCTCCCAGTCCTCTGCGAAACCAGGAGACAGTCCCGCAGTCCGGAGTCTGTTGGCATAGGCCGACGTTCTCAGAGTCGAAAATAGTCTAGGGCCTCCAGTAAAAGAGGTGACTGAAATCGAGCCAGAGAGGGAGGTAGTACAGGCGTCCCTGGGTGGCCCCCCTTGTTTCCTTCCAGCCCTGTTTGGAAATAGTGATGCTGTACCTCCTGCCCCGGCACAGCATGACCCAGGAGCGGATCCGCGTAGACCTGGCCTCCGCCAATTGACCAAAGGCCCTGGCCACTATAGGGCTATGTTAAGAGGGTAGTTCGTGTAGCTTGTTTGTGTACTGTTAAAATAAATTTGTTGCCCTGTTGGCAACTGGCGCCCAAAACCTGTTCTCGTAATTTTGTAGGTAGCAATATGTTGAAGTTCGGAACCGCTGCCAGTTGTTTGCTCTCTGTGTTTTCTTTTCTGTTAAGTTTACGCGAATATGCTGATCCATCTTGGATTTACTTCGTAGCTACTGGCCGCGAATGTGGCAAATCGTCTGCTGTAACGTCACCTCCCGCACCCGCAACATCACCACCCGCACCCGCAACACCACCACCTGTACCGTAGGCAAACCAAGACTCTCTCGCGGTGGAGTTCCGGCGTGTACGTCGCCGCTCCCGCCGGGCTCAGCACCGCCGGCGAGTACCAGGGCGGAAATCAGTGGAAACCGTCGCTTCCCGTCCGGCTTCTCCCAGCCCGGGAGTCATGGTGGAGGATTGGGATGCGACTGACGTAGTTTATTTGGTGGATATTCATGTTGCTAATGATCGAGTGATTGCGCATTGTATTATTATTTAGGCCTCAGGGCGGTTGGGACGGTGAGGACATGGGTATTGGTGTTGTTCAGATAATTTAAGAGCCAAGGGCCATACACAGGTTGAACAACTCGCTTAACCCCTTGAGCGCGGGGCTGTTTGTCAGTGCACCACGTAAGAAAATGGTCTTTTTTGAAAATATTCAAACCTTGGCTATGTCAAGTTGTGAAATCTTTGGGAGCCACAACCACAGGCAGTGGTAGGTAGGACCCAGACCAGCACTCGACAACAAGAACAAAAGCGAAAATCGGCCAAGGCACGCCAGGCCGAGCGGCATACTCAGGTCGATTTTTGAGAAATTGCACCAATTGCTTGGTATGCGCGCGTAAAAAAGAGAAAAAAAAGAGCTGTGCTGATCGCTGTACATCGACAGCTGGGAACTGAACCCGGGACCCCTCGTACACAAGGCATAGACACTACCAATCGGCTAACAGACCTGAAGACTGAAGATACGGGCCATTAGTTTGTATATAAGCGCATGACGTACTAGTACGTCATCCGTGGGGCACTGTGTGGGTGTTATGACGTACTAGTACGTCATCCGCGCTCAAGGGGTTAATGACGACATCAGTGTGGACGGTTTTTTGCAGGGTTTTAGTTTAAGGGGATACGCCACACTGGTGCCGTCGTTAAGTGTAAACCAACCTGGCCCATTAGTCACTTGCTCAACCGTTCCCTTTTTCACCCCTCCCCTTCTTAAAGATTTGTTGCTTTGTAAAGTCTCAGGAGAGACTTAGTTATCTTAGGGCGGAGTAATGTTGTACGTAGTTTAGCTGCACGCTGTTCACACGCTGATTGCATGCTGTCTGCACGCTTTTTGCCTGGTTACTGCTAAGATTACGTGTCCGTGCCTGGGTACGTGCCTGGGTCCGTTTGGGTTATAACTCGTGGCCCTGCGCCGTTTTCCTGGTCTTCCGTTTTCTGTAGTCGTCGCAGCTCCTCGTGTTGGGTCCGTTTTATTCTCTCTCTCGTGGTGTTCTGCCCTTTTGTTACTCTTATCGTTTCCGTTGTCCTCCTGAGCCCTGCTCCTTTCCTTTGTCCCCTTATTCGTCGTTTGAGGCCAAGTAAACCGTATCAACCCGAACAATTCATTGCTCCGTCGGACTGGTCGCGGGGGCTCAGACAACACCTAGACCCAGGTTGGTCACCATGAAGTAAAACAAGTACAAAAGTTCTGCTCCATGTTGCTTCGCCAATTTCTTCCATTGTGCAGATGAAAGTGGATGATACCATTAGGAAGATGATATGAGCAGCAAACCAAGTGCAGCTTTACTACTCGTATCGTATTCATAACAAATCCACAAGTAAACACTGAGTTTGTCAAATGCCCTGAGTCCTGCCCCCCCCCCCCCCCCCCCCCCACCACCACCGCCATCTGTTTTCCCCTCTATACGACTCTCAGTACTAATAACAATGTTATTACTTCTGAAGTAGTACTGAGGGTACAGGGTCACAGATATGTCATATCTGTGACCCTGTATATCCAATACAGACAGAATAAGCACCGGTACTTACTGCACGGGGTTAGTTAGGCGCAGATGGGCCTGTCTACTTTCACGGAACAGAATGCTGTACACACACACACACACACACACACACACGCACGCACGCACGCACACACACGCACACATGCACACAATGCAAAACAGGCAAACACCATAGAGCCAGCACACTGATAAGAACGAGCTCACAACACAAAACCAGCTCCACCTCATGCGCATGTACACGAAAGACAAAACAGCACTGCTGAGCAGCTGGGCATGGACATGGCGTATGACTCGGATCGTATCCAGGCAACATAGCGAATTCCAGCACCGCAAAAAAGCCACGCATCCCGGAAAGATGGAACAACAAAGAGAGTCACTCGACTGCTACCCTACAAGAGAGGCTCGCTGAAGCCTTGCTTGGAGCACAGGATGAACACTTGTCATCCACCGAGGTCCATACAGTGGATGCAATCCTATCACATAGACTCACAGGTGTACACGTACTAGCAGCACCACATGTACTGTACTAGCAACACCACATGTACTGTACTAGCAGCACCACATGTACTGTACTAGCAGCACCACATGTACTGTACTAGCAGCACCACATGTACTGTACTAGCAGAACTACATGTAGTACCTACTTGACTGACATCCAGGAATCTGGCCAGGCGGGCTTGACACGCTGCTCTAGGAATTGCTGGAAAGCAGACAGAAAACAGCACACGCACACAAAAACACATGGATATCTTGAAACCGGTGACTTGGCCAAAGAACAGGAGATTGCCACGTGACGTGCCTCCACATGTGGACACAATATTAGTGAGCGACCTGTGGGGAACTGTTTTCAACGACGGGGGGGGGGGGTTGGGTGCAAAGGAAAACGCATCGAGATCAAATCGCCCACGGGACGTCGAGTGAAGACAAGTTGGCACATAGTGAGTGAACCGAGAGTAGTTTTCAATGAGGACAAAACGATGCAAAGGAAAACGCATCCGATTGAGAAAAGTTAACCCACGGGGAGTGAGGGAGTAACATGGGGGGCACGAGCTGACGGTGTGTACACCAACTTTCACAGGGAACTGCAGTTCATGTACCCAGCATTTAGAGATCGTGCCAGCACTTGAAGGGATCAAGCAAAACCAGATGTGCTGGCAAGAGAGAGAGATTGTGAGATTGTGAGGTGGAGTGCAGGAGTGCAAGACCGTGATGCGGGCAAGTCACGTAATGAAGGCAGCGCTCACCTCGCACTGACCAATAATCACAATTGCACACTCTTGGCTAAGGACTCTTGATGGTACATGTACGTATAACTGATGCCCAAAAGCTTGCTCTGTGTTACCGGTAGCAAGCAGAACTCCTCTCTATCTCTCCCTGTTTCTCTGTCTCTGTCTGTGTCTGTCTCTCCCTTTCCCTCCGCACAAGTTACTTACTTTGATGGAGTCCACACCACCGACAATGCGCTGCATGGTAGCCCGGAGACCTTCAACCTTTGCTTGTACAGCCTCGCACAGCAAAGAGCTGCAGAATGGCACCAATAAAAAAGCAGAGACAATCATATACTAGTAAACAATAGAGCATTGGGCTTCCCCAGCAAACGGGAACAAATAAAAAGAAGGATGGTTCAGATACAAGCACCATGGACTTTGCCAGATCCAAAATGAACAACATAGTTAGGAAAAGCATATCCTGCAAGTTCTTAGAGACCATTGCAATAGCTTTATGTAGCAGGTGCATGTTTGCAGTCAGCCACAGGGAAATTAGGGCTGGGCCGGGACTTCACTCACCGCCAATGCAACCAATACAATGTTGAGCAACAGCACAGGCATCACTAGCAATACACTGAAACAGCTATTGCACAATAGACTTTCAGAGAGAACAACTCGGCTGCATTATGGTGAGTATACAGTGCTCAGTCCCTACACCCCAGTCATGAGATGCTCAGTCCCTACACCCCAGTCATGAGATGCTCAGTCCCTACACCCCAGTCATGAGATGCTCAGTCCCTACACCCCAGTCATGAGATGCTCAGTCCCTACACCCCAGTCATGAGATGCTCAGTCCCTACACCCCAGTCATGAGATGCTCAGTCCCTACACCCCAGTCATGAGATGCACAGTCCCTACACCCCAGTCATGAGATGCTCAGTCCCTACACCCCAGTCATGAGATGCACAGTCCCTACACCCCAGTCATGAGATGCTCAGTCCCTACACCCCAGTCATGAGATGCACAGTCCTGGCTAATACTGTTTGAACAGCAGTGCAGAAAATGTGTATCTTACCGCGTCTCAACAGTCCACTGGAACTTCTTGTTAGGTGGCCGGAACTTCTTCGTCTTTGCCTCTTCTTGAGGCTGTCGACAACGGGGAAAGAAGAGGTGCCGATTGGAGTTAGAAATGAACCAAAGCAGTGGGAGTAAACAGCAGTATGTTGCCGCAAAAACACAGCCAGTGTTTTGATAACAACAAATCATGTATTCTTTATTGGCCACCTAGGATCCTTAGCAGGCCCCCTTCTCTGTCTGTCTGTCTGTCTATGTGTCTCCCTGTCTCTCCGCCTCTGTCTCCGCCTCTGTCTCCCCTCTGTCTCCCCTCTCTCTCCCCTCTCTCTCTCTCTCTCTCTCTCTCTCTCTCTCTCTCTCTCTCTCTCTCTCTCTCTCTCTCTCTCTCTCTCTGCTCCACTCACCTCTTTTCTTGATATATGACTTACTTTATGCGTGGGAGATTGCAGTGCGCTGATCAGTGATGAGTCAGCCTCATCTTCACCACCACTACCGATTGTAGAGTCCGATGCAGCGGCCGCCTGTAAACAAAGAACATGAAACAGTTACTTCATGTAACTAACGAAGAACACACCTCTAAAGGCCAGAACAACTCTGTATCCAAGAGCCAAGGTTCAGCATACACACCATCAGATGACTGGATAAGCATAATTATGCACAATACCAAGAGTACATGAAAACCAGAGTGTGCAGCTTGGGGCCTTTTCTGCTATGGGTGTCTGTCACGGCGGAATTCCGTGTGTTCAGGACTCGCCTTCACTACTATGCAATATTTGCCATTATGCCAGATTACGCTGGCACTTGCAGTGCACTAATTATTTCTTGTTTCTATATGCTTGAGTTGTATCTGTCGTGTATCTTTCTTGGCTCGATATGAGTCCGTTTATAGCTGTAGCCATCCTGTCCCAGCCGGCAGGGGGTCGCACGGGTTCATGACCTTTACGTTTCCGGCGTTTGTACATTTCTGTTGTACCAGCGCTGCTGCTAATTTGTCGTAGGTTGCGCATATGGCCCTGCATGTGCCGTACGCGCGGCGTTTTCTTTGCTTTTGTATTTGCTGTTTCTCCCTGCTTGGGGGAGTTGTCGTGAGAGAGAAACAGAGTGAAATGGAAGAAAGAAGTCGTTTGGAGTTTGTCGTAGAACTACTAGAAATAGCATAAGCGTGATTCCGCCACGCAGTTCATATTCGGAACAGATGGTAGCAGAGGATGGTTCGAACAATATTTGAAATTAGCAGTTTGTAAGTCGAAAATGTCCGAGCGTACGAGTAGCGATGTCGAGGAGAGCAGCTCGATCAGCCCACACGAAGCGGAGGTGGAACAGGACCCACCGGAAAGCAAGAAGCATACGGCTTCCAGCGGTGTACCTCCTGGCAAGTCGATTGTACCACCTGAAAATGTCGAAGGCCATTTGATGCAATTGAAAAGCAAAAAACAAAAAGCCAAAAGAGAATTTACAAATACCCGACGAGGGTTGTTGGTTATAATGCGAGAGGGCGGTACGATGGAAGCGGCGGACCAGCAGCTCTGGTATCTTGAGAATGTCGAGCAAGAAATATTTGCATTGCTGACCGACATGGAGGAACTGTACTTGGGAGCTAATAATATCAAAGCCGTATCAAAGGTACACGACGAGATGGAAGACTTAAATCAAGAAATGAGAGCGACGACTGATCGCTTCGACCAGTTCGCGAGCCAGCTCGAGTCGCAGGTTAAAAAAGAGCCTGCACTTGCAGCGGGCCAGAACTCTGTGGAAAGGACGAGCAGTAGTACTAGTAATACTAATAGTCTGGATGCCACAGCCCAGCCTTTCATGCCAAGTGTGACCCAGTCTCAGGAAGAAAAGGCCACTCCAGCTGACTCAGATAGTCAGCAAGCACTGGAGTCCGATCCTAGCAGTACTGGTATCAGGAGAGGTGTTACTGTTAGTGCAGCAGCTGAGACTGTACACCAGGAACAGTGGCAACCTGGTCAACTAAGTAAGCAGTTAGATCCTGCACTGAGTACTACTGCCAGCCAGTCATCAGTGACCCAGACTAGCCAGACCGGAGCTGTCACTGCTAGCTCATCAGTCAGTATGACCACCAGCAGCACAGGGGATGGAACCAGTCCACGTCATGTACCTGCCCCAGTAAGTGCACCACTGTACACTCAGGCACATACCGGAATATCCAGCAGTACAGATACAAGGAGCAGTAGTGCAAGGGTAGCACTCAGTACTACTAGTAGTAGACCAGCTCTGCCAGCAGTGCGCATGTCCGCAGTAGCGCAGCCGGCACTACCAGCACCACCACCACAGCCACCACAATCGGCAAGGGCAGCTGTCGGCCAGGACCTGTGGAGGCAGCTTAAGCGAGTATCCATTCCAGTATTCCGTGGGGACAAGAAGCAGTTCCCAAGCTGGAAAGCAGCATTTCTGGCATGCATTGATCAAGCTCCGCTGACAGCCGAATACAAAATGCTGCAGCTGCGGGAGTACCTGGCAGGCGACGCATTGAGAGCAGTAGAGAATCTGGGCCACTCTGCCGCTGCATATGAAGCTGCCAAGACCCGTTTGGAGAGAAAGTTCGGCACAAGTCGGCGACAGGTGAACCTGTACCTCGAGGAGCTGGACAGATTCCGACCCATCCGTCCAGAATCAGCAAAAGACGTAGAACGATTTGCGGACCTACTTGACGTGGCAGTCATCAATCTGAAGGATATGCAGCGGACTGAGGAGCTGGGCAACGGTTCCCTGTATGCCAAGCTGTTGTCTAAAATGACGGAAGCCATGGTAGTCAACTATCAACGCTGGCTCTACGAAAACCACGAACCCGAGAATGTGGAAACCCTGCTGACCTGGGTAAATCGTGAGGCAGAATTCGCAGTCATAGCTGCCGAGTCAGTCCGGGGAGTGACCTCGCAAACCCGTCAACAGGAGTCCAGCACTGCACGGCCAAGGGACGTGAGCAGCCATGGACGAGGAGCAGATCGGCGTACCTCGCATCACACCTTCGTGAGCTCAAGCACTAGTGGCGACCTGCCGAGCCGCAACCGCTCTTGTCCAGCATGTGGCCAGGGTCATCCAGTGTGGCGATGCCCAACATTTCAATCGCAAAGTGTCACAAGGCGTTGGGCCACAGCACGAGGAGCCGCATTGTGCTACAGGTGTTTAGGCAGCGGGCATAGTGGGTCGAACTGCACACGCAGCCGCACCTGTGGGATCGACGGCTGCACGGAAACGCACAACCGCCTGCTCCACTCATCAAACAGTGACACCAGTATGGACCCTGCGGCGAGGAAACCAGCTGGAGCTCAGAGCAGTAACAACCAGGGTATGGCAAAGCCAAGAGCAGCACCCAGTCAACCAGACAGGTCAGGCCAGATGTCTGGGCCTCCTTCATCCGTCATGAACACGGAAGGGGAGTCAGTGTCCGAAGCCGGTGCGCATGCCAGAACGCATCACGGCCAGCAAGTTGAGCCACAGACAGCCCTGCGGACAGTGCCGGTGACCTTGGTAAACGGCAACCGCAAGATTGCGGTGAATGCCCTACTTGATGACGGCAGCACCGTGTCCTACATGAACAGTAGCATCGCAGCTGAACTGGGTCTGGCAGGAGAACAAAAGAGTATTACGGTGTCTGTCCTCAACGGAGCAGCGACAACGTTCAACACCGCCTCAGTGAACTGTCAAATCAGCAGCAGCGACGGAAGTGCCGGGTATGACTTCACGGCATGGACAACCAACAATGTGACCGCATCACTCAAGGCAATTAACTGGAACAATCAGCGAGATCGGTGGCAGCACTTGAGAGAGGTCCCATTCCCTCCTCTCAATGGAACAAAACACATCGACATACTCATCGGAGTCGACCATCCGTACCTACATGCATCGCTAGACGAGATTGCAGGAGGTCCAGGAGAACCTGTTGCACGAAGAACTCCACTAGGCTGGACTTGTGTCGGGCTCGTCAATCCCGACGCCACAGCCATCACATCACTGAACGGTCACAGTACGACAACCGCCAGTCTCGAGCAGCTCAACCAGGTCGTGCAGCGGTTCTGGGAGATCGATCAGAGCGGCACCCAGCTACGCAGCCACGTGCAGTTGACAACAGCCGAGCAGCAGGCCACCGACCGCGTCGCAACATCGCTGATTGGCACTAGCAGCGGGCGCTACGAGATCCAGCTGCCATGGAACGCCAGGAAAGTAGAGCTCAGAAACAACTACGCTATGGCACTGCGCCGACTCAGCAGCACAGAGAAGCGACTGCAGCACAGCAGCGAAGTAGCAGCAGCATACAGCCAAGCCATCGATGATTACGTGCACAAGGGCTATGTAGAGCAAGTGCAAGCAGCGGACATCGCCAATTCCGGTTGGCTCCTGCCACATTTCCCCATTGTGCGTATGGACAAGAGTACGACGAAGGTACGCATGGTGTTTGATGCTGCTGCACATTATCAGGGCATTTCTTTGAACGACGCCATCTTGCCTGGTCCGAAGCTTCAGAGAGAGCTATTTGACGTGCTGCTACGATTCCGTCGAAACTCAGTAGCCCTAGTCTGTGATGTCAAAGAGATGTACTTGCAAATCGAAATACACCCGGACGATCGCAAACACCTCCGGTTTCTCTGGCGTACACAAGACGAGGTCAACGTGTACCAATTCAATCGACTGGTGTTTGGACTCAACGTTTCACCATTCATCGCACACTACGTCATCCAGAACCATGCGCGGCAACATGCAGTGACGCACCCTCGAGGCGCCGAAGCAGTTCTGGAGTCAACCTACATGGATGACACACTGGATTCAGTGGAGAGTGACGAGAAAGCAGTTGAACTCTATCACCAGCTATCGTTTGTGTGGAGCACCGCCGGGATGAAAGCCAGAAAGTGGCTGAGCAACTCGCCAACAGTCCTGCAGAGCGTTCCGCAGGAAGACCGGCAATCATCAATCGACTTGTCAGGAGAGCTACCAACAACCAAGACGCTTGGTGTACAGTGGCGGCCTGACAGTGACCAGTTTGGCTTTACATTCTCGAAGCCAGCAGACAACAACATCACGAAGCGCCTAGTGGTGCGACACATCGCTACAGTGTTCGACCCATTAGGATTCCTAGCACCATTCGTTGTGCGTGGGAAAATCTGCATCCAGGAAATGTGGGTAGCCGGTCTGGATTGGGATACCCCAGCGCCAGAGGCAATAGCGGGCAAGGCTCGAGCTTGGTTGAACGAACTCTGCGACACAGATGCCATCCAGATACCGCGCTGTCTCTACCCGAATAGTGAAGCCCCGGACAAGGTACTGCACGTCTTCACTGATGCATCAACGCTAGCCTACGGAACAGTTTGTTACGCAGTGTCAACCCTTGCAGATGGACAGGTCTGTGTTCGTATGGTTGCTGCAAAGACACACGTCGCACCGCTCAAGACCATCAGCGTACCCCGTCTTGAGCTGATGGGAGCCATGCTCGGCCTCCAGTTAGCACAGTCTACAGCTGAGGCACTCAAGATTCCGAAGTCAGCAGTTGTCTATTGGAGTGATAGCGTGGATGTCCTCTGCTGGATTCGCAACCCCAGTCGCATCCACAAGCCATTTGTCGCGCATCGTATCGGGGAGATACAGCTGGCAACGCAACCAGAACAGTGGCGCTACGTGCCAACGAAGTGCAACCCAGCAGACCTCGCGTCCCGTGGAACCTCAGTAACCAGCCTCATCACCAGCCAGCTGTGGTGGGAGGGACCGCAATTTCTGCAGCAAGAGCAATCGACGTGGCCACCAGCACCGGCACAGCTTTCATTGACGGACAATGCGAAGCAAGAAGTGAAGAAGGACCATCGGGCTACGGCATCACAGAGCCAACAACAGCAGACGTTCACAGGCAGCATCACTGCCGCCGACTTGGGACGCTTGGACCCGTCTCGCTATTCCGAGTTTAATCGACTCCTACACGTCACAGCCTGGGTGTTCCGTTTTATCCAGAATTGTCGCACACCGGCCAGCAAGTTAGTGACGTCCACGCTGACGGCAGATGAGCTGAAGGACGCAAGAACGTACCACTGCAGAACAGCACAGCAACAAGCGCTTGAGTACAACACCGTGAGGCAGAAGAACTCACTGCCCAAGGCCAGCAGTCTGAGGCAGTTCCAGCCGTTCATCGATGCGGACGGGTTGATGCGGGTTGGTGGTCGTCTTCAACATGCCGAATTTCTATCGTTCGACCAGCAGTGCCCGATAATACTGCCAAAGGGACACCGAATCACGCAACTCATCATCAAGTCGTACCATGATCGCGGGAATCATACGTGCGGCGTCAATCACATGCTATCGGAGCTATCAAATCAGTACTGGTTGCTCGGTGGGCGTGACGAGATTCGTTCCTGTGAGTCCAACTGTGCCAGATGCAAGCTACGAAAAGCATCACCAGCAGAACAGGTAATGGCTCCCTTGCCGAAGGTACGAGTCAGCCTGCCGCTACGAGCCTTCGCACGAGTCGCAGTGGACTACGCTGGGCCATTTACAACGAAGCAAGGACGAGGCAAGACCCGAGCCAAGAGGTACCTCTGTCTGGTCGCTTGCCATCTGACACGTGCCGTTCACTTGGAGCTAGCGTACGGCCTCGACGTGGACTCGTTCCTCCAAGCGTATCATCGCTTCACCAACCGGAGAGGAACGCCAGTGGAAGTCACATCCGACAATGGAACAAACTTTGTGGGCGCCAACAATGAGCTCCGTGAGTTGGCAGAGGCGCTAGATGTCGACAAGCTCCAGCGAAGCATGGCGCAAGAAGGCACTCGTTGGCACTTCAACCCACCTAGTGGACCGCACTTTGGTGGCGCACACGAAGCACTGATCAAGGTGGCGAAACGAGCTTTGTCTGCCACACTCAGCAACCGCGATACGACTGACGAGGAGTTGTACACCGCCATTACCGGTGCTGAAGCGCTGATGAACTCCCGCCCATTGGGATACCAGTCAGCCGACCCACGTGATCCGTTACCGCTAACACCGAACCATTTCTTGCATGGGCAGCAGGGCATGCCATTCGTCCCAGCAGGCACTGACGAGACGCAATGGACACTCAAACAGCGATGGCGGATGGTCCAGGACATCGTACTTCAATTCTGGCGCCGCTGGATGAAGGAAATTGTGCCAGAGCTGAACCGTCGCAAGAAGTGGACTCAGACCAAGCCAGATCTCACCGTCGGAGATGTTGTGCTAGTCGTGTCACCAGACACTGCACGAGGAGAGTGGCCACTAGCAAGAGTGGCGGAAGTGTACCCAGGCAGTGATGGGCATGTTCGAGTCGTGAAGATCAAGGTCCGAGGGAAGTATCTGACACGGCCTATCACTCGACTGTGCCGTATTGACGCGGAGTGAGCAGTAAGAGAATTAAGTCAAAGTGTGTATGAATATTCGACAACGCATTGCTCGTTTGCTCGTTATGTTCGGAGTGTTTTTTCATTATTGTTTGTGGTTATCATAGTGCAGTTTAGCCTATGCACCCGTTTGCATGTTGTCAAGCAGTATGCTATTTTGATTCGCGTAGTGCATGAGTTAGTTGCTATTTTATTTATTGATGCTATCGTTGAGCTGGCATGTTGCACTTTAAGATCAATCCCAGCAGCAAGCAGTATTGGATTGAAGAAGGGGAGAGATGTTCAGGACTCGCCTTCACTACTATGCAATATTTGCCATTATGCCAGATTACGCTGGCACTTGCAGTGCACTAATTATTTCTTGTTTCTATATGCTTGAGTTGTATCTGTCGTGTATCTTTCTTGGCTCGATATGAGTCCGTTTATAGCTGTAGCCATCCTGTCCCAGCCGGCAGGGGGTCGCACGGGTTCATGACCTTTACGTTTCCGGCGTTTGTACATTTCTGTTGTACCAGCGCTGCTGCTAATTTGTCGTAGGTTGCGCATATGGCCCTGCATGTGCCGTACGCGCGGCGTTTTCTTTGCTTTTGTATTTGCTGTTTCTCCCTGCTTGGGGGAGTTGTCGTGAGAGAGAAACAGAGTGAAATGGAAGAAAGAAGTCGTTTGGAGTTTGTCGTAGAACTACTAGAAATAGCATAAGCGTGATTCCGCCACGCAGTTCATATTCGGAACACCGTGATTGCATCATTTTGGTGCAGATCTGAAGCAGGAAATGGCGTGGTGCGTACAGTTGTGCAGAAAGAGACCTGCTTGAATCCTGCCTGTACGCATTACATCACTAAAATGATGTAATCACGGAATTCCGCCGTGACAGCAACCCATCCGAGCTGCACACTCTGGTTTTCATGTACTCTTGACAATCCTTGAAATCGCACACTAAGCACTCCCTTCATATGACCCACTTTCTGGGGCAGGAGAGCGGTCTTTTTACCACTTCAAGTTGCACAGGCACTTCCTATGACTAGTATGAAGTTGACTCTGACACTGTCAGCTGATACGCACCAAAATGGCAAGTAGTGAAAAAGGCAGGACAACATAGCATGTTTCATAAGTGGTCTGCAGGTTGTGTTAACATGGTGGATACTCGGGACGTAAAGATTTGAGAAAGAAAGAACAGAGAGAGAGAGAGAGAGAGAGAGAGAGAGAGAGAGAGAGCGAGAGCGAGAGCGAGAGCGAGAGCGAGAGAGAGAGAGAGAGAGAGAGAGAGAGAGAGAGAGAGAGAGAGAGAGAGAGAGAGAGAGAGCGAGAGAGAGCGAGAGAGAGAGAGCCAAGGGAGGGAAGAGGAACACCAAACCACTCCCACATACCGCTTCATCTGTCATGCTGGATGCCTTCTTATGAGCTTCCACAGCTCGGCGAACTTCCTCCTTGTATCGTTCTTGTTGCTCTGGCATTTGCAGCTCCACAGCTGTGTGAGCAAGCGAAATTAACACACACGCCACCACAACAACGACATTGGCGATGGAAATTACCGGAATATAAAGGACCGATGAAGTAGTTATTCATCTCAGGAGAAAGGCTACAGGCCCCGATTCTAGTGCACGTACGACTCCTCACCATGATACTGGTGAAAACCAATACCCGCTCCTCACCATGATACTGGTGAAAACCAATACCCGCTCCTCACCATGGTACTGGTGAAAACCAATACCCGCTCCTCACCATGGTACTGGTAAAAACCAATACCCGCTCCTCACCATGATACTGGTGAAAACTAATACCCGAGCCGAACAGCTAGACCAAAGGAGATGCTTCGAAATACGGAAGATGATAAATGAAGACAACACAAGGCTGTGCATAAGAGAGAGAGAGAGAGAGAGAGAGAGAGAGAGAGAGAGAGAGAGAGAGAGAGAGAGAGAGAGAGAGAGAGAGAGAGAGAGAGAGAGAGAGAGAGAGAGAGAGAGAGAGAGAGAGAGAGAGAGAGAGAGAGAGAGAGAGAGAGAGAGAGAGAGAGAGAGAGAGAGAGAGAGAGAGAGAGAGAGAGAGAGAGAGAGAGAGAGAGAGAGAGAGAGAGAGAGAGAGAGAGAGAGAGAGAGAGAGAGAGAGAGAGAGAGAGAGAGAGAGAGAGAGAGAGAGAGAGAGAGAGAGAGAGAGAGAGAGAGAGAGAGAGAGAGAGAGAGAGAGAGAGAGAGAGGACAGAGCCTACTTATCCAGTCTTATGACACTCACCTGCTAGTAACCGAGCGAGCGGCCCTTCAAGAGACACTTCCTGCGTACATTAGATATACCATACAAATGCATGCACACACACACACACACACACACACACACACACACCACACACACACACACACGCACACACACAATATTTAGTTGACGTCTATACATCACTAACCGAGTACATCAATGTGTCCGTAGCCCTATGCATATTAACACAGCGAAAACGTGACAGCATCCTACCTCGTTCGCTATGTTGACTTTCTTAGCCCGCCGCTGAAGTGACTCCTTTGAGTGCGGCAGAAAGGAGCTGAGGTGGGCATACACTGCCTGTGTAGGGAAGAGAACACACAGTGACATGCAACACATCCTGGCATGTCTGGAAAATGTTAAGGAGATAAAAAGCTCCGACGTAACGGGCTACGTCAAGGACACGGATCAATGGATTTTCATGATGAAGGGATCCCACGTGTGCCCCATGCATCACGTAAACAATGGCAGCACATGGACACACACACGTAACGAGAAAGCACAATCACAAAAGCCCATACCTGACGCCGTTTTCCCTTCACTTTATTGTGGAGTTTCGTTTCGATTCTGAAGGAAGGAGATCAAGATAAAACAGCATTTCAAGCGCGAGCAACAGACAAACAGGAAAGCACACCAAAACCAGCCCACTACATGGCACCTATCAAAGAAAGCAGAGCCAGTATTTCACCAATAACAGTCACATAAAGTATAGTATAGTTGTATGTCCCCATAATAGCTATTCACAGCATGGTCATGCATGTGCTGCTACGATGCTGCAAAGCACTAACATTATAGCCGCCGCTGAAACCTCACACGAGAGCACAAACACAACAGCTAGTCAGTGTCTGCTCTAGGATTTCAAACCAACCGGGTACACGTGTACCTGGCACAGCCATTGCAACCGGGTCAGAGCCGGGTCCGTTCAAGTGGCTAGTGCGGCTACCTGCATGTTACCATGTAGGTCTACATCACAGAGTTGTAAATTTTAATGTGCCAGGGCTCCCTGCTTGTATTCCCAACAGGGTCACAGGTGACCTGGTGTTCTTTTTCCAAACGGGTCTAAGTGCCCTCCCCCCCCCCCCCCAACCGGGTCGCTGACCCGGCTGACTCGGCTCTGGAGCACACACTGCTAGTCTTCGCAGCTAGTTCAAGTAGAAATACACCACTCGACAGGGAAGAGAAAAGCAAGAAACGGAAAACTCGAACGTACTCCAACAGCATAGCATCATAGGTTGAGTCCAAGTTCTTCACACATGCGGTCTCGATAGAGCCACTCAAAATACCCTGCAGGTACGGCACAGGGGCCACAGCACAGAGGAGCATCAGAGCAAAGATAGAAGAGGTGGTCAGGGTTACTGGTAATCGATGAGCACACACGTATCCTTGCATAATGAACACACACCACACACACATACACATATATACAATACCAGGCATGTGCACAAATGCACACATAGACCGAATTGTATTTTCCAGCAGCTAAAACTTGAGAAACACGTTCAATGCTTCTTGCGGTCGCAGTCTCATTTCCAGGCACGAGGACATTACTGCCTTCCTCAACCCTGCAAACAATTCATATAAGTGGCGAGAGGACAGTGGAGCCGCCCTTTTTACACAAGCAGCATGCCATCAGTGTATGCATGTGTGTGAGAACACTCGCGATAGCAATGTCGAAATAAATGCTATAATGGCGCCAGTGTATGTGTGAGCCGTGTGTGAGAAACGGCACGCAAGTGGGCTGACAACAATGACAGGAAGGTGTGAGTTAGAAGTTAAGAGTGAATAGCAGCACGGATTTGAGTTGTGGTGCTCTGCTCAAAATGTATTCGGTTCTGACACCTAAGCTGCAGGAAGTGTCCACACAGATCGTGAAGGTGTGATGCTATAGCATAGGGTTACTAACTTAGCACTGCAGCAAGGGGTGCAGCAGTTCATCCCCACACTGCTCCCACTGCTACTACCAGTGTTAGAAACTCGATGGGTGCGCGTGTGGTTGGCCTTGCACTACAGGAACTTTACCTTTCGGAAACTGTGAATGAATTGAACAAGATCGGGCGGTAAGCCTTCAGGTAGTTCTGTGGTCTGCGACTGCGAGAAGTCCTCAGAGAATGGACCGTCATCTGGTATTGCACTGCTGCCGGGATGCTCAAATGAAGGCGATGAGGCATCATCCGTATCTACAGAAAGCGATGCAAGACAAACAAAATTCATTAGAATCATTCACTCTTACAACAGACTGAGAAGGACATGTACAGACTGAGAAGGACATGCTTTGAAAGTTTGAAGTAGTTTTCACTTGCCTTTGCCGACCTGGTGAGAAGGCAGTGAAAAGCTGACAGTGTTGCTGAAGGAAACCACATAAGAAGATCGTATGAAAGAGAGTAGGCTAGGGCAACAAGTGAGATAAACATACCCATTCGCTCTTCACTGGACTGGGTGACGAGCGTTTTCGTCGGTGACTTTCTTGGCGAACTCTGGCTGGTGTTTTGTGCAATGGGCTGACGGCCATCTGATGCGTAGCCGGCACTTGCTGCGGCTGGTGGCGAAGTGGAGGCGACTTTAGTCGGTGTCGACGGCAAGAGGGTGGACTGCTGCTGCTGGTTAGTGGCAGCACCGGGCGTTGGGACGGCACTCGTAGAGGTAACTGTGGCGGGCGTCTTCATCAGACCACCCAGTTTGGTAGTAGTAATCTTACGTGGCCGTCCTCGTGGTGCTCCGCTGAGCAGAACAAGACAATTCAGAGAGTAGCAGATACTCCCCAGACTCCACTTGGCAGCACAAACACGTGTACATCCCATACCAAAACATGAATCTTATGACAAGCAGGTACTTTCCCGAAGAGCTTTGCCGCAGGCAGTGCTCAACAGTCCACACATTGGCCGAAGTAGTATGGAACATATCACAATGCACAAATGAACACGTACACCAAAAAGGAACAATATTACAAATAAGAAACCCTGGTGAGTGATGAGAATTCGGAACTTGGCACACAGTACAAGAAAATGACACAGAACATAACACACTCGCTTACGTTCCCTCCGGCCGTTTAACTGGACTCTTCTGTGTCTTGTGGGTCAGCGAGGATCCACGACCTCGACCTCTGCCGGGACGTGGCTCACCATCAGCTCCAGTCCTATGGTGTACTTTCTCTTGGGACTTGGCGTGCTTGATTTTCTTCGGCGGGGCAAAGTCACCGCTGCAATGCAAGGAGGTAGAAGAAACAGGAGAAAGTCAAATGTGACACGTGGTCCACTACCCGCGTGGTGATCCTATAACATATAATAGCATAGCAACTCTCGACCATAGCGCCATTTCACGGTGCGGATTCTGATTCTCTAATTCATGTTGTTGCATGGGCTATGCTTTTCATCAACCAAGCTTGGGTGTTACATAATCTAGAATAGTACATGGCTGATGCATAGCACGACAGCACAACTTGCTCAAACAGAAGAGTTTCATTGTAGCAACAAACACACCACCAAATACTAACTACAGTAGCACTGGTCACTGACCTGTCGGCGGGCGGCATGGAGCGACTATCCTCGTCGTCTGACGTGACCGACTTGAAGAAGAGCTCGCCGTCATTGATGTAAAACCCACCGTGCTGTGGCTCGTACCCCTCCGGCACATAGTCGTCAAACTAAACACAATAGAGGAAATGAAATGCAGCCATGGGGGTTACAAGATGCAATGCAGCCGCAATGAAGCCATGGGGGTTACAAGATGCAATGCAGCCGCAATGAAGCCATGGGGGTTACAAGATGCAATGCAGCCGCAATGAAGCCATGGGGGTTACAAGATGCAATGCAGCCGCAATGAAGCCATGGGGGTTACAAAGGAACTGTACACAATTAGCACATGCAGTGCACAAGCCAGTTCACAAGCAAGGCTACCTCCAGCTGTCACCCATCACGGTTTGAATGTTACACATATTATTATGTGAGCCTGCCAGTTACAACAACTGCCAGGAGATTCCATACATATACACATGGTCGGTGACCTGCAAATGGTGCTTTCTGCGCCGATGAATTTGTGTAAAATTGCAATGGTGAGGTTCTGCTAAACGTGAAATGTAGAGAAATCACGTAGAGAGCAGGTGTCTGGGTTAGTCTACGGCTTCGCGTGTTTTGGGTTCAGATTTCTACGCGTAGATGCGGTTCTCTACGTTGCGACATACACAAAGAAAATGCGTACAGATTTGCTGGGTATCATTCAAACAAGGCAGAAAGCTACCAAATTTAGAACGGGAAATTCCCAATAAACATTCCATGTGACTTCTTTACGTGACCGTAGAGAAGAAGAGGTTTCCTTTACATTACAGGAACGCGAAGAGTTCCCGTAACGTAGAGCAGAATACCATTAGAGGTTCTGCAAAACGAAAATGTGTACGAACTTTCGCTCTACGTCACGAAGTGAGAAACTTCAAACGAACTTTCGCAACTTTGGACGCGAAACTTGCAGGGAACGCGAAATGAACTTTCGTAGGAAGTTTCGTGAGATTGGTCATGTCGTACGTGCACTTGGCGCGTGCAAACTACGAAAATGTGCAGAACACAAAGTTCGTGCGAAAATTCGTACACATTTTCGCAAGGCCTGTTGCGAAACTTCGTTCGAATTTTCGTTTTGCAGAACCTCTCTACTGTTTTTGATTTTTTCACCTAGCAAGGGGCCTTGAGCGTTGAGCATAGAAAACAATCAAGATAGTGTGCAGCTCTGGGAAGTTCACAAATCACGTAAAAATACTGACGTACTCCAGAAAAAGGGTCTGAAAACAGGATGCCAGGTGCATCATGTGACCTCATTCTGCACCTTGGGCACGGTCAATACTTAGCAAGTTGATAATGGCCAACAAATGATCGAGGGGAAATGAGGATACCAACAGGCAAGTAGCCAGGAGGGGGTTGGAGGGCGTGGATGATCCCCCCCCCCCCCCCCCGCAGGCGGCCTTGAAAAAAAATCTTGTTTAGACATGTTGATTGTTCTGCGGAGGTCATAATATGAGCCGCGCCAAGCTAAAAAGTGGCTTTGTGTTTTGCCAACAAATCGAGAAAATCACCAAAACGTCACAGTGGGCAAAATTGTACTCGAGCGCGATCGCGAAAATATTCACTTTCCAGTTTGCAAGCGGATGAAGAGAGAAGCCTTTTTTTGTTTGAGCAACACTTCTTCAGTGTTCCCTCTTTCATCGTTGTGGGGATTCCTCAGCGCTGCCAGAGATCATAATGGAGCTTCTAGAAACTGTGGAGGTGAGCAGGATGACATTCTGTATCCGTGTGAGCCAAAACCTACTTGACGAGGAAGAGTCGCTCATTCATAGTGGCTGTGTTTCTTATCGTGGCCACGACTAGAGTGGCGAGTGTAGCTATGGGGTGACGTCTACAAGCCTTCCGACTATCATTCTGACAAGCGGCCTGGTGAGTTGGCTCTTGCTGCGATGTTTCACTTTGTTTCGGCTACCTTCAATTTAGTGTTCATGACGTGGCGTACTGGATTCCAAAATTTCCTCGTTTCAAGGAAATAGTGCCACACGACGAAGCGATGCATTGACTCTACCTGCTAGCATATTGTTCCGTGGCGCCTTCTACCAGTATCCTTGGCAGGGAAGGAGAATGACATGGACTAGGACGGACAAAGAATCAGTGCCGCTTGTTAGCGATGTGCAGTTTACTGGACCTATGCAGGTGCGAGGGCAGTACACCAATGGAGCTAGATCTCTGGCACAGCACGAGCTAAATGAAAGGATTAATTCATCCTGCCATAGGTGATTGGAGAGAGTATGACGGACTATCTTGGTAAGATGCGACGTTCCCCAACGCAGCGAAACATCTAGTCACAACAACATCATGTTGAATGATATGAAAATTCGTATTGCGTAATAAAATGACATGAGTCATGATGAAAATATAATGTAGATCTGTTATTTCTTCTTTCTTGGATCTTCTAATTAGAACACAAGTACCCTTTCTTCTTTTATTGCTTGCACACCTGCTAAGCTTTGTCTCTACTTGGTGTCCCATGTTTTCTTGGAGTTTGGGAAGGTCTTGGAATCCTTAGTGTCATTGATACCAGCCATTCTGTGACAAGTGCACAATGTATGCTTATTTATGGCACATATACATTTCAGATGGGCACCAAAATTTCCATGATGGAAGTTGGATAAATAGACATCACTTTGGCATGAAATAAGAAATTTCCAAAAATTATGCCTAAGGCCAAGTAAAAAAAAAAGCTAGATGATCGTCCCCGTCCGCCCCAGTTTTTGTCAGCGCCCCAAGAAATATTTTATTTTTTAAATCGTGAGTTTTTGCCGAAATCGTTGGTTTTTTACCGATCGCGGATGCAGGAAACATGTGCACGCTTTGTTTAATACTTTCTTTACTATATGGACCACATACTACTAGTATATCACAACGTCAGTATCGATCTGCTGAAGAAAGAAAAAGAAAAAAAGAAAAAAAAAAGAAAAAAAGAGAAAAAAAACCTTGATGTTGTTGTGTACACTGTGTGCATGAGAGGGTAAAAAGTAAAAAAATAAAAATAAAATCCTCCCGCCCTCCCCGATTTTTCCAAAAAAAAGGACGATCATCTAGTAATTTTTTTTACTCGGCCTAAGCCACCTTTTAGCTTGGCTCGGCTCATATATCTACATGGTATACTGGCATGTTGCAAATTTAGTCCCATCTCTGACAGCCTGGCTGCAAGAGTCATCAATGTACATACTAGTACTCGAAAAGACAAGAACGATCTTTCTTACCGCCTCAGAATTGTCAACAAAAGAGTCTGACTCATCGTAACCCGAGCTCTTATCGATAAGATCCTGGACAAAAGTGAAAATAACAATCATACAACGCTGGAAACAGTACAAAACATCTCAAACACGGCCAATAGCCCAGTGAGCAGAACAGAAGTGCCGGGACTCAGACTGACAACGGAGATGAGTTTAGATGTGTTGTACAGTCCCTGAATGGCGCCTGTCTTTGTGGGACGGGGTAATTGCAGAGGAAGATCCTTTGGCGAGTAAGTGACCTTTGGCATTCACACATATTCAGGATATAACAAAAAGACATCACCAAGAATGTGTACCTCCTATTCTAACCTGCCTTGGGGACGTGATGTCGGCATGCCATGGCATGAACTTTACGTGTATCACCCACGTTCCTGCATCCGTGACGTGGAACTGAACCTCCCTTATGTGTTTCTGATGCTACTTGTCACCGGGAGAGTTTATATTAGTGATATTAATATTCTTCACTGTCAGTGTGCAGCAATACAATTCATTGCATTCGGTGTAGCTGAGAGCCGGTGTTATCAAGCGTGTGTAGGGTGGACGGTATCTTTAAACGTACAGTGGTGGTCGTGCTGTGGCAAAGTGCCGAGGTCGGCTGGAGAGTGCAGTTATGGTGTGGTGCTTGATGAAAAAACATCTGTACAGGGCTGAATGCTGCTGCTCACCCTTGTTTAGAAGGCACAGCAAGACAGCTTGAAAATTCTGAAGAGAAATTCACGGAAGATTTCGCTACAGCCCTGGTGAGCAGATACGGTAAGGCCAGTCACCTTGAACAAATTTCAATTACTAACACAGTGGACAGTACTGTAAGACATGTAAATCTAACGTTTTTTTCTTCTTGTATGAAAAGCTCTATTGAGGCTGTAAGATCTCATATGTGTTAATTAATACTGCAAGATTTTTAAAGGGGAAGTTAAGCCTAAAATCAAATTTTCACCAGTTGTAGTCTTCGGGGTGCTGAGTCGAATGGTCTTGGTCCGAGGAAGCTGAGACGTCCCCTTCCTTCTTTATTCCCAATCGAACTCGCGCACTTCCACCGAAACTGGGTGACTGCGCCCTACTAGATGGGGATTTGTATGCAAAATGTCACTAAAAGCGCCATTTCGTTCTTATAAAAGCACGGATGACCGCGATTGGCCCATATGTTGTAGTCTTTTGGACGCTGAGTCGACTGGTTTTGGTCCGAAAAGGCTGCGATGCACCGTTCGGCCCTTATTCCCAATCGAACATGGTTGAACAAGCGGTCACGTGCTCCTGCGTACACCAGTCACCTGGTCACCGTGCCTGCAGGGTACAACTTACAGCCTGTTTGACCTTTTTTGGGTGCAGTCCTGTCACTCGAGTTGAACCTTGGTGTGAAAGTTGTCGCCTGCTGGCGCTGTGACCAGGTGGCTTGGGCACGCAGGAGCACGTGACCGCTTGTTCAACCATGTTTGATTGGGAATAAAGGAGGAACGCTGCATCGCAGCTTTCTCGGACCAAAACCAGTAGACTCAGCGTCCAAAAGACTACAACATATGGGCCAATTGCGGTCATCCGTGCTTTTATAAGAACGACATGGCGCTTTGACTAGTTTTAGTGAGATTTTGCATACAAATCCCCATCTAGTAGGGCGCAGTCACCCAGTTTCGGTGGAAGTGCTCGAGTTCGATTGGGATTAAAGTAGGAAGGGAGCGTCTCAGCTTCCTCGGACCAAGACCATTCGACTCAGCACCCCGAAGACTACAACTGGTGAAATTTTGATTTTTAGCCTTAACTTCCCCCTTTTGATGGATTTTTAGACAATCGTTAAATTCGCGACTTTTTATATTTCGGCCTGTCGGCTACTATACTTCTTTGTTCGTCTTGGGGGTTGACAAGGGGAAGTAGCAATGTAGTGGCATGAGCCCCGCCTTTCGGCACTAGCTCACTTGACTGAGTGAAGAGGACCCGTGTGACTTGAACATTGTCTCACAGTGGCTTATCGTTTTCTTTGCCGTAACGCGTTTGTTGTTTCTGCATGTGGGTGGCATGGTGTGCAAATGACTCTGCATGGACAGCGCAGCTGAACGGGCAGCAGTGGAGAAATGACGGCACTGGTACATTTGCGTCCCCCAAACCCTGAGAAACTACATGTAAATGAATTCATCGGGGAGGGTTAATGGCCCGGGCAAGACTTTACAGAATGTCCTGTACCTGCACTGCACTGAGCCGCCCCATGGCCCAGTCACAGACAAGGCAAAACGAAAAAGGGACCATGGCGATGTTAATGCCAACTCTTATGCAGGTGGACTGGTAGTTTCCTCAGGAACTTTGTGGTTTGCAGGACAAAAGTAAATTTTTAAAATGTTTGTGTCCGCGAACTTGTGTTGTTGACCATCGATAGGAGCAGCGAGTGGGCTCCGAAATCCCAAACATAATGTTAGTGCTAACCTCATCATATACGAGCCGTTTCCTCTTCTTCGACTTGCTCCCACCGCCCTGGATAAACGAAATAGGCAAAACTAACTTAGCATACGATAGCGAATACAAACATTTTTAAAAACTCGCGCCAACTTGGACGGATCTGAGGAACCGCGCCAAGCGAAACCACAAGAAAGAGCGTCGTCAAGGAAAGGGTCAGTTCGCCGTCCAAAGAAATAAAGTCGAAACAGCACCCAGACTGACAAGGATAGGACCAGTCATCACTGACTCACATATTTCTGCTCAAGACGACGAGCTATATCTGCAATTTTCTGCGCTTCGTCCTGCTCGCCACCAGCAAACGGCTCGGCACCATCTTTGTTAGTACTCTGCAAAAATCAAACAATGACGAAATAAAATAACGCCACACTATCACTGACGAGAACCTAAAGAAGTCATCATACCCACCACCGGAGAAGGCTGAAGGAAAGAGAATGGAAGCCGTTACAATGAAACAACCGTATGCAATGAATGAAGTGCGCATACCAACTAAAAAAAATAACAGACCCATCAAGACTTACCAGCTCCTTTTCAACCAAACGCGCATAAGAAAACTCAGGAAAAACATCAACGGTCGGCTGAGTCAAAACCAACTCCAAACGAAGACTGGAAGCCTGCTGCTTATCTTTGGGCTTCTTAGCAACTTCAGTGCTACCTTTCTCCAAGCCCAGTGTTTCTTTTATAGAAGCAGACATACTCTTCCACAAAGGGCAAATTGACGAAATCCTATACAGAAAACGGCAAACTAGCCCTTTGGAGTCAAGAGCACATCTGCTGGGTATACAACAACTGCATTATACAGTGATGTGCATGCTTTTCAGAATGCTTCGCACCTCAATCACTTTGCTTCAACAAAACTGCACTCAACACTCCACTGCAGCCCAAAACATGGCACAAAAGTTGGTCTAAACTTCAGAATAACGAAGTGCGCATGCCTCGCTGCGGTGGTGCCTATGACAACACCAATGAGCGCGCTGATTCTCTGCGGGTTCTACACTCTGATGCGCTATCCAGCACTTTTATATCAAAACTGCAGCTAGCTCAACAGACAACACCCTGCATGGTCGCTAGTACTAGTACTACGGGTCGAGTGGTACATGTACCGGTACTAACGCCTACTGTAGCGCTGATTTTACAGTGTAGATCTCCCACCATGTACCAGCATGCTAGCAGTAGATCTACAGTAACTTTTTACTTGTACTTGTAGTAAAGTGTAAGCTACGAGTCGTAGATCTACTGCATGCAGTCACAGTGCAGTGCTAGTGCAGTGTAGATCTACACGGATCAGCCACACGTACACGCAGTGCAGTGCACACGTCATACCAAGAGTACATAACCCCGGGGGGTTATGTACTCTTGGTCATACTCAACCACTTCTGTGTGTGTACGTGTGTGTGTCTTCATCACTGATCATGCATGCATGCTGCTGGTCGATTTTTTGAACAGTTTTTACCTTGTCTGACACGGCTTGTGCTTTATCAGAGTTTATGTAATCAGTTATCTACGTCACATTGCATTGTATATTGTGCTGTTGACGTGTTGTTGCAGTTTGCAGCCAATGCAGAGTTTTCTCCTGTGCCTGTGGCCTGTGCTTGGATACTGGATAGATTTCAAACTCTTGAGGATCTCGAAATATTGCAAAGGTCTTTAGCACTCTTTCAACAATGGCAGAGGGTGGTGCTGATGCGCCCATGGACCTTTCGGTTGTAGATAACAAAGACAAGAAACGCTTTGAAGTGAAGAAAGTGAGTTCTAATTTTGCTTCATTGTCAGCGTCTCACCTAGATTTTCCTGATTATTTTATTTGTTCTTTCTTGTCGTGTGTGATCTTGTGCTCGTGCAGTGGAACGCTGTTGCTCTATGGGCATGGGGTAAGTAGTTATGTCGTCTATGGCTGTTTTATTCGGGAGCTTTCATGAGACATTCTGCATGAAAGGAAATTTAATATCCCTGCAGCTGTATCTAAAATTGCCTCTTGTGATATGTCATGTTTTTTTTGCATTGTTCTTGCTTACTGCCATGGCTGGCTATCGCCCCCTCCCTCCATATTGGCCTATATTCCCTGGCCACGGGAAGGTGAACTAAACGAGAGAGCTTGGAAGCTCAGGGCCCTACGCTATACTTTTTTGCCTTGATGACCTAGGCAAAAAAAAAGCATAGGGATGTTATAATTTTTTCATTTCTCCTATTTTTTTCAAGACATAACCTGGGATTCGAACCCGCACTATCGCCCTGCATGCATCCCCCCGATACACTTCGCATACATACTAATTCTTCCAAGTTGCTTCACGTTATGATCTTGCATTTGAAAGCCCTATTTGAATATCGTGGCCAGCCGTCTTTGATGGTACGGTACGGGACAGATACGGTCGAGGGTAATACGATACCGTCTACCACCTTGATGACCTAGGCAAAAAAGCTTAGGGATGTTATAAATTTTTCAATTCTCCTATTTTTTAAGGCATAACCTGGGATTCGAACCTGCGCTATCGCCCTACATGCATTCCCCTTCGCATTCATACTCATTCTTCCAAGTTGCTTCACGTTATGATCTTGCATTTGAAAGCCCTATTTGAATATTGTGGCCAGCTGTTTGTGGCCAACTGTGTTTGATGGTACGGTACGGTACGGGACAGATACGGGATAGCGCCAGGCGTGACACAAATAAACAAACAAATAAATACCAAATTAAAGCTGTGTGGACCCTGGCTAGCGCCAGACGTTACTGAAATAACGTCTTTTGGATAGCTACGGGAATAAATAAATCCTGAGTACTGTAGAGGCAGAAAATTTCGTCGGTCAATAATTTCGTCCAACTCCAAAGAAAAGGAGTTCGTCCGGTTGAAAATTTCGTCCATAGATCATAAGAGTGTATAGAAACGCTGGACAAATCGATATTCGTCCTACATTTAATTTAGTCCAAAAGCTCCTTGGACGAAAAAGACGAAATTAAATTCCAGACGAATATTTCTGCTTATACAGTATCAATTTGTCTCGCAATCCAACCTTCTATTTCCTGTGCTATATAGACATCGTGGTGGACAACTGTGCCATTTGCCGGAACCACATTATGGACTTATGTGAGTACAGATGATATTCACAGCCGGATCATGCCATGTTTTATTATCTGTATTATTCGACTACATTCTTTCTCTAGTAAGTAAGTAAAGTAAATTATCGTGTCCGTTCCCGAAGGGAACTCACGACGGCCGCTAACACCCGGTAAATCCTAGCGGCAGATGCAGCGCCTAACGGTGGGGGTGAGTGGATAAGTCTCACAACCACTGGCACAAGTGCCGAGAACGGCCCCATTAGCTGCATCCATGTACCCCTTGTGCCTGGCCACAAGTTCCCAGTTGACTGTGGGTAGCAGCACGGCTGGAAAAACCGCTCCCAGGCAGGACTTGAACCAGGTACCTCTCGTATCTCAATCATGGTCTTTGACCAACCCACTGTGCCTGCCTGGTCACCTGCCTGGTTTCTCTAGTAGTATTGTATTATTTCAATGCTCAAATTATTAATTTGAGCATTAAAATAGATTTTAATAACGAAAGATGTTGCGACATTGGCGGTGATTTAATTTCATGAAAGCCACATGTAAGTATTGGTTTTCATTGGAATTTGTTTTGGGGTTTTTGTCCGAAAGGTTTAAAAAAAGCTGTAGTGTATATAATGCAACTCGGATGTTGAGTGGCGGACAGTTAGTCTCAACTCGTATCCATGTGTTCCTTTTCTTTTTTTTCTCTGTATTAACTATGTATTGCGTTTTTGCTTGGCTTTCAGTAAATTCTGTTTCTCTCGGCTGAAATTGTCCGCCTGAAGTTGGACGAAACTGATCGCCAAGGAAATGTTCTGCTTGTAAAGTATCCGAGTCCATTCTTGTAAAGTAGGTGCATAATTATATGACCTGTAGTGTGTTATCTAGTGTGTTGTGCTGAATGTGTCTGTGCAGGTATTGAGTGCCAAGCCAACCAGGCATCAGCTACCAGCGAGGAGTGTACGGTTGCATGGGGCGTGTGTAATGTAAGTCTGCGTCTGAGAATGGCAGTGTTCAATGGGCGCGTTTGATTACAGACAACTCCGAAATTCTATTCCCTACTTTGCCCACATCGTTCGGTTGCACAGATTTCTTCCTCTATGGAATCCAATTCCGCCCATCCCGAATTAAAGGCAGAATTTCATGGCCGTAACTTTCTCATTCTGGTCACTCACGGCTTTTCGAACCTAGGCCCAGAACATTGTACTCCAACGCGTCCAATGAAACCTATCCTCATGAATTCAGCTATAAAGAGTATAAGGGATGCAGACATTACTAATCAACATTACACCTGATGCGGGTTAAAGTGCAGCTGTGGGGAGTATAGTAAGCCGTGTTTTGGTGATGGCAAGGAGGAATTTTCCTTTAGCCAGCGGTGAGGGCTCTACACGATAACATGGAGCACTATTACACACGAAAGGCACAACGGAGGTTTACAGAACTCGTCGCAACTCAGACGTTTCTTGCACAATGCAAGTCGCCTGATGATTGCATGGTGCAAGAAACTGGGAGTTGCTCTGTGCCTTTTGTGTGTTATGGTGATTGGTGAGGTCTGCACCCTCGATACTCGTTAATATAGCTATAATTAAGATTCTGTCTCCACGTTGATCATTTATCCTCATGCATAATGTTAGCGCTAGTTGCAGCTTACCAGGCATAGACGTCATTGAGCAGCACTGTAGCGATGGCAATATTACAAAACTCATGTCTCATGACCGCTGCAGCAAAGCAGTTCAACTGAGCTCGGCTTCTTTGCCCCTTCACTATTTCTCCCATACCATGGATTGGAAGTTGCCCATACATGATGGGTAGATCCCCCATTTGGCTTTCAATCTGCATGTTCTGCTGCTCATCACATAATAATGTCTAACTTTTGCCTTGTGTTCTTCTCGGTGTAGCATGCCTTTCACTTCCACTGTATTTCGCGCTGGCTGAAGACCCGGCAAGTCTGCCCCTTGGACAACCGTGAATGGGAGTTCCAGAAGTAGGTCTTGGTGTTGAGACTGTTGACTGTCTGTGATTGAGTGTTTCTCTGCCTCTCTCTCTCTCTCTCTCTCTCTCTCTCTCTCTCTCTCTCTCTCTGCATTGCTCATTCTGTTGACTGCAGTTGTGTCTGCGACTAGGCTTTTGTTTTTAACCGTTGACGACGTAGAAAGTTACGCAAATTCCATGGAAGTATTCGCATCTAAAAACCTTTAGCGATTTCTCAGGCCCAGCGAGTGTACGGTGACGAATGTTCACAGAACACTGTGGTCACATGCATACAACCACCGCTGTTGAAGTTTAACTTTGCACTGGTTAATAGTTGCGTTTCTCGCGAAAGTAGCAGACGTTGATACGTCTCGAACACGAGGCAGTGTTAGAGTACATGTACACAGTGCTGCTCAGTGAAATCCAGTCACAGCGTCACTCAAGTTTGTGCCTTACACCATTTTGCAGGCTTGTGTTCGCAGGGCGCACCCGAGTCACGCAACTGGATTTTCAGTGAGCAGCTCTGTAGTGGTATTCCTGCTGAGTTGGCGTGGGTTTGATGTGCATTCTTCGTAGCGCAGCGCGCACCCGAGTCACGCAACTGGATTTTCAGTGAGCAGCTCTGTAGTGGTATTCCTGCTGAGTTGGCGTGGGTTTGATGTGCATTCTTCGTAGCTTGTGCACTTGCCCTCTACCCTGCCGTCACGCTCTGCACAGTCAACACAGTACCAGCAACGACTAGAGAAATCCCAACGCTTTCGGCCATTGGCCATCATCAGTAGATTTTTAAACTTTCTGTCCAGAGCCGAGCAGAGGGCGGCAAGTTCTCAGGTTCTAGGTGGGCACATGAAGATGAGGGTGCAGGAGTCTGGAGGTGCATCGCTTACGTGTGATTGTATTTTGGTGTGTACATGTATTGTGTTGTATATGATGCAAGCCTTGCCTGTTAGGTAACATGTTTTCACGGTGACATCGTGAACAAGGCGAGGACACACTGTATGGGAAACCGGTTTATGGTTGTAGTCAGGAGCACTGTTTCTCATACGGTGTGTCCTCGCCTTATTCACGCTGTCACCGTGAACACATGTATTGTGTTGTATTCTTGGTTCTCACCATCTCATCAGAAAGCTTTGTTATTGGTGTGTGTGTGTTCTCCGTAGGTATGGCCGTTGATATGCTTCACCGTATTGGTGTATGCCAGTGGTAGATGCTCCGGACCTGAACTTTAAAGAGCTACCACTGTGCATGCCGACGGGTCTTCGCTGCCGAATGCAATGGCCAGTGACATACCGTACGTCCCTGGGTGGTGGTTGTGTTGCTGTTTTTTTCTTCTTTTCTCTCTTTCTTTACACTGACCTGTACATACCTATCTGTGGATGTATTGCGGCACCGGGTCCGTGTGTGTGTGCGTGCGTGTGTGTGTGTAGGTTTTATGCAATGTACATTGCTGGTTTTCTTTCTTTCTTGTCGTAGTGCGTCCATTATGATTTTTCCTTTGACGTCATGTCTGTGCATAGGTCACACGACTCTTGTGTCATGATACTGCTTCGCATTTGGTGTGTATATTTCTGGCGTGCTGTTGATTTGTTGCCATCTGCTGCTTGTCCCAACGCCTACACATTGAGTGTTCTCATTTTTACACCATAATTTAGAGTTCTGCGCCCATTTTATCAGATATACGTCCATGTCTTCTTGTATTCTTATTCTGTATCCCAGTGTATCTTATGAGTCATTCACATTAGGGCTAGATTGTTGTGTGCTTTGTGTCCCCTCCTTGTTTTCCTGGACTTAACCTTAGAAGTCACACTCGCTCTGTTTAAAAATGCGTTGAGAGCAAACATTGCTTTTTATCCTGGTATGCGGTTGTTACTTTGACATGCGTGTGCGTGCGTGTACGTGTCTGACACTCACTTTCTTTTTGGATACCTCTCCCCGTTACGTTAGCCTGCATGAGACCCGAATGACCAAATTCTGCCGGTGAGCGGTGTGTCTGTGTGTGCATGCATGCACGCATGTACTCAAGTATGCATGCATGAGTACAGGTGCCTGCTGAGGTGGTATTCAGGGAAGTACCTGCATGTAGTAGCAGCAGCAGCATCACTCAAAGTCTGCCATCATTTATAGCAGGCACGTACGTACATGTATGTAAATATTGAATTTCTTTGATCTGTTCAAAAGCGAGAGAGAGGGAGAGAGAAAATAGCAAGCTATAATTGGCAGTTGAAGGTTTAGAAATCCTAAGTAGATGACACTAGCATAATCTCTTGTGATATTTGTTAGGAACAGCGTCCCTTTGAGTTCTATTGTTTAAAAAAATTCAATCCATAATTATATTTTTTGAATCACGAAAATCAAGCCGCCTGAAAAGCTGGTAAAGTACAGGCTGGGTATGTATGGTCTTGGGTGGTCAGGAAGGCCATACGAAATAGGTCTTCTTGAAGCCATTATTCGCATGTGATCACGGGGAAATACCTGCTTCAAAAGGCAAGGGTATATGTTTAGCTACAGGCAAGCACTTTATTTCTACATAAATAATAGTTCAAAGTAGCACAGAATTAACAATCATGATATTATTGCAACGTTGAGAGATAAGTACGCGTATGCAAGATTTGCCGGTGAGATCAAGATGAATTTAGCTTTGTGTTCATGCTGAAAGTGTCTTACTTCCAGACGCCGTACGAGGCGCTCAGCGTTGCTTGTCTGGCACAATTAGCATAGTACTACGCTGCTAGACTACGCATGTGTTGCCATGACCATGAGTTTGTTGCCATGGTGCTTTAGATGGAGTATCACACTCTTGCGCCGATTTCCTCGTACGGATTCTCAGCGGACACACCCATACCCATGCCTCTCTGGTTGTCGTAAAACGGATTCCGAGCCACTGAAGAACCCAGTGGTTGTCGCGTGCTATTGTTTCGCACCACGCCAGACTCGGTTGTTCCCGCGTACATTGGATTATCCATCGGCGGAGCCTGCCTGGGCATGCGCTCTATAGGCAGCATAGTGGCGTAGGTCCGCTCCTCGTCGTTGAAAGAACTCTCATCCACCGGGGGCTTTTCGTTGGACATGTAGGTCGGATTGTCAAGTCCATCCTGAGCACAATACAACAGCCAGCACATAGCACAGAATGTATGAAAGTCGAAAACCTCTCATATAGGTCCCTGTTTTGAACACAAGCCTGCTTTTCAAGGTGGACCATCAGAACATCAGCCTGGTTTTCGTGTCTACATACATGACAATACTGTACTTGCTTTAAATTCAAGCCCGATTTGAGTGATTGCAATAGTAGCCCAGGCCCGACATTGACGGCCGCAACATGAAGCCAGGCATTTGTACACGGCACTACAGGGTGATAATTCCGCCGTTCATCAAGTAAGGGGTCGTCGCAAAAGTTTTTGTCGTCCCTGAAACGATCATCATTCGTTTGGAAGGGGAGGGGTGCGAGCCAAAATCGCAAGTCGACAGACACTGTACAATACAGAATATACATGCACATGCATGCGACTTTCGTCATCCAGCATAGCAAGCTGCGTTCATTTCAGAGGGAGGGGGAGGGGTCCGAGTACGAAATGAACGATGTTCGTTTCAGGGACGACAAAAAGAACTTTTGCGACGACCCTCTAAGGCTCCTACGATTAGGTGATTGCCATCAGTTGCGGTGTCCTGTGCTATACGACTGGCTGTATGCATGGCTATGAGCAGCGAGTGAGCAGCATGTGGGTGCTACGTACCTCGTATTCATCGGAGAGAGTGCGCACTGGCTGGTACGTGGGGTTCTCCTGAACCATGGCACTGGTCTCACGATAGGCGTGCGCCATTCGCATTGACTTCACTCGCCGGCTCCTGGACACGGGACAAAGAACACGGGAACACACACATCCAATGTGTTTAGCTTTCTATCCTGATTTCTTCTTGCCAGTGGAAAAGCTGTGGCACGCACAAGTTGCAACGCACAGTAACGTTACAATGAGATAGCACTCTGAACGCCTGAGAGCTGGCGCGGGAAAGGCTCTGGATTCATCTCCAAATGTGACAGCCTTGTGCATGCAGCTGAAAGTCCTCGCAAGCCACACAACACAGTAAGCACAGGATATCTCAATACCAGCCTACAAGTATCTCTTGACACAAATCAGCAATGGGACAAAGCTATTTATTTGCTGCCAAGTTACCCCGAGTCTTCATTATTCACCAGTGTTCGAACAAGTACCTTTTGATGTAGAGCAGCGCGGCTATAGCTCCGATGGCAATGAGTGCAGCAATGACATAGACCGCGATGAGCCCTGGCTTGGTGGCCAAATCGGATGACTTATTAGCGTCTTGCGATGGACAGAAGAACCCAGTGACTGGGTCACATACGAAGACTTCTTCTGCGCATGTCGCTCCCCGCCAGCCGTCAAAGCAACTGTGAGAGGGAAATAGGAGCAAAGAAGTGCAACCAATCAGCTTGGATGAAGGAGAGCATTGGCTATCCAAAGCAGGGTCCTAATGGCGAAACCGACACTGTTTTGCACCCCCTCCCCACCCACACACACATTTGCACTTTCTCTCCTTGGGCAAGTCCCGTACCATAGGCAGCCACCGGTGACTGAAGTGCTACCGACTTACTCGCAGAACTGGTTGGTACCGTCGTTGATGCAAACACCCTGGAAGCAGAAGAATGACGACGAGCACGTGGGTGCCTGGGTGGTGACGGGCTGTGTTGTGATCTGGATGTGGCAGTTAGCGCCAGTGAAGCCCGCCGAGCAGTTGCAGACGCCGGTGATGGGATGACACGTGGCGCCGTTCTGGCAATTGCACAGGCTGGCGCAGTCCTGGCCGAATGACAGCGCGTCACAAGCTGCACGTGCAACAGAGAGCACACGTGTACAGAATATTTAGCTCACTCCTGCCACTCTCTAAAGCACATGATAGTCTTTTGTGTCAGTGCTGACAAATCATTCGGGGATCAAAAACGAAAAAGGTATACAAATAAAGCTGCCTGCAAGGTATCAAAATTGCTCTGCGAATACACGCTAAGTTAGCTGAAGCACCATTAAGCTGCTTGTTCCATGGGTACTAAAGCTGTTCGATGTGGACATTGTAGAGCCAGCATAGCAGCATCACTTAGCTAATAAGTCAACGCATGCCCAGGGACAAGTCTCGTTCAGAACCTGTCCTGAACTGCAATGAACTTACGGAGTTGACAGTTTACTCCCTGCCAGCCTGGTGTACAGGAGCAGGCTCCCGTTGTAGTGTCGCAGCCAGCGCCGTTGACACACGTACAGTTTGTGCCACACTGGAGACCATACGTACCGGGATCGCACACTGCAGGGATGGAGAGATCAACAGCAACAGACCAGGCACAGTCACTATACTGCACTGCTCAAACCCAGTGCTCAGATTTGGGAGGTTGCATTCTCCCAGCACTAGGACATAAACAAGATACGGACAGAACAGCCGAAGGAAAGTGAGCAGCACTCGTGTGGGTGCTTTTGTACATCATGCACTACAGGGCAGATACTTTGGAGCTCACTCAGTACGTACTCTGATAAACCATACTCTTGCTTAGTATGGCCCTTGTCCGGAGCACGGGTGCATGGATCAATGCTGAAGTATGCTAGGACAGGAAGTACCTCGGATTTTGAGTACACCTTCTTGCTGCCCATGGGGGGTATGGCTCATAAGTTATGAGAGTTCCACTGTATGTACAAATCAACTGGATGAGTATACACGTATTACTCAGTTTGAAAGTCATTATCAACACATCCGCCCTGCCACTAACGTCAGGCTAACGTTAGCCAATAACGCTAGAAATACTTCTGCTCTGCAAGCACTCACCGTCTGAGCAGTTTGCTCCTCGGTAGCCCACGCATGTACAGCTGCCGTCAACGGGATCGCAGGCTCCGCCATTCTCACACGTACACAGCTGAGTGCAGTCATCGCCGTACACGTTGCCCAATGTCACAGGATCGACAATATTGGCACAGCCTGCATCAGAATAACATATACAACGCACACATCAACACCATGATTTAACCTGGATTATAATGATCACAACCATCTCTTTACCTTCGCCACTAAACCACATGTGTTACCCACCAGTATGTCAGGCCTTAGCTGGTGATAACACTATTATTTGAACCGGGCGGTCGGTGCTATCAGTAACCTCTTCGCTGTCAGAAACCCTTCCAGGTATACCGAGCTGGGAATTTGATTTACTCAAAACAGAATAGATACTGGTGATGTGTGAGTAGCTTGGCCGTGCATGCTTACTTGTGGAGCAGTTGGTGTCGATAAATCCCGTTGTGCACGTGCACATGCCGCTCAGTGCATCGCACGCCGCACCGTTCTGACAGGCACACACGTCCTGACACTCCAGCCCATAGTGTGACATGTCACACGCTGTGCAGCAGACCAGAGCAGAAACAAAGTTTGTTCAAATAAGTGCATCGACTGACGCTTCTTCCTCCTGACCAGCCACAGCACAACTCTGGGGGGGGGGAAGCGGAACACCTTGACTGATAGTGGATAGGTACGGTTGAATGTAGCATTTTAAGTTTAAAAACTTTCTTCCGCTATCAAATCCGCAGCACTGTGCTGTCTGCCCAGTGAGTGTTTCTGGCATCTACAACATTTCATTGTTTCTACAGTGCTGCTCGGTGAAATCCAGTCGCGTCCCTCACGTTTGCGTCTTGCAGCATTTCGCAGCCCAGTCTTTGCAGGCCTAGGGCTGTGCAACGCTCGGCGCGTACTTGTGTCATGCGGCTGGATTTCATTGAGCAACACTGTAGAAGAGTTCCCCCCAGTGTGCGAGTAGTACTTACGCTCAGTGCAGTTTTCTCCTGTGAAACCGGTGCACGTGCAGCTGCCAGTCATCGGGTCACATAGGCCATTGTTCTGACACGTACACTGCTCTATGCAACCAGGACCATACGTATGACTTGTGCAGCCTGTACCAGCACAAACACAAACAGACATGCACGCATACGCCAACCAAAACAGTGAGTTTTTGATAAAGGTAGACATTGGAATGCTGCCTGATAAAAGCATACACGCAAGCATGCAGTGTATTTTCATCACATGTTCCGCTGCCAATTAAATCTACGAGGTCATGCAGTAGAGCCAGTACTGGCCACCGACTGAGGCTGGTATTGAGTGTGAATGCAGCACGGGCAGTACTGCATGCATGGGCTGGGGTTGGTCTTGATGAGTGCATTGCTGATTGATAATGCTAACCTTGCGAGCAGTCGGTGCCCATGAAGCCTGCCGTGCACGTGCACACGCCCGTCACGTGATCGCACGCTGCACCGTTCTGGCATGTGCAGGTGTCCATGCAGCTAATGCCGTAGGTTCCGGCCGCACATCCTGAAAAGCACATCGCAGGCAGAGAGATTAGCAGCAGTCAAGACAGGGGACATGAGTACTTGCACTAGGCATGAACAGTAACCACCGGCATCATAAACAAATCAAAGAGTAGAATACCAGCATTTTCGCATGATCATTGTCACAAAACCTGACCGGATAGAGGATCATGATTTGAGTAGTTCATGACATAGATCAGTATAGCAGAGAGTTCTACATTTCGAAACAAGCTTATCAGGCTCGTTCTGGAACAGGTGCTAGCTAGGTGGGTTGAAAGCGTAGTGTGATTTCGCTGTCAAGCACAGTGCATAACCGGTACCGGTGTGCCCACACATCTCAGTGCAATGTGCATTCTTACGTGTATCGCACGTCAGACCAGTGTAGCCACGGATGGTCTCGCAGTAGCAGGTTCCGTTGGCCTTGTCGCACATCGCTCCGTTCTGGCACGCACACGTCTGAGTGCAGTTATCGCCAAACATACCGGAGGGGCATTCTACAAAGCCGCAGAACAGGGGGAGAATAGGTACAGTGTGATGTGGGACAAAGCACGGGTTCTTACCATCAGTACCAGCAATCATCTGGATCGGGTTTCGGGAGCAGTTGCCGCAAAGCGTTAAAGCTCGCCGCTTCCCCGGTTCCCCTGTCTGTTCAAGCGTTGCATAACATTTCACCTAACGGTTCAATAGAGGTTAGTTGATTGCATTGACTGTGGTACCACAAGCACAGAGGTTAGTTGATTGCATTGACTGTGGTACCACAAGCACAAGGTCACCACTCCATGCAGAACATGTACGATAGCATCCTTCACATAAACACTGTACATTTTAGCAGCGATTCTGTTCTAGGCTGTATCTGTGTTACAGTTCTGCAACACCACTATCACAGTTGAAAGAAAGGCTGAGTGTTGGCATGGGTACCACCGTCACTCCAGCAATCTTACCATTCTGACAGTGCTGGCCAATGAAGCCGGCCGGGCAGGTGCAGGAGCCGGTCACATGATGACAGACTCCACCGTTCACGCAGGTGCAGAGGAGACTGCAGTCGGGACCGTGCGTTCCCATTGGACACCCTGTGAGCAGAGTACAGCACAAACACAGCAGCAGCAGTGAGTAAGGCAACCACCCTGATGTTCTGATGTTCCTTTCCCTAGTTAACTGGGATTATTGTACCATAGTGACTCTTGTCCTGTCAACTGTAGTGCAATCACCGCCAAGTAAATGCATGAATAGGTCAACAGATTGATATTATTGGTAAGCATGTTTTTAAGGCAATGCACAGGCAATGGACATAGAAGAGGCTGTATTCAACACAGATGTGTGTGTGTGTGTGTGTGTGTGTGTGTGTGTGTGTGTGTGTGTGTGTGTGCATGCGTGCATGTTTGCCGGTTCTCATCACTCACTCTGTTCGCAGTCGTCTCCTGCATAGCCGGCGGGGCAGTCACAGGTGCCATTCTTGAAGTTGCACACACCGCCGTTGATGCACGTACAGTTCTGCTCGCACGCGTCGCCAAACATTCCCGTCGCACATTCTGAAATAAAAGATAAATATTGCCACAGTCTCTCAGTCTTCACACAATACTGTCGTATTCTGTGCGAACACAGGCCGTTGTTGACGTAGGGTAGTTAAAGCAGGTCAAACATGTAATGAAGGAAACTCGACTCTCTGCGTCAGTACTTCCATCCGGCACAAGGGTGCATGTATTGTCAACATGTCCCTGGTCAGCAAGCCGTCAAACCCATGCATGATACAGTCAGTACCGGCGCTTGTAGGGAATCTCTAACTGCTACTACATAAGCCCACAGTGCACCGTACAGGCGGCATGCCTAGATGTACTTACGTTGGTCACACGATACGCCCAAGTAACCCGGCGAGCAGAAGCACATTCCGGCGATGTGGTCGCACACCGACGCGTTGGTGTTCACACAGCTGCAGATCTGGTTGCAGTCCTGGCCATACCGCTGCACCTGGCACTCTGCAGACACGCAGCAGAGGACACACAGAGTCAACAGAGAACACAGAGTCATGGATCAGACAGCATTCAATGTTATTATTGTTGAATCCTGCTATACCCATACATCCATCGGTGCATGTAGCCTATATCAGTCATATCTTCGGAAAATTGTAGTCAAGTTGCTGTCTGATGATCGGTTAAAACCGTGAGTTACAGCATAAACGCTTTTGATTATTTTCAGTGTGTGTAGGAGCATGCAATGTGTCGGTGATGAAACTGGCAACATCGGTGGTAGGCGCTCCTCTAAACAGCTGTCCACGCAAGATGTACATATTAGACGTATTGCAAACACCGGGACATGGCTGTAGGGCTAGTCCCGGCTAGGTACATTGTGTGATCTTACCCTGGCCACAGTCAGCTCCACGATAGCCCGGCGTACACGTGCACACACCGGTGACGTGGTGGCAGCTGGCGCCGTTCTGGCACGTGCACGTCTGGCTGCAGTCTTGACCATAGGTACCGGCGGGGCAGTCTGCAGGGCAGCAGCATTGAAGAGTGAGTAGACACACAAATACACAGGTCAGTCAGATCTATTTACACAATACCATATAGAATATACTGGAGCAAGTTGAAAGCACTCAGCCACACTATGTAGATGTACAAGTATGCACAGCTACAATAAATAATTCCAAGTTGATACTCTGCGGATGGACAAGACAATGCACAAGGCGATGGTGAAGAGTCTGATGACAGACCCAAACGACTGGGCAGTGTGCTCCACTCACTAGCATCGCACAGTTCTCCCTGAAAGCCCGGCGTGCAGAAGCAGGTGCCGTCCACGGCGTTGCACACGGCGCTGTTCTGGCACAGGCACTTGTCTGTGCAGTTGAGACCAAACTTGTCCGGTGCACATGCTGTTGCAACAGAGAGTAGATACAGCACACACGTTGGTGCAAGCTCAAGACACACATCCCTAGAAATATTCATACTCAATAACTCTTAGTGTTACCATGGAAATATGAGAAGTCGAAGATACTATCTAAATGGTGACACAGTCAATTCTTAAAGGGGAGGCATATCAGCACAGTACCGTTGCCTTCGACCAACTTAACACCATGTCCTATCTGTATACTTTGTGCCGGGCATGCATACCGTTGGTCGAATGTCAGGGCTCACCACGACCATACGAAATTCAAAAAGCGTCGACCACCATTTTGAAAACATGGCGATGCCGCCAAGGCCAGAGTTTGTGCAGTCATAGCGGCTACGCACCCGAGTTCATGTTCATCGATGTACAGCGATGTACAGTCTAGTCGTAAAATACCGGTATTTTACGACTCCCTGGTCTACTCTGTGAAGGGCCAGTGCCGAAGCGAATCTTGTTTGATGTTGGGCAAGACACGCGGAGAAGACGTCCTTTCTCCAAGCCATCTTGGTCATTTTTCTCAACCCGCTGGTGGGTGTCGACCAAGATATGTCCGTGAGGTACTGGTGAACTGGAGTCCTGGCATCTACAAGAATTTGACGCGCCTAGCTAACCAATGTTGTCAGTAGAACTCAGCGTTTCCTGATCGCGACTCGGCACACTCTTTTCTGTTTGGCCTCGCGGCTTTCACGCTGCGAATGGGGAGTTTCCTGGCCACAAATGAATCCCTTAGTCATGACTATGATGAGAGGTGACTGGTATGATCCCTGACTGGCATGAGTCCTTAGCTTTAGTCAACACGAAGGTAAACTCTTCACTTGGAACGCTTGCTGTCTCCTCCGTCCTTTCTTGTTGCACTTGCAGATATGCGCACGGCTGCCAGTTTTTGTTGGTGCGCGCGGCGACGCACGGCCGACCTTGATGTCTTCAAAAAAGTAGAACGGCGGTTCTCCTTGGCCGATTTTCACCATCGATAGCTCATTTTCAAGGTCTTGGAATTCTCTATCGGTTTACCGTCCCCGATTTTTAATTTTCTCTTCATTCATTTGTTCGCACCCCTTCGCGTTTGATTGATTTCACCATCCGATCTCAGCCAAACGAAGGCCAAATCGAAAAATTCGAGACGGTAACCCTCCGAAGACACACCTTCTGAACACGAATCCACAATGGCCTAATGTCTAAAACCAACGAATACAGCCAAGCTCCACTCAGAAAACACCCCACAATTGCAAGAAACAGCCCGTTTTGCCGTGCGCTGATTGGTCAAATCCAAATGACCGTTATTGACGCTTTGTATGGTCGTGGTGAGTCCTGAATGTTCCGGTGTGCCCACTACTCACCATGCGTGCAGTCAGCTCCAATGAATCCGGCCGTGCAGTTGCAGTAGCCTGTGAAGCGATCGCATGTCGCACCGTTCTGGCACGTGCACACGTTGGCACAGTTTGGACCGAATTTTCCCGGCAGGCATTCTGCAGCGAGGACAAGCAACCACAGTGAACATGCCTGTCAATGCGAGCATACATATCCCACACACACTAGTCTAGACTTGCATATTTCAAGATTATACTCAGCGGCAATAGATCGATCTTCAGTGCTCAATTGTGTGAGTATCACTGCTAAAAAACATAAGTCAGGAAATTTTGCTGCTAGCATTCTACATGACAAAGTACCCGTCAGCACACTAGCATCCAGTGTACTGCACGGCTGTACTTACTCTGATCACACAATGTCCCCGTCCACCCCGCTGTGCACGTGCACATGCCATTCGTCGCCGAACAGGCAGCGCCATTGGCACACTGGCAGGTCATTGCGCAACCGACGCCGTACGTTCCACTGGGACATGCTGTACACGCAGCAATGGGCAGACAAGCAAGCAAGCAAGGCAAGCAATGAGTCAAGTTGATCGGTACAAGCACTTCGAGTAAAGTTTCATGCATGTAATGTGATAATATTACAACTCATGCAGATGGAGCCCTGCGAGAACAGTACTAGCCAGTCAAGTATCATGGGAAGGCTGCCATCAGCTTGCTCTAGCTTCTGATTACATTTTGAATACGAATCAGATACTAGTACATGTGTACAAAGAAAAAGTGGAAATATTTCCCCAAAAAAGTGTTCGATGTGTACATGTGGGTACTGTGAAAGCGTGGGCACACATTCCTATGATTGTGTGCTAGCGTACACAGCATGCAAGTATGCAAGCAGCACACGGCTTACCAGTGCACATGGTGGCGTCGCTGGGATCGACGACAAAGCCAGCCATGTTGCACTCGCAGTGGTATCCCATGCCCAGCGGGTTATTCACGCACAGCTGCTGGCAACTGCCGCCGCTCAGCGCACCGCACACATCGGCAATGGCACACGCCGTCGGATTCGTGGGTACCACCACCAGGCCAGCATTGCAAGAGCAGAGCGCCGTGCCATCTGAGGCCACAGAACAAGTGAACAACAGAAAGAACGTGCCAAGTCACTCAGCACCACATATTACAGTGAGTGGTGTGGTGGTCAGTGCTAGTACTTTGCAAGGTCAGTTGACAGTGAATGCAACCGCATACACTAGCCACAGGGAAACACATCCTAAGCTCCCAGTAAATGAAGCCCAGCACACTATGATGTGGGGGGGGGGGGGGGGCAGCCCATCTGAATCAATGGGCTGTGTGGATAAGACCACCGTGGGGACCACAGCCTGCATACAGTGGAGGTCAAGCCGAGTGACTTACTTGACTGAACGGTGCAGACCTGTGAGCAGTTTGCAACGGAGCACGGGTCGACCAGACACATCTGGCTGTCGCTGGGATCAACCAAGAATCCCGTGTTACACTCGCACTCGTATCCAGGTACTGCAAACAGAGACAAGAAGACATTCACATGCACGTACAACATGGTTAGCACCGAGAAAGGAGGAGAGCGGTTCATACTGGTACAGGTGCAAAACTCGGTGCAGGTTCTGTGACACACCACCATGCTCTCGAAGTGCTTCCGTTCAGCCTTCAATGCTGCTAACCGCTATTGTGCAGCCTAGTGTTGGCACAACTTACTGCAGCCATTGGTAAGGCCAGCCAAGAATGATGCAAACAGATGCATGCTTTAAGTGATACCAGTCATTGGAAACACCCGGGATTCTTACTCAGATTGATGCATCTCTGCTGGCAGTTTCCATTGTTGATTGTACATTCGTTGAAGTCCTGACAGCCCAGCGGATCTCCGGTGACTGGCTCATATCCAGCAATGCAAGAGCAGCTGTAGTTGCCAGCTAGACAATCATTATCGGGCAGCAAACACACAGACACAGGCTATTAATGATACTGATACAGTCTCTTAGAATAGCCGAGAGAAGTACAGATGGAACGCTGATGCACAAGCACCTGGGAGCAAGGCCCATGCTTGACTGTTTCCCCTCGCAATTGCCACATTGTAGCTTGCCTACACACTGAAGAAGACCACCAAATGGACATGATGGACGCCATGAACGTGAGACAGTCAGGACCGCCAACTCCCATTCACAATTGAGAAGTATACACGGAGTCTTCCACAGCAACTGACTCCATGACATGCAGCATCACATGACATGCAACATATGCCCCGTGTCCCAGCAATACTCACGATGGTTAGTGCAAGTCTGCTGACAGCCTCCATTATTGTTCAGGCATTCGTTGACATCCTGACATGCTGCACTGTTTGCCGGGTCGACCATATAACCTAAATTACCGGCAGCAAACACAAGCATAGATTACGCAGACTGGCACAATAACGGAACACAACAATGCTGGTAAGGAGTGGAGTGCAAACTCTAGAGGGTCTCTTACGGAACAGCCATTTTCCTGGAAGGTTACTAGTTTTGGCATCACCGTGTTTCCAAACTTCCTCACCATGCCGCACACAGACAAATACACTAACACTTACGCACAACACTGTATGTTGTGGCGTAGTTGGTCCATGCTGCAACCAGTCCAGAGGCTTACCTGATCCACAGCTGCAGACGGGCTGTCCACTGATCGTCTGGCAGAGCTGCTCACATCCACCATTGCCAGCACCACAGAGGTCAAGAGCTGCAGGGAAAATATGAACCAGGTTGACGCAAACAATGATCGTTATCCAGACTTTTCCGCGATTCTTTCGCATAGAGTGTGATAAGCCAGAGTATGCTTGCGCTTAGACTACCCTCTGGATAATAAAAGATCGCATTGAATCGACAAGACGTTCTTCGATACCTGCCATTAAATCGATGGAGGAACTTGTGATCTTCTACACAGAGCTTATCCCTCGGCAAGATATTGACGGGGTATGTACTGCTTCTTGATCAGCTGCCCTGACGGTTGTACACAATGTGTATAGACAGCTAGCTAGCATGGTCATTGAGTATGTTACTTACCGACACAAGTTCTCATGTCCGAAGACAGCATAGTGCCTGTTGGGCAGTAGCACTGGTAGCTACCCAGCAGGTTCTGACAGGCGTGCGAGCAGTTGCCGTTCTGCACACTGCACTCGTTGATATCGCTGCACTGCAGGGCGTTGGTCGCGTCTACTGTGTAGCCATCACGGCAAGCACAGCTATATCCACCCACTGTACACGCAGAACACAAGAAAAACAAAACCATCATTCTGGAGTCCAGCACACATCCAGTGCACAATACAAACTATCTGCATGCAGCAAAAAGACTTCTAAAAGTACAGGAAAATGACTGGAGGATATGGGGTTCGAACCCATGGCCTCTCGCATGCAAAGCGAGCGCTCTACCACTGAGCTAAACCCCCTCACACATCCATCGGGTATTGAGTCACAGTTGTTAAGAATCACTCAATGCCTTTTCTAATTCCCAGGCTTTCCACTCCTGCATCATCTGCCCTGAATTGTGCAACTGTCTCCTTACCGAAGTTCTGGCATGTCTGCTCACAGCCTCCAGAGTTGACTAGACACTCATCACGGTCCACACACAAGGAGGCATTCGTTGCAGAGAACATATAACCCACTTGACAATCACACTTGTAGGAACCAGCTGCACAGGAATACACAAGCACAGCATAATGATGTCATCAAAGAGGCAAGAAGGACCACGACGATGTCATTATCCAAGTAGCATGACATCTTGCTATGTCACCACTCATGAACACGATGAAAACAAGGATGACTGGGCATTGGCATTCGTCAGATACCAGTTGTATGACACACTGCACTGTACCGCATCGCACCACTCCGCTCTTGAAAACTTACGCGTGTTGACACAGGTCTGCAGTGACGGCAGGCGAGGGCACACAGCCGAACTGCCAGTGAATGAACACTCGTCAATGTCCATACAGTTGTCCACCGCACCAGCAAAGCCAGGACTACAGGCACACTGGAAACTGCCATCTGCAACACACAGACAGTGAATACAAAACACAACAGAAACACGACTATTCTCAGCCTCTTGTGGTTCATGTGTGGATGATTTCCCCGCTTCTTCCTCAGGTTTAATATTTAGAGGTCAGTGCTTCACGTTCTGCTCTATCAGACTAAATCCTGAGAAAATTCTCCTAGGGAGTAAGTGCCGGTACTTGCACTGGCTGGCAGTCTGGACTCGTGTCTCGGCTGTACAATTCAGCAGGCATGCTGTTGCCATACCTGAGTTGATGCACTGTTGCTGGCAGCCACCATTGTTGAAGCTACACTCGTTCAGATCCACACATTTGGTGGCGTCCGTAGCGCTGATGGTATAACCTCCACGGCAGCTGCATTGATACGAGCCAGCTGTAAAGGGCAGGGAGAAGTACAGCGCATACACATACAGCTCAGTTAAAGCACATTGCAGCTATAGATAGTCGAACTCTAGAACAGGAGCAAGACTTGACGCTGATGGATGCTGACATTAATGGCGTGTCAACAAAACCCTGTCTTCTTCGGAATGCAACATTTAAAAGGTATTTTGTGCTTACCAAATGATGACAGCAACATTGCAACTAACTGAACACACACACAATATTGGCATTGCTGTGTTAAAACACAAGGGGGAATTCCTTCAGATTACGGTACAGAGCTCAGTGTAGCAAAAGGCAAATGTGAGCTGGTGAATCATAGAAGCAGCTGTATCCACTTTTACGTTTGAATACTCCGCAAGCATGGCTAAGATTGGGAGTTGAAATCACAACGTTGGCGAGAACCACTGACCTGTGTTAACGCAGGTCTGCTGGCAGTTACCATTGCTGACTGCACACTCATCCAGGTCAGTGCAAGTGCGATTATCAGCCGTGTCCAGGGTGTATCCAACACCGCATTCACACACATAGCTACCAGCTATGTAGCAGGACCAGAAGAGACAGCATAGACCGATAACAATGCATATCAGATGAACACCGAACAGCATGGCCATGTAGAGCACAACGCACGTGCCAAGTTCTCCCATTACTGAACAATTTGACACAACAGTGCATCCGTGAAGGATTTCGTCCACTTGAGTGCTTCTCCTGTTGATCATTGGCAAAGAAATGTACTGTCAGAACTAGCTTAGCTCACACAGGGTGACTCGGTAAGCTTGTTATCTGCAGTAGCGGTCTCTATGCCGTTGTACATGCAATCTTGGATATCAGTATTGCATGCAGGAACGTAGTGTGTTGAGTAGCACACAGCATGTGCTGAATCTCTCACCTGTGTTGGTGCACCTCTGAGCACAGAACCCGTTGGCCGTAGCACACTCGTTGCTGTCAATGCACTGCGTTGGATTGAACACGTTAGGTATATAACCAGTGCCACACGTGCACTCATAGCTGCCGACTACAGAAACACAAAACAGCAGTAGGAGAGACACAAAACAGCAGTACGAGACATAGACCCATTAAAGACCAGTCAATCCTGTACTTCGTTTTCGGAAGAAATTGGAGACTCTTTCTCCAGTGAGAAGCCAGTATAGCATGTGTGCCTTGAGCGAATGGAAACGAAAGAACCCAACAACATAGAACCAAGTATACGAATAACGTTTCCGGTAAGACATTTTGTTGTATGGGGTCTTGCAAACGTGATAGTGTCAATATGAGCATCTCTACTTGGCTGATATGCTCGTACCGAAATTCCTGCAAGTCTGTTGGCAGAATCCGTTGCTCTGCTGGCACTCATCCCGGTCCACACAGTTGGATGGGTCGGTAGGGTCGGGAACATAACCTGTGACAACACAATGAACACCGATAGTAACCACATCAGCTGATGACCATACCCAAAGTGTACTGGGAGAAAGAATATCGACAGAATCATGCTAGATTGTGGCCGTAGGCTGCCATGTGGATGCAATCGTACGGTCCAAAATTATGCAAAGGGAAAGAAAAAATGGAGGATATGGGGTTCGAACCCATGGCCTCTCGCATGCAAAGCGAGCGCTCTACCACTGAGCTAAACCCCCAGTGATGCCAATCAATGCCCCAGTAAAGCAGATCAGGTATGATACATGGCTGTATAAATATCCGGAGGAGCCAGCGCATGTGCTCCCACCTTACCGATAAAGCAAGAACAGGTGACAGCGGCGCTGCCTGGATGCGGTGTGCAAAGCTGAGCACATCCACCATTGCTGACCAGGCAGCCACCCGCTGGGCCGGCTGCAAACACAAACCCAAGCACACATGCAGAGACCAAGCAGTTGGAGAATCAGTGCTGCAGACGTCGGGCTTCGCACCATTGAGATCATAGTTCTGCTATCCCTATCAAGATAGAGAGCTGTGAATATCAAAATGCTCTTTTTGCTGAAGAGTTGCAAACTCACCTCCATACAGTTAACTCTTCAAAAGCATCCCTGACTTCTGCTTTCAGAGAGGCTTACTACAAACACAGCAGCCCAGCACTACAACTTGTAATTGGTCAATGCATCACAATGCTACTTTGAATAGCCAGTGCAGAAGTAAAGGTTTCACACTTCTCTGTGGCCTGTGCGATGTAATGTACCTTGGCAGGATCGTCCATCTGAAGCGATGATCAGTCCGGGTGAACAAGTGCACGTGTAGTTACCCACAGTGTTGTGGCAGAACTGCTGGCACGTGTCGTTCCTCGCCTTGCACTCGTCAATGTCTGCAAGAACACAATGTCACACACACACACACACACACATCAATGTTTGTAAGAACACAAGCATGCATGCATGCATGCATAGGGTGGCAGAACTTAACTAGCTGTCCTTCAGGTACCGTACTACGAGTAGTATGTGGTAGAGAGTGGGATTTGCGGCGCATTCAAAAAAAGGCATTTGATTTACAAAATATATTACAGCTAGTTGTATGTATCACTCTACCCTTACCTTGACACGTGTTGCCGTTGGAAGTCAATGCCCAGCCTGCTGGACACTCACAGCGCGACGAGCCGACCAAGTTCACGCAGATGTGAGAGCAGCCACCGTTGTTGATCAAGCACTCATTCACATCTGAATACACAAGCCGGGAACAACAAATCAGACTCCTGTCTTGCCATTTCAACGCCCGGAACAGAAAAAAAGAAAATGACAACATACAACTACCACGGCTACTGCTACTGAGTGTTTAGCAGCATAATTATTATTTTCTTCCGGAGTGGTAAAAAGAAAAAAAAAGAAAAAAATCCTGTCAGAAGTGGGATTCGAACCCACGCCCACATACGTGGACCAGAAGGCTCCAATCTGCATTGACTGCAGAAGGTACACAAGACCTTGAGTCTGGCGCCTTAGACCGCTCGGCCATCCTGACTGGACATGAGTTTTACGAAGAATATAGATTTTAGAGAGACACCTGTTGAATTCGTCCACTGATTTCGCCATGCTTCTTCAAGCCCAATCTTATCATGTCCTGCACTGCATCAATGCAGCTACTCATATGATTGGTGAAAGCAGGTTCCATGTTGGGCAACCTACCTTGGCAGCTGTGTCTGTCGCTGGAAATCTCAAATCCAGCATTGCATGAGCACTGGTATCCTCCGAGGGAGTTCTGGCATGTCGTGCTGCAACCTCCGTTGGCTGTACTACATTCATCAATGTCTAACATACAAATGAGAGCACAGAGAATAACGTAATCTATACGGCACATGTGGAATGTGTATCGGTGTATGCAAAAGCAGTATAGTCAGCTGGATGCTGAGCAACTGAGCTTGCCAGTGGTAAAGATGCTGTGATCATTTTCTCTAGCCATATTGCTAGCCACATGAATCCCCACCTGCAACAGTATGCAGGACTCAAACAAGAACTGGGATACAGAGGGGAGGAGAGGAGTAGCTTTCACTAGTTTGCACGTAGAAACTACAGAATGGAAGATATAGATTGCTTAGTAGTCAGCACAAGTAAATTGGCCTCTTACCAGTGTTGCAGTTCGTGCCAGTCCACCCAGGCACGCACGTGCACGCACCGTTGACTGCCGAGCAGTTAGCACCGTTAGCACACTGGCACATCTGGCCACAGTCCTGGCCAAATCGATCAGATGGGCAAGCTGCAGGGCAAGAGAGAGATGATTGCAAAAGCAACAAGTTCAGCCGGAAGCATAGCGGCAACAGTACGATATTCACAGTGTACCGCAAGGGTGCAGTACAAGGTTGCAGCTGGTCAGGATGGTCAGGATTCGTATCCATAATGGGGTAATACCAGGGCATTGCTACGCATGGTGTGATCAATATTGCTTCGGTCTATTCGGTGCTGCAATCCTATTCTCATAGTATAGCTTAGCAGTGATTGCTTACCCATGCCGCACGTCATTCCCTGGAATCCAGGCGCACACTTGCAAGCACCAGTGGCCGGATCGCACTGAGCACCGTTCACACACTGGCACGTCGAGGCACAGTTCGTGCCAAACATGTTAGCCGGGCACCCTGCACATTGCATGTAAGGCAAAAACAACCTCAATGATATCTGTGCTCACAATGTCAATCATGCGACAAGCAACTTTGACACGATTCACAAGTTTGAGGGAGTTGAACACCGTTCAACATTGTGCGTGCTTTCTCACATTACATCATAATGACTCATCGATGACATCACACACTTCAATACCAGTAGTCGTGCACATGTCTATGTGCACATGCCGCACCATGTGGTACTTACGCATGTCACAATCCGCTCCCATCCAGCCAGGTGTACAGGTACATGCGCCGGTGATGTGGTCACAGGTGGCGCCGTTCTGACACGTGCACGGGCTGTTACAGCCAGCACCAAACACTCCAGGCGCACATGCTGCGTTGGGAAGGAACAGCAACAAGAAGGTGTCTGTTAAAGTCTCAAAATACTACCTTTACGCGGACCGATGGGTCAGCTTTGGTTTGTCGGGCCACTCGGACAAGAATGTGTCTAACCTCTGCAACCAGCAGCAATTTCCATCAATATCCAACAGGGTGGAAGAGTATGGAAATGTACTGAACTGCCCTCATGCTGATGGGTGGGGTCAGCCCTGGTTTGCCGGGCCACTCAGACATGCAGCTATACATACAAGCATGTGTGCAGATCATACGAGTAGGGTGATCAAAGGTGTACTCACGTTGCTGGCAGAACATCCCCTCGTAACCCGGTGTACAGGCACAGGCTCCAGTCACATGATGACATGCAGCACCATTCTGACACATACAGGTGCTCGAGCATGCATAGCCAAACATTCCCAGAGGGCAGGCTGTACATGCAGACAACAAAACAAAGAGTTTGATCAGTCCATCAGATGCATGGAAGAGCAAATACTAGTAGGAGAGCTCTGGAAGAGCATATCCTAGCAGGAGGGCTCTTGTGCCACCTCTGGTGAACACTCCGATGGAAGAACACATCCACGAGAATATGGACCATTGTTGCAGTGATCTCACATAAATCGTACATTGATAATGCAATGATGTCATCAGACTAAATCTTCACTGAGTCATACAACCACTTACTCTGAGCGCAATCTGTTCCCATATATCCGGCGGTGCAGTTACAGGTGCCATCAACTGGGCTGCATTTGCCACCATTCTTACAATCGCACACGCCCAGGCAGTCCGGTCCAAAGCGATCCGACGAGCACGGGTTGTTGCACAACGGGCCGGAAAAGCCACCGAAACAGCTGCACGTGCCGTCCACGTTGCTACAGTTGCCATTCACGCAGTTGCAGGTCATCACGCAGTCGGGTCCAAACTGGCCGGCAGGACAAGCTGAGAGCCGAGAGAACAGAAGAGGACCAGGGGCGGAACCAGAGATCTCTACAGGGGGGTTCCGGTTGAACCAAAATTGAACAGCCAAAATATTATGGAATCAGATTGTTTTGAAGTTGTGCGGTTGACATAGTCATGTAATTACGACAATCCGATTGTGTTAGTGGGAATCGCATGCTTTTAAAACGCACTACGGACATATATTTTTCCATCATCGACCACACCATAAGGGACCATCGCAAAAGTTCGCAGAAGCCCCCGAAACGAAGACCGTGAGTTTCGGGCCTGACCCCCCTCCCTCCCCCCTCAAACGAAACGACAGTCACAATGTGGGCTTCATTTTTTCACTTGGATGCTCACACATAATAAGCGTACGAGTAACTCTACACTACTCCCGGTACTACTTGTAGTACTAGCAGGGGTTCATAAACCCTATGAACCCCTGCTAGTACTAGTACTAGCAAGAGTCCATAAACCACGCGGTTTGGACTCTTGGTACTAGACTACACACAGTGTACAGGCAGCCAGCTACGCGACACGCGCAGTTGCATGAATGGACTACGCGTCCTGACAAGCGATCTACGCCGGCTGTGATGGCATGCTAATCCTACAGCTCCTATAATTATGTCGTCAATACTTTTTTGAATTGAAGCCCGGTTTGCGATTTTCGCACCGACTCCCTCCCCCCCAAACGTATGCTCTTCGTTTCAGGGGCTTCTGCGAACTTTTGCGATGGTCCCTAACTGCGCCCTCCAGCCGGCCTCGACACGTAACGACGTTGCCACAGCACACCACCATCGCTGGAGCGCGCAGTTGTGGTGTGGTGGACGATGGGAAGCCTGTACAGGGCCAAATGCTGCTGCTTACCCTACATTGTATTATTATTATTTAGTACGGACACATAATCATAATAATTATACTTGAGTTCATACATGGGTACGTTGAGAGCCAGGAATGCCGAAATGACAACTAAGTTACTTTCCCTGTACATTTGTACTTTCGGAAAATTTTGGCATTTTTACGATGCGAAGTGCTCTATAGTCACAGGACAAGAGCATCGTCTTCACTTCAGTGACAGAAACAACAACAGCGAAACAGTGTCGACAATTGCACAATCCTTCCAATGTCATCTAAAACACATCGCTGGCGCAGCACTCCGTTCCTGCGGAGGAACAACTAGTCACTACTGCATGTAATGCTGCAGCAGGTAGAGATTACTGACTTTGCTTGGGTGTCGGAGCCCTCATCTTCTGAGGAGCTTGAACTCTACGTGTACGATTCGAAGTTCGTTGAAGAGTGTCATCACTCGGAACATCCTTTCTCTTCTGCAAAAAAAATTGTCCAAGGAATACTGACCGCACCCATCCTGAGCAACAGTGAATGACAGCGCCAATGGAGATAAGTTTGGATCGTTTCGAAAGATCAAAAAGGAAACAACCACCCAATGTTGTCTACAGTGTCCGTTTGTAAATCACGGACGTGAACACGAGTACAGACTACTAAAAGTACTAGACTACCGATACATGCAGTATCGATCTACCGAACGCGCATGCAGTGCACTGAGTCTGTACTCTTTGACTGCACTGACTGTGCATGTGATCGGACGGACGTCCTTTTGTGCACACATGATATTTTTCCATATTTCTCAGCACCACACTTTGCAAAATTTAGGGGGTTCCATGGAACCCCCGGAACCCCCCCTGGATCCGCCACTGAGGTGCATGTGAATCACATGTTGCACACATGCTAGCAAAAGAGAAACTCATTCGTGCACAACCATATCTACTAAAAAGATCACTTCACCGTCACTTCCACTTTTTCGTCATACGGGATCTGTTCATCTTGTACCACACAGCCCATATTCTATCCAACAGAATGCACACCAACAAGTTGAAATACAAGCACTTTGTGACTTACGGTTTTCGCAGGAAGAGCCAATGTATCCCGCTTGACAGGCACATTGTCCGTCTGTAGCTGAACACTGAGCGCCGTTCTGGCAGCCGCATATCGCTATGCAGCCCGAGCCAAAGTAATTAGGAGGGCAGTCTGAGCATCAACAGATAACATGACGCGGCGGTGAGGGTCTCAGCTAAGTCTGTGAGCGTGATGTGTGCTTAGGCACTCAACCAAACTTTCAGTTAGGAATTATGACTTAATCCCCTTTCACGATATCCTAAGGAGATCCATGATCACAAACCAAGTACCCTTGATCGGGCACCGGGAAAGAGTTGAATTCACAAACTGTTGTGTTTTTTGAGGTTGAAAGTAAATGCATGCTGTCAAATGGTACACGGTCTTAAGATAGAGTTGTTATTCGCACATTAGTATTATAAGGTTGACTGCTATATACGCAGGCTCTACTCTTGTGAACATGCATGTGGACTTGATCTGCGACAAGTGTGCTAATTTCGTGGGCTGACCGAGTCTTAAATAGAGTTCTGCAAGGTGCATACTCGAGCACTAGTAGCTTACTATTTTCGCAGTTGTCGCCATGGAATCCTGGAGCGCAGTTGCACGTGCCGTTTGCCTTGTTGCAGCCCTGCGCGGCATTGCGGCAGTCACATACTCCCATGCAGTTATAGCCGTAGGTGAACGGTGGGCAGTCTGCAAAACAAAGCAGATCATAGGCATGCATCAGAAGCACGGCAGTCAAGCAAAGTGCATGATCAGATTGCACGGTATCGGGTATGCAATGAACTAATATGCTACAGTAACAAAACAGCTTGAAGTCACACCAAGTTGTGCGCATGTGCCACAGCACATCACAATGTGCCTACACTAGGTGTTAGGGCAGTAGATGGTAGCATTGCTTGCTGTGCTTCCTCACCCATGGAGCAGTTTGTGCCGACATGTCCCGCAGTGCAGTTGCAGTAGCCATACTTGCTGTCGCACGCAGCGCCGTTCTGACACGCGCATGTTTCCTGGCAGAACGGGCCGTACGTTCCAGGTGAACATGCTGTAGAACCACACAAACAAACAAACACACACACACACACACGTAAAATGCTTATTGTTTGGAGCAAGAGTAATAATGTTCTTTATATCCAGGAAAAACTATTATCAACAAGGACATCTATTTTAAGGTAACAACTCTCATTCTTACCCAAGTGAATGTTCGAATCCCCTCCCAGTCCCATTCTGTGTCAAGTCTACTACACGCCCAGCCGCTCAGTAGCATACACCAAAGAACACACTAACTGGACACAGTGCTTACGTTGATCGCAGGTGACACCCTTGTAGCCTGGCTCACAGTCACAGAAACCAGTGTCTGGCTCACAGAAGGCGCCGTTCATACACGTGCATGTGGACACGCAGTCCTGGCCAAATGTACCGCTGGGGCACACTGCAAGAAACAAGAAGAAGACGTAGACAAGGACATGGTCACACTAAGTTCAAAATGTGTCATAGCAGGAAGCAAGCAACCCATCTATCACGGGTGTGAAAATGCAGAACAGTGTTGCTAAAAATAGAAGCTAACTTTAATAGGCGGAGGGCTCAGTATCATCAGAATACAACCGTACACAAAAGGCACAACGGAGGTTTACAGAGTTGTCGCAACTCAGAGTTTCTTGCTCAATGCAATCATCAGGCGACTGTCATCAGTACATGTTCAGTGGGACTTGGCCAATATAATACAACCATATTAGGCCAAGTAAAAAAAAAAGCTAGATGATCGTCCCCGTCCGCCCCAGTTTTTGTCAGCGCCCCAAGAAATATTTTATTTTTTAAATCGTGAGTTCTACTATATGGACCACATACTACTAGTATATCACAACGTCAGTATCGATCTGCTGAAGAAAGAAAAAGAAAAAAAGAAAAAAAAAGAAAAAAAGAGAAAAAAAACCTTGATGTTGTTGTGTACACTGTGTGCATGAGAGGGTAAAAAGTAAAAAAATAAAAATAAAATCCTCCCGCCCTCCCCGATTTTTCCAAAAAAAAGGACGATCATCTAGTAATTTTTTTTACTCGGCCTTATAGTTTTTAGTACAGCTCAGTCATCCTAGAAACCATGACATGTTTCATACCTTCACTGCAGTTGGCACTGGTGTAGCCCGGTGTGCAGGTACAGGCGCCGTCAGTCGGGGAGCAGGCAGCTCCATTCTGGCAAGTACAGACACCGGGGCAGTTTACACCGTATTCGGTAGCGGTGCATCCTAGCAGTCGGAACAAGCACAAAGTCAGCACAGATCATCAGCTTGCGGGATGGGTTCAACTCCAAGCAAGACACAGTTACGGCATGTTGAGGATATATAAATGTACTGACACACATAAGTGACTGGTTGGATCACATTTTGTCAAATGTACTTCAAGTAGGAGTCATGTACACGGGCAGATGGACTTAAGGATGGATGGACACTGAGACAGGCACAATCTCGATGTCTTACCTTGATCGCACAGGGCACCTTTGAATCCAGCCATGCATGTGCACGAGCCAGTGACATGATCGCATGCCGCACCGTTCTGGCAGAGACACGGGCTGCTGCAGTCTTGACCGAATGTACCAGCAGCACATTCTGTGCAAAGAACAGACAGACACCAACATAACCCAGTTGTAACTTGTGACCAAACACTTGAGCAGCAGCTACAGAACGCACTATATCACTGCAGAGTATTATGCTCCAACATCATACATGTCTACGGTACACACATATCATACTGGGTACTTACTGGAAAGTTGACGACAAAGGAAGTTACCAAAACACCTCAAAATTCTACGAAAATTAACAATATCGGTGCGACTAGAACGAAATACTAAATGCAAGTGTGCAGGCAGTTCTCATTACGGCTTCATTCATGTGTTCTCGCTTACTCTGGTCGCAGAGCGTTCCTCTCCAGCCAGGTGCGCACGTGCAGTGACCCGATACGTGGTCGCAGAGTGCTCCATTCTGACACTGACATGTCATGGCACAGTCTTGTCCATACGTGTTTGCTGGACAAGCTATTTATACCAGCAGTAGCAGCACACAAAGATAAGATTTGGTACAAAAGAGAGAGGAGACTGCCTCGATCACATACAAGGTACAACCCTTGGTTTGTTGGATTGGATGCAGCAGAACTATGAACAAAGAGAAAAAATGTAAGCAGGGCACACTCGGAGTTGAACCAAGGACCTCTCGATCTGCAGTCGAATGCTCTACCACTGAGCTATATGCCCGCACATACACTTCTGTTGTCTCTTCTCCCCTACGATATGTTCCATTCGAGGCATATAAGGGGATCCCTTTAAAACGTTACCAAAAGGGTGAAGTAAGTGTATCAGTGTGTCCATGCACAGTCATACATGTCACTAGACATGCTTTGTTAGTCTCTCCTAACTCTTCATTGGTGATCATAGGGTAGTACAAGTGGCTCTCGCACAAAGTTGTGTTGAAACAATTGTCACCAACCTTGATCACAGTTAGTGCCAGTCCATCCAGCGGTGCATGTACATGATCCGTTGACGTGGTTACACTGGGCACCATTCTGACACTGGCATGGTGACGTACACATCAGACCGAACTGATTCGACGCGCACGCTGTACATTACCAACACCGTGAAAACGCACACCGGGTCATGACCGGGCAGAAACAAGCGCACGTGAGAACTTCACAACGGGATGTCCCTGCAAAAAAATTGTCTGAGAACGAGCCTATCTGTAGTAGTAGTAGTAGTAGTAGTAGTAGTAGTAGTAGTAGTAGTAGTAGTAGTAGTAGTAGTAGTAGTAGTAGTAGTAGTAGTAGTAGTAGTAGTAGTAGTAGTAGTAGTAGTAGAATTTATTCATTTTACTAGGGAGCTGTAGGTATGTTCTACATCAAAACTGTGCCTAACACAAAAGTTTGAGCCATCGTTGGTTCGTATCAGGTCCAAGTGAATTCTTCGCAATAACACTCCTGCCAGCATTCTACACGGTGGCTGCTTGTCCATGACTACTTACGTTGTCCGCAGTCAGTTCCTTGCCATCCGGCTGTGCACGTGCACGTGCCGTTGACAAAGTTGCAGCTGGCGCCGTTCTTGCAGTCACACGTCGAGCCGCAGTCCTGGCCGTAGGAACCACTGCTGCATTCTGCACAGTGCACAAAACAACAGAGAGATCAGTTGAAAGAAGATGATAACAGGGTCCTTACAAGGCATGGCAATTGCCATTACACTCCATAACTAATAAATGTCACCTCTAGTTCGCTCCACAAGTCAAAATACAGCATAGCATGTGTGGCAAATCTGTCTCCCAATGCCTACCTGGGTATATACTGCCAGCCACAAGCTCTTCCCTAGCTAGACAAGAACCATTCACTTGTTCAGTGCACCACATCTTAGTGTTTATCTCACGCACACACAATAAGAATGCAGCGCTGCTTATTGGAGGGAGTCATAAGATAACAATTTGAGTCATGAGATAACGACCCAAGTTATAAGATAACAACTTGGAGGCTGGCTATCACACTCACGCTGGCCGCAGTCGGCGCCGATGTAGCCGGGCGTGCAAGCACAGGCACCGTTGGTGTTGTTGCACTGTGCGCCGTTCTGGCATGTACAGCTGATGGAGCAGTCCTGTCCGTGGGTACCACCCATGCAAGCTGTGCGCGGGTATAACAACAACAACACACAGGCACATAAGGTAGTAAGCGCAACAGCAATGATCCTGTACACAGTGTAAAGTGTGAGTACAGCACATGTAGAGGAGACGGCTCGATACCGGGACGTTTTAACAGCCAAATTTGTATAGACCCAAACCGATCATCAGCGTTGATTTTTCACTCGAAATATGTTTGTGGAAGGAAACTGGCATGTTGAAGTTTGCTCTGGGGCCAGAGTCAATCGAACTGAGCCACTCCTTTGTGTTGACCCATTGCCTCCAAGTTGCCCAATTTTTCGCTTCAAAAAAGTTCAAATCAGAGGTGGCTCCAAACCGGACACGTTTTAGAGTGCACGTCAAATTCACTCTGGGTCTGAAATTAGGTAATTGCTATCGCTCCACGACGGCCAGTACAGAGTAACAATAAGCCTTGTGTGTGCTTCCATTAGTTTTGATTGGTATGCGGTGCTTTATTGGCGAGAGGCGAGCCGCTGTTTACCTGCGACAAGAAGTTGATTTTTCGAAAGTCGTAAAACTCAAGTCGCAGTGCGAAGCAACACGTCAAAAACTCACCTGCTTGATATGGCGCTTCTGGTCATCGCAGAGCCATGAAATTTTGGCTCGGAGTATAACACATAGTAGTCTCACTGTGACATATGCTTTCTAATCAAAATACCAAGAGAGAAAGTGAATATTGAGTCCGTTCCGGTTTGCAACCGGTGTCCTATTTGAAACCGTCCCCTCTACAGCACATGTACAGCACATGTACAGCACATGTACAGCCATGTGGTCTCCACACCGCCACTCCGGAGATCTACAGGTTGCCAACATCTACAGAAGATGATGTGATGTCCTATCATTGGTGATATCTGTACCATTCCCCATCCTAACCTATTCCCTTACCACTCCTCCCAGGATAACACAATGCAGGTCAACCTTAGGCGGAAACGTTCCCCAGGTAGAAAAGACTGCTACGGGTTTGCATTGCAGAAGGACATATAATATTACATGGCGCGGATGTGAAGTCACTCCGCAGGTCAGTTGAACATGGGCCTATGGCTAGTCTTAGCACACAAAACGCTTACCTTGACTGCAGTTGATTCCAATATAGCCAGGGCTGCAGGTGCAGTGGCCAGTGGCCGGGTCACATGTACCCTTGTCGCAGACACACATACTGGTGCAGTCCACGCCAAAGCGATCCGGCGGACAACCTAGAACAAAACCAAGCAACATCAGCAACTCGCTCATGGACTTTAAGAAGGGCATGCGCCAAGATATGGATTGTTGGGTACACATACATTTCAAGTCAGGTCACTACTTTCTACCAATACGTGTTCAGATATGTTAAACTTGTATCAGTGAATGTCATGTGTTATGCATCTTCCTGCGTTCTCCCTTTTCTGCTCCCTCACTGCGTCTCTGTCTCACACCCATTTCATGCACCTTCACCCATGCTCTCCCTCACTCGTTTCTGTTCTTGTCTCGGTCCTAGTCTTACCTTGATCACAAGCAGTTCCCATGAAGCCAGCATTACACGTGCAGACACCTGTCGCGTGGTGGCAGGCACCGTTCACACACTGGCACGTGTTGGCACAGCCCAGACCGTACATACCAGTGGGACATTCTGCACGCATACATGTACATCACACGCATTGGCACACGACGGACAGATATTAGCCTGCATGCAGATTCCAACTTTAATCACACTATCACCAAATTAGGACTACGCCAACTCTATCAGAACGTTGATTCTGCTAAGTACACACAGTCATATGAGCCCAAGATTCAGCAAGCATGGCTCCATCATGTCCTGTGCTGCAGGCTTACCGTTCTCGCAGCTGCTGCCCGTGTATCCGGTCGTACACGTACAGTTTCCGTACACATGATGGCACTGGGCGCCGTTCTGGCACGTGCAGTTCTGCGCACACTTGTCGCCGTATGTACCGGTGGAGCAGGCTGTGCACAGGCAATACCAACATGTCAAACAAGCTCAGGCAACTTCAGCATGCATGCTGAAAGAGCTTACAACATAAAATCCTCATTGGAGAAGGTAAATACATGAACATACTAGTACAAAACATCAAGCATGAAAGATGATTGTATTGGTTTATTTATGACAATAATTTTACCTGTACAAGAGGCTTCGTACTTCTTAAAAAAAAAAGCATGAAAGAAACGACAAGAAAACTGAGTGTGCCACTGTTATGAGTTAAGTCGCACAGTGCCGGTCTACGAGACAGGGAAGCACTGAGATAGGGCTGGACTTACGCTGTGAGCAGTCGATGTTTGTGTAGCCAGGTGTACAGGTACACACGCCGGTGACGTGGTCGCAGGAAGCGCCGTTCTGGCAGGAGCACGACTGAGAGCAGTCCAGTCCCCACGTGCCGGACGGGCAAACTGTACGCAGACATCAACAAGGAACATAAACAATTACATTAGGACAGACGAGATGCACACACACAGGATGTATCTAGAGTTGGGCAGCAGCATCAGTGCAGCCGGTCCGGCCATGACTGGACCTTATCTCGAAAAAAGGTTGACCCGTCCAATTCGGGACAAGTGTTTTTTTGTGTCAATAATGTCCATTTCTATCAAAGTACCCCATTTGGTCGGACCACCTGAAATCCCAGTGCTATGGCCCTGTCAAGGTCATGGTGTGAATTGTGAATGGGAAGGACAGAATACTTATATGATGAGGTTCTTACCTTGGTCACAGGAAGTTCCCTGAAATCCGGCAGTGCAGGAGCAAGCGCCGGTGACCGGGTTGCAGGCCGCGCCATTCTGGCAAGTGCAAGTATCATTACAGCCCTGGCCAAAGCTACCGGTAGGGCAAGCTGAGACAACAAAAGTCAAACACCGGCCAAAATCAATACAACCACCCGGCGATATATTACTTTCAAAATTATTACATGCACAACTGCATTGTGGATCGCCACACAAGTTCTGTCAACAATGCAGGGAAAGTGGTGGGCTGGGGCGTTATTCACAGATTTGTTATGAAATGGTAGAGTACAAAAATGGATCATGCCAAGTACCCGCTGAAAGTCCCTACACCCATAATTGCTAGTAGGTATCTTCAGGTTATAACCTCTTTCTCTCATACACACACACATCACCACCACTACTGTAGTGGCAGTGGTAGTGTACTTACGCATGGTGCACATAGTGCCTGTGAAGCCGGGTGTGCATGTGCAAGTTCCGTTGACGTGGTTGCAGCTAGCGCCGTTGCGACACGTGCATGGCTTGCTGCATAGCGTTCCGTACGTGCCCGGGGGACACACTGGGTACAAACACACATACACACACACACACACACATCAGATGCATGAAGGGCATATATCGGTCCGGGATAGGCACACCGTCTAGTACATTCACAACCAGGACTGGGATTCAAAGTGAAGATATTTCTTGCTGTGCCTGCAGCCACCGCAGTTGTGAGTAGGTGCGGATGCATGCATGCGTGTGGTGTGTTTTTGTGAAGCAACGTAAAATATACATTTGTAAACCCACTGCAACCCATTGACATACATACATACGCACACTTACTTTGGTCACAAGTAGCACCAAAGTAGCCGTCCGTGCATGTACACACTCCACTGATGTGGTTGCACTGCGCGCCATTCTTGCACGGGCACACGCCTCGGCAGTCCTGACCAAACGAGCCAGCTGGACAAGCTGCACAGTGCACAACAGAAGAAAAGAAAAATTATTTTCATATCCAAGAGCATGTGACTGCCATAAGAATCCCATACACTGTTCCTGTGATCTATAGTGAGAACCTGAAGGGGTTATCTAGAAGAGAGATCATGATCTAGAATCAGATGAACTCTTGTCTTTTTCACAAATTTCTTTCTGCTCGCTCCAAATACATTGTACATTGAATGGCACGTAGCGATGCTGTTTTGAGGCATCCATGTGTGATATAGACGCCAGGGCATTACAGAGCGGTATAACTTACGCTGAGCGCAGCTTGTTCCTTGCCAGCCGGGTGAGCAGGTGCAGGTTCCATCGACATTAGAGCACTGTGCTCCGTTCTGGCAGGTGCACGTCTGGTTACATCCCTGACCCCAAGAGCCAGTCGGGCACGCTGGACATACACAGCAGTATCAACGACAGAGTAGGATGATGGTGTAAGTCAATGAGCGTGACTGTTACAAACTAGCTCAGAGCATCAACACACACGCACTCTTTCATTTTGTTTCTTTCTCCCTCTATTGTTGCCATGGCTGACTATCACCCATATCCCCTTCTCCTTGGCTAGGGCTAAGCGATTGTGAATAAATAAATGCCACATGTAGCAGTAACAAGATCTTAAACCCAACACAGTGTTGAACATTGTCTGGAAAGAAGTCACGTAGATCGCCTATCTAAGATGTGACTGGAGCTTACGATTTGAACACAGAGTGCCGGTGTAGCCCGCCGCACAGGTGCAGTGTCCATTGGTGAAGTCGCAGGCCGCTCCGTTCAGACACTGGCATGGGGCGCAGCCAACACCAAACGTTCCAGTGGGGCATTCTAAAACAAACACACACAAATGCACAGTTAAAAATTCACACCAGGAGCAAGTAGAACATTGAATAGTTGGTGTGGATACCACTGGCACTTCTGTACAAGACCGGATTTCAGAAGGGGGAGGGGGGGGGGGTGGCGTTCAAGAACACCAGGGTTATGCCTATGTCTAACAACCGGAGGGGAATACTGCTCATTGGTACATGTACAGTCAGAGAACGTATGACTACAACGTACGGTTCTGGCAATTGGTTCCAAAGTAGCCAGGCAGACATGTGCAGGCCCCGTTGGTGCCGTTGCACGTTGCTCCGTTTTGACACGTGCAGCTCAGCACACAGCCACGGCCATAACGATCCGGAGGACAAGCTGTAAAGCAAACAAACAGAACAACAAGACAACCATGACCCATAACTTTAACGGTGCCAAGTTGCCCCACCAAATGCCGACTTGCCAGGAGCTTGCAAAGGTTTGCTTATCATGAAGACAGGGTGAAACCAGTAACATGTACACATTAGGCCATGGTGTGATCAGGATGGTACCTATTGTTGATAAGCAAAGCAATGCTGTGAACTGAAGAATCATGTGTTTGAACAGGAAAAGCAAGAGGTTTTGCAAGTTGGTAACAGCTCAATCTACTTACACTGATCACAGACAGTTCCCATGTAGCCAGCAGTACACGTGCAGGCACCTGTGACATGGTTGCACACTGCACCGTTCTGACATAGGCATGGTGATGCGCAGTCCTGGCCAAACGTACCAGTCGGACAACCTGTACAGTTGAACAGAGCGACGTGATGACGACAGCAAACCTCAATGCACTGACAAGCAGTTGAAGTGGCAAGCATAAAAATCGCTTGAACCTGCTTTTCAAGCTATGATTGTGCCCACTCAAATCCCATTCTATGAAACCAGAGGAAAGCAGTGCCAAGTGTGGCATGTTTCGCCTTTTACAGCTTGGTGCGAAAGCAGTTGAAGAGCTTCCTAACACCGAGTAAGCTACTATAATTCTGGTTTTTCAAGTTGTTATACAGAATACTGGCAATATCATTGCTGCAAAAGGCACACAGGAAATTGCTTACTCTGTCCACAGTCGGTTCCCGTGTATCCAGGTGCGCAGGTGCAGGCTCCGGTGTTTGGATCGCACGTCGCGCCGTTCTGGCACTGGCACATCTGGGAGCAGTTACGACCATACTGAGTTGACGCACACCCTACACAACACATGCACAGCACGGTGCACACATAGGCACAAACACTATTGTCCAGTGACCAGGGCAAGACGGAACACAATGCAAATATCTGCACCAATGCTGGATACAAAAACAAAACAAAGTCAACACTGCCTCTTTCCAAGCACCAACACACACTCAGAGGATTTCCCGCATTGGGATGAGAATCAGAAGCCCATCCCCTGAAAGTTTGATGTGGTTGGTTGGTATATTTTATTTTACTTCACCAGAATGAACAGGCATTGCTGCCTTCTTGCCTGGACAAGTGGATTGTCCAAGCTCTCACATAAAAACGAATATCTACTTATGGACATACCGGTGTTACAGTCAGTTCCGGTGAAGCCTGTGATGCTTGAGCAGTTGCACGCGCCGTCCACGTTGCTGCAGGTAGCCATGTTCTTGCAGGTGCACAGGGACGTGCAGCCCGGGCCGTAGGAATCGGCGGCACAAGCTGTACAGAACAGTGCACAGTCAACACAAACACATCATTCCATCTTAGCCATACATGTACATACCCATTAGCCTTCTTATCTGTACAGGTTTCTATTGCCTTCAACAGCTCAACATAGCCTGGCTAGACAAGTGCTCAGCAATTCACACAGCACAATACAATACAGTCTAAAGAAACACACTAGTTCAATGATCAACTGTACACTGATCAGTAAAACGTATACTTTATAATGTACATGCCGTGAGTGTTAGCCTAGTGCTATCTGTCACCCTGTAACGCCAGTAATCAGCACTAGTTCAGTGGTGCCCACACACACAGTACATGCAGGGTGTACTTATTGCACATGACTTGACCCCATGCAAGCATAGTTCACCAAAGTATGCATGCCCAGCACAGCATCTCACTTCTCACCCTGGTGTGATATGTCTCACCCTGGTGTGATATGTGGCAGCACAACCAACCATAATGTTTAGCTAGTTCTGTAACATTGCCCTGGCCACACTAATTTTCAGCAAAGTACAGTCTCCCAGTGGCTATGTGCCTACTTGCCAGTCAAGGTGCCATGGGGTTATCACGCAACCACTATTATTTGTGTTATCGGCCTTTTCACGATGACATCATCAAGCAAGCTTGGCTAGTCTTTGCTTAGGCCAAATGGAATGAAGAATGAGGAACGAGCGGGGTCAATGAGGTGCTAATATGCAACCACTGTAGGACATAATCCACTATTGGTGCTGGACTTGCACTGTGCAGTCTCCTGTCTCCTGATGGTGGTGTGCCTGCTGAGGACTTACGGTTTTCACAGCTAGTGCCGATGAAGCCATCCGTGCAGGTGCATGCTCCACTCACTGCGTTGCAGGCAGCACCGTTCTGACACGTGCAGTCGGATGTGCAGTTGCCACCGTACTTGCCAGCCATGCACGCTGTTACGCAACCGCACCAACAGGACAGAGAAACACCACTATATTGAGTGAGGGTAGCATACTAGTATTATTTCTACAGTAGAGGATAGCGCAATACTGCCAGCACAGCACACAGCCTCGAATAACAGTTACGAGTAGAACATCTTACGATGGCAGTCAGTGTGGTTGCTTGGTGGCAGGTACTGTCCAGCAGGGCAGCTGCAGACGGCTGTTCCCAGGTTGTTGGTGCACGTGTGGCTACAGCCTCCGTTACCAGTCATACAGGGATCGGGTGGAACTGCAGAAGCACAACAACAGCCAACCACACAATGCCATCAGTTACTTGGCAGAGTCTCTCTCTCTCTCTCTCTCTCTCTCTCTCTCTCTCTCTCTCTCTCACCCTACCTCCCTCCCTCTTTATCTCTCTCTAGTTATTGATTTCACAAACCCAAACGGAGAAGAGAATGAATCCAGCTATGACTGTGAGGCCACCCATCACTGATATCATGCAATACAGTCTAATATGTATGCACAAGCTCAGATCACATGCACATGTACACACAGAGTATGGGCATACGTCACAGTACATACGTGTTGGCCGCATAGTGGTGATCTTGAACTGGACGCAGAAGCGTATGTCACCGGCACACTGCATGTAAAGCTGAATGGTGCGATTTTCCACGGTCATCCAGGACGCCGTATCGTGGACGTTCCTTCCAAATATGCTAAATCACAGAACAAACACACGGGATAGGAGCGTGAGGAGTAGTGAGTATGATGCGGACGGAGTGCAATGGTTTGAAGTTGAGAGAATGCATCTCAAACATTACAAGTTGAGCGTTGGTGTTACACATCATACAATATCCGGTTTAGTGACTGCAGGTACTAGTGCATGTATTACAGTACTGGCTAGAGAAATCCAAATCCAATCTAAAATCCAACCTCAAATCCAACCTCAAATTCAACCTCGTGAATAACATAGCGCCGGGTGCTGCTCAGCCCTAGCGCTACCTACACTGTTGTGTGCACTCGAATGCGGCTTTACCATGTTCATGAGGTTGGATTTCATTGAGTAGCTCTGGAGTACCTACAAGTACCCATTGGTAGGGTTGGATTTCATTGAGCAGCACTGGAGTACTTACCCATTGCCAGTCACGTAGAAGATGTCGCCGGGCACGGCAAGCTGGTTGCACGAGTCTCCTCCGACATGGTACCAGATGTTCTGTTTGATCTCGTTGCATCCGCTCACGCCTATGGAATCACACACAGAAAGAGCCAAGAAAGGCTTCAACTACAGACTCTTTGTTAGCTCAACATGCACGTCTGATATTTAGAAGTTCATTTCCATTGATATGCTTGAATAGCTTGGATCCAAAAGAGATTTTCAACTTTCCTACATTCGGAAACAGTCCCAGATGAGCCCCTTAGGGTTACTGAAGCCTTCCATGTAGCACTAGAAATGTGAATAAAGTACGTGTTGTAAGAACTCACCTGCTCCATTGAACAGAACTGGGTTGGCAGTTGGGGTGAGCATGGCATCCGCAGCGGTCGGAATGTGGAACGTGGGAACGCCACCTAAACCAAAAACAGAAGCCACAACCCGCACATGAAACGTCACACCATACTCATTGGCGGTCGAGAAGCTCCCACGCTGGCAGAGCATGTCTCTGTATCGGATGCACTACACTCTGGTATCGTCTTGGGTAATCATATCACATGATCCATGGAATAGTAAGACAGAGAGGCCAAGCTATAAAGAATCACTGCAGCAATGCACTATGAGCACGGTGTCTTACCAAGATTCATGAAGCTTCCCAAGCAAAATGTTGGTGTACAGACAGGCGGAGCTGCAGCAAAAGACAAAAGCAAATTCAATTCACAGAGCCGTCCTGAACGTCAAGGCGGTGCAAATATCTTGCAAAGCCAGTACGAGCAACACTGTCATATGTCTGCATGCAGAACTTTCATTCAACTACTGTCTATCAATGCACATGTTTCAAAGCCAATGACATTATAGACAAACTGCTGCAGTGTGTGAGAACATGCTTGCGGACAAAACACCAGTCTGGCAAGGATCTATGCTTTGTACTGTCTAAACTCACGTGTTGTAGGGGCGGTTGGATCAGTTGGAGGTGGAATTTCTGAAAGAAAAGAAGCAGTGAGAAACACATGCTAAGCAAACATTCACAGGACTAAAACGTGAAAACAGAGTTAGTGTATTGCAAACACAATTCTACAAAACTACCCCCCCCCCCCCAAAAGGCTTCATTCTAGTTCTGCAGATGGCTACTTGAGCACAGCAGGGTAGTCCATGATCGCTTGGCAACAGAATGACCGGATCAAACTGCTGTGCAACACCGCTCAAAACGTACCTGTGCAGGCATGACCATCGGCGGCGAGCACCCAGCCAGTTCGACAAGCGCATGTGAAGTTGGTGGCGTGGGGAATGCAGATCTGAGCGCAGGCGTTCTGGTTCAAAAAGCACTTGCGATAGCCTGCCAACAATAACAACAACAAGACCAAAAACATATCATTGTCACGTCAGTCCGGTGGTCTTAAAGTCAGAACCACAGTACAACACTGAGCCGAATGTTCTGTGTCGTCCTTGCACATTGTTAAAAGCAAGTAGATGTTTTAAGGTCACTGTTTAACCTATTTACATGTCCTGTCATGAGCCAGGGGGGGGGGTCAATCAGAAGCCTATTGGAGCCCCCCCCCCCCCCAAGACAGGACGAAAGGTACACAAACAACAAGATAGGATACTTCGTGAAATAATCCAGCAAGCACACACACCACCTAACATTAGAAATCACTTCGAGTGTTGGCCGTCCGCAAAGTTCACAGCAATCTTGATCCAAACAACCCAAAAAATCCTGCACATGTAGCTAAGTTGAGCGCTACCGTCAGACAACCAGCCTCGGAAAACAAAGCAGCTACACCAGGACATACTACTGACCATCACTAGGTTGCTTGAACGGATGAACAACTTTAAGCGACTTCAGCGCCTGGAATATGCTCGAGGAGATGGTGGTGCTGTCCTGCCTGGTCTTGAACCGATAGCGCTTTATTCTGTTGCTGCTCAAGTACCACAGGGACTCCTCGAATGTTGTGATGCCAGTTGGTGAAACGACTTGGCTGTGATCTGCAGTCAATCAAACAAAACATCAGTACACAGTAGCACAGTGAGCATCTACGTAAGTAACCAGGGATCAAACATAACAGGTGTGTCCTTCTTGTTGGCTGGTAAGGTCTTGCAATGGGTTGCGATGCGCGATTGCTTTTGGTTTGCAGATGTTGCCGATGTCATGCAAATGTGCATGCATCCAACACACCAGCAACAATTCCACTTACTATAGACCTGTTGCGTTGTCAGATCCATCAAATTGATACTGTTGATATTGTTGAAGTGGCTGTCGGTCCACATCAATGAGTTGGCCTCGAAGTCAATATCCAGAGAAGAGATAGAGGCCATGGATTTGGCAACGTAGTACACCTTCAGCCCCGAGGCATCGTTGAGGTTAGCAACTAGAATGCGAGGTGTGCTCCCTCCCTTTATGGCAAAGTAGATTTTGCTATGGACAGTGAACGAGAGGTCAGAAACAGATTTGTAGTACTAGTCAACACACTTGGAATTCAGCATAGCCTGTGCAATTGGGCAGACTGTGACACAAGTTGGGACAAACTGCGATGATATCACTTGGGAGCTATGTTATAATAATAATAGCACACGTGTACGAAGAAAATAGTAGAAGTTAAGCTAAGAGCAAAGCCGTCAGAACACAGCATAGCTACGTACTTGTCATAAGGGTCCACCATGAGGCCTGCAGGTGTTCCACCATTGGTCAGAGAAGAGCCAATGGTCATCATCAGACTCCAGCTACTGCCATCCAGTTCACATCGGTAGATCGCATTGTTGCTATACAATACAAAATGATGCACAGGGGGGGGGGGGGAGAGAGAAAGAGAGAGAGAGAGAGAGAGAGAGAGAGAGAGAGAGAGAGAGAGAGAGAGAGAGAGAGAGAGAGAGAGAGAGAGAGAGAGAGAGAGAGTGAGAGAGAGAGAGAGAGAGTAGTGAATGAGTGGGAAAGAGAATGGTGGTAGGGGTAAGGTGTTAGGGGAGGAGGAGACAAGCAGATATGTAGAAGGCAGCCAACAACGCAAGTCGCATTGGCAAGACGTGCCTGCCGCCATCAGGACAACGATGAGCTTGCCGTGACAAGGACAGCCATTAAAACAATTTGACACGCCCTTCCAACAGATACAGAGACCCAATTTCCAACACCGCACACAAACAGACATGAATCTATCAGTGGAACCCAGCATTGTTTAACTGCGCAACTAACCCAGCATCAAGGACAAGCAGTTTTCGGTGGTACCAGTCCACACGCATCGCTGTGACCTGTGAGCCAGTTCCCATCGTGCGGAGAGTCGTTTCCCCGGCCCCATTCTGGATATTGGCCTGCGGGACATTCAGCACAAACAGCGCCCGGCGACAAAAAGATACAGAGATCATTCCATGGCCATATACTGTAAGGATAAAATGAGCAAGAATGTGCTCATAAACTACTCATTGGAAGGAGTAGGGAGCCAAGCTTGGTAAAACAATGTGTGTGTACGATATGCACCAGCACGCGTATACACACCTACACGAGTGGCGGTTCTGAACGGTGAGTAAAGTCATGCCACTAAGCTACAGTCTCTGCTAGAAAGCTGATGGTCAACAGAAGTAAAAGAATGACAAGGACGATCCGTTAGCATGGCCGTGAATTTCCATCCACATTCTCAGCATTCTGGAGAAGGGCCGGGGCTTCGCAGTATAGTGTGCGTAAATCAGATATTCCATACGCAGGTACACAGAAGGAATTGTTTAGCCACAGCATGCAGAGGTCTGCGCTAAGTGATTCAGTACATAAAAGCCATGGGAAGACAACGCCATGCCACCATGCCCTACATGTACTGGATTGCATGTACTTGCCTTTGCCAGTGCTGACGTGGATGTAGCCGAGTAGGACCCATACGCGTAGAATGCCATGCCGGTAGCATAGTCGTAATCGCACGCATGATACCAGCCGTAGAACAAGCTGCGGATGTTCTTGAAGTCTGTTCCGTCCGGATTGATACGGCGCAAGTATCGCCGGTCGGCAAAGAGCAGGAAAGCAGTCGCGTCTGAACAGAAGACGACGGTGAGAAAAATTCACAGGGCACGTTACAGGCAAAGACCTCCACAGACTCGGTGTGCTGTTTCATACAGCGCCACATAGTCGAGGAGTATCGCAGTTGTTGTTGTGTGATACATACAGAACACAGTGAGCGAATATGCTAGTGGAATACAGCTGACTTATCAGGCCTGTAAGGAACACTAATTGAAATTGGGACCCTCTCCTCCTCCCCTCCTGCAACCCTTCCAAGAGGCTGATATTTCCAGAAAATAACTAATAATTCTACCATTGGATGAAAGCGTTCAAGGACGCCTCACACTTTCCAATGATGTGCATGTGTTCAACGTGCAGCTTTCTTTCTTAAATGCGTTTAAAAAAGTCTACCATCAGTTGACACGACCCAGCCAACTCACTGGCATTGACACATGACCTGCCGTCAGTCCCCAGCGAGAAGTTAGCATGGCACACACAGTAGAATGTCTTGCGGAACGTGCTGGTCACGCAGAGCTGCTGACAGCCGCCGTTGTTGATTGAGCAACCTGCAGCATGGGGTCAAACAAAGCAATAATGAGCATGAGGATGTAGATTAGCTCCTCACTCTCTTTGAAGGACAACTTTGTCTGACAAGAGCAGCTACAAACATGTTAGCAAACATTCAGTCCTTTCGAAAATGGAAGTACCAGCTGTGCACTGCAGAATCCGTTGGTAATGGAAAGTTGTCAAGGGAAACTCATCAGGACTACACATCACTTGCGCGTCACACTGACCTTCACATTTCCTGCCGGACACATCCAGGAACGTATCACCCGAGCAGGAGCATTCAAAGCTGCCAATGGTGTTGGTACACGTCTGCTGGCACGGTGTGCCAACCTGGCATTCATCAATATCTGCACACAAATAAGCCGGACACCATAGTACACCTCGAGGACAATGCAAATACACTGAATGATGCAAATACACTGAATGATGGAAATACAAATGATGCAAATACAAATGAAGTACTTGTAGATGTACATGTGTGTACATAGCATGATGTTGAGAGGATCCCTTCGAAAGGTCCGATAGCTGTTGTATTTCAGTTACAGCTTAAAGGTACTATGCACGAATAATGGTGAGGCATAGTCACATATACAGGTGCTAAACGTTATACTCGGGGCACTAAAACAAGTCACAATGAATGAGTGCGCAGAAGCCATCTCCTTGCTCATAGTTATACTGTCTGGGCTATGCTGCAGTGTAAACCTGTCAGCGAATGCTTGCCAACACCTACCAGTGCAGGTCTTGCCATCGCTGAGCAAACGGAATCCCGTAGGGCAGCTGCACTGCGGAGCGCTCGTGGCACTGAGCGAGCAGTGGTGGGAGCAGCCTCCGTTCGTACTGCCGCACGCCGACAAAACTGCACCAGTGGAGAACATTGAGAGCATACACTACTTCAGTACTGCTAATGGTAAATGGGGTACAGTATTCTTCTGCGGAACACATCCGGATGCAAAGCACATGTAGGAGAGACTACCAAATCTGTGGACAGTAACTGGAGTACAAGCTACTACTATAATAGGTATTTACATGGGTTTAGTACAGTTTGTGCAGCACACCCATACCCAGTGCATGATAAAGACTAAACATGTCGCTGGGATAGGTTAGTCATGTTTTCAATGACAGCATTTCATCGCAAGTCTCCCCCACACGTGTTTGTCTCCATAGCATAGTTGGAATTCTTTAGTCTATGATGTACAGTGCTGTCATGCGGATCCAAGATGCAATGTAAGGAATGCATTTTAGTTGAGGTCCATCTTGAAATCGGCGCTGGTCAACTCACATGTACATGTTCTGTTGTTCGAATTCAAGGTGAAGCCCGAAGCACAGGAGCAGTGAAATGAGCCGACTGTGTTTGTGCAGATTTGATCGCATCCGCCGTTCTCCACTCTACACTCATCACCATCTAGAGGGTACACAGCAGGAACAGCAGCAGCAGCAGCAGCAGGAACAGCAGCAGCAGCAGCAGCAGGAGCAGCAGCAGGAACAGCAGCAGCAGAAAACACCGTGGTCAATTTATGTGAACTGGACATACCTTGGGCACGGTACTGGCAAGGGGACGAGATAAATTTTATGCACAAGAACTTGCTGATAGAACTGATACCCTGCCAATCGATCTGAGCAAGTCACTGCAGACATGTGGCAGTGTGCATTGTAACAGTCAGAGGCATGCCGGACGCACTGATTTGCAAACACTGGTCGTCCACCTACCTGGCTGCGCGGACTTCTGCCTTGTGGGATGCACAGCGTGTACATCACCGGGCTGCATGATGCCAGCCCTGAGCACCACGCGGTCCATGGCTCCGTTGTACTTGCGCCCGCTCTGAATGTAACCCGTGATCCAATCCGTGATGAACATCCGGTCAACAAACAGGGTCTAGACGAAATAATTCACAAGCACATTTAAAGGAATAGAAAAAAAAGGTTTAAAAAAAAGAAAAGGATTTAACGGTCATGAATTGCATTAGCCGGCTTCCAAAAAGATCCAACATGCATTTGTAGAACCCTACTAATCACTATAATGGTATTGAACTTGTTATTGTGCACGGAGACCTCTCCAAGTCTCCTTCAGCACTAAGGCTATAAAACTCGCACATGCACGTGCTCCGGAACTACATTGTTCATGTCCAATCATGGATGTGCAGATTCTTCGACTTTAGCCTGCACAGACTGAGGCATGTTGTAGCTTGTGCAGACATCTCAATTTTCACTTTTAAACTATCTTACCATGGCATATGGGTGCTGGCCCGGGTTCCTCCAAACAATGGTGCGGCTGCTGCCATCCAGGTTTGCCGATTCAACAATGTTTAGCGTGGCGTCCACCCAGAAGATGCGATTGTCGACGAAGTCTACAGTAATGCCGTTTGGCTGTGTGATAGCGGTGTTGACGATGACTTGTCGCTGCGAGCCGTCGTGCAGTGAGGCGCGCTCAATGCGCGGTGTTGCACTGTCCCAGTCGGTCCAGAACATGTAACTACAGACAGGAAAGTGAGCAGAAAAAAGGTGTTTAGTAAGGGACGCTGCAGTCTGCTCACGACACGGCTAACCAGACTCAGATGCAGCCAACCTTACACCTCACGCTCGGCCTAAACAGGTCCCCTTGCACTACCCAATACAACATTTCTCATAGAAAGTTTCCAAAAGTGACACCCGTCAATCAGGTCGTGGATACAGGACTAGTCTACGCACAGTTGAGTCATTGTGCATGCATTGTGCATGCATTGGCGTGCTGTGCTTGGTGAAACACCAGCCTGTTCGTTCTCCGGCACTCCGCTCTCCGGCGCCCGACAGCGGCAGAGATCGAGCAGCTTCTCTCTACTTACCCCTTGAAAGGATGCAGTGCCAGAGCTCGGGGTTTGGATATGCCACTGTTCACCAGTACGGTCTTACTCGTGCCAACCAAGCTGGACTTGTAGATCTTCAACTCGACCGCGTCGCTCCAAATGAGCGTGCGATTGAGCCAATTCACGGCTAGACCCTCGACGTGCGTGATCGACGTAACGACCTTGGTTGGCGGCTGTCCGTAAGAGGAGCCATCGAGTCTCAGCATTCCGATGAAGTTGTTCTTCGAGTCGGCATAGTAGCCCACGCCGTCAACATACAGGAAGTCACATGCCGTGATGTTTCCATCTCCAGTGTGTAGTGGTAGTCGGTGGGTCATGTCCAAGTTGGCGCGTGAGACGTTTTGGCCGTAAGCAAACATTAGAAACGGCGTTGGTGCTAGTTGCAAGCAAGGAGAGCACACATACACATTATACATATACAAGTCATTGGTCGGAACAAAGTCAGGAAGTGCAGCAAGGGCCAACAACACCAGTGCCAGTGGGGCGCTGGAGTGGCAAAGAATAGAGTCACAGTGACCACACAGCATAGCATCGGTGGAGCGTCTGTTGAAAGGAACACGCCAATCTCAACGCCAGCCCGACAATCTACCTGTGATAGTGATTAGTATGAATGCAGGCAATGTCATGTGATAGTGATTCGTATGAATGCAGGCAATGTCATGGTGTATGGCCTCTGCGCATGCAATAAGGCTACCCTCTGGCCATCAAGTATTTCACCAAACTACAACAATCATGATATTGAGCAGATGAGACTTCCAAGCAACTGTGACAGTATGAAAATGGTGCTCCACATGATGATTGCCGGATAATGCATACCTGGTGGTCGACACGACCAGCCATCCGATTCCAGCATGAAGCCGGGCAGGCATGAACAGCGGTAAGATGCCACTGTGTTCGTGCACACCTGACCGCACGTGCTGATGTCCAGACATTCGTCAACTACGCAGGAACAGAGAGCAACACAACAGATTCACAGAACAGTTATCAATATCTGGTTATACATACATGCGCGCACGCACGCAGGCACACGTGAATTCGCAACCCAGTAAACCAATTATTTCACGGTTAGCAAAGACAGTTCCAGGTAGTCGGAGATGACTGGCCGCACCGGTTACACGTAACAATATCGGCGGAGAACACAAAACTACGCTGGCGTAGTTCGCCTACCCTGTTACGAGCGAAATGATGAGGATCCGGAAGATGATAGGGCACCTCCTTGCTGCTGGCTATCGGGTCCACTACTGCGCTCCACGCACGTAGGCGTCATGCGTGTTCCGCCCCGGACGACTCTGGTCATCTCATGACAACGCACCGACCACAAAAAGGCTTCTCGCTGTTCTTGTCCCATACCGCGCTACAACCGCCTGGCCTGCATGGCCCAGCAAGTCGCCAAACACTGACTCCATGTTCACCACAAAATACTTGAAGCCAGCACGAGGCTCGAGGCCGAATGTCTTCTTTGCAGGCGCAAAGCCAGGGAGGATTTATGTGAATATGTCATATCCATGTATGATGTACTCACTGTACTGACAGTAGATCTACATGACCATGATGACTGTAACTACATGATTACGGCATACGGAACCATGGTAACTCGTAAGGTACATGCGCAAGGCAAGATTGGTAGGTACATGTATGATTGTAGGCTCCAACTATTGTAATCAAGACTTAGGCCGTTAGGGCTCTTCATCGTTCAAACACAAGAGATTAGTTGAAGTGTCCCATTGCATTAGATCATAATTAGAACGGTTTCTATCATAAATATTTTAGAGTTTTTCAGTGGAATTGTCATGGCGATGATGACGTCCGATCAGATCGACCATCTCCACGCACTACGTGACGTATGTAGCTATTCCAAACTCTTCGAAACTAATCCACCACTCCCATCGGGTGAGGTTGTGGAGTTTCGAGGAGCTTCGTTTTTCTGAAGAGGCCAATAGGGCCACCTCTTCAGAAAAAGGAAAAAAAGAGTAAATTATCCTGTCCGTTCCCGAAGGGAACTCACGACGGCCGCTAACACCCGATAAACCCTGTTCAGAAAAACGAAGCTCCTCGAAAAGTCAAAGAGTGACAATTCGAACGCGCCCTAAATAATTACTTGTCCAAGATTGCAAGGACGTTTTCTCGTGATTGTCATGACATCAGTTTCCGAATAACATCGCAATGGTTACGAAGGAAGTTGCCGGATAACATTACAATAACGTTACGAAGGAAGTTGCCGAATAACATGACAATAACGTTACGAAGGAAATGATATCAGAGTATCTGGAGTGAAAGTGCAACACTTCAGCAAAACGAAAGAGACCGTGAAACAGGAACGAACAACGAACAGCATGGACGGATGCTAGAGAGTCGAGTCTAAAGTAGAGACTAGTAGTAGAGTGAGAGTGTGGCGACTTGAAACCTACCTAGTAGATCTACCAGAACAGGGATTCTGCAAAATTCCGTGACAGGTAGCGTACAGAGATACACAAGACTAGTCATGGTTCTGTGACCGGTAGCGTAGGTTTACGGGGATACATGGTTTCGTGACCGGTCCGGTAGAGTAGTCTAGGGGGTACCGTTTTTAACTACTTTACCGCGTGGGTCACTCAGAAGTTCTGTAGAAGTGAAAGCATCTCCCTAAAACGCAGGTTTGTGCGAGTGCACTGCCATAATTATATCGAAAATGTGCGAAAAATGCTGCTTTTAGTGCTAGCATTATCCGCCAATGCCTACTGCCCACCAACCTTGCCTGGACGCGGGTTGGAAGTAATGAGCGGGCAGTCAGTTATCTTTTTCGTAGCTACATGACTATAAAATTTCTAAACAGGTAGCGATTTTGGTGGTAATGTTATAAGGAAGTAAGTTAGTTGCACACTCCAATGTGGGGAGAAACCAACTTCTTTCTATTTTGCCTGCATGCAGATTAAAATTGCCGCAAAAGTCATTATACGAGCGAGATCTACAATGACGCACCACTCAAATCCACACACTTGCTGAAAAACACACGGAGCTTGGCTGAATTTGTCTGCACTTTGTCACATTACCGAGGTCGCATCATTAAATTTTGTGAGAGGCAGTTTAATACTACATGTACATGTACATATAGCCAATTCCACAAAGCACAACCCTAGTAACCCTAGTAATCAATCAGGGTAGTGGTTGCAGTGTTATGCTCGGTATGTGCATCCACACATTTCAAGAAAAAACTGAACGCTGAATGCTTGATTCACAGAGTGAACCCGGACACTTACCATCGCTCGTCTGTCCACAACACGTAGACACAGTGATAGCCATCAGCAGTACTGCACACAGGCTGCGAGCATTCCACCACCGCGATCCGTGTGCTATTCTCGCCATGGCCGACGATCAGCCAGATCACGCTCGGCTCCGAACAAGTGGCAGACTGGCCTTGAAGTTTCCAATAGTAATTCGGCAGTTTTAGTCCTTCCCTTTGAATCGTTTAGTATCTTACCGACCGAGTCGACAACGTCAGCAGAGGCTAGTGCAAGATGTGGGATTGAGACGTCTTCAATATCACTCTCTGTGTCTCTCTGCACCTACCACAACGTCTATTTCATTCAGGATGACTCTCGGACGATCCGATCAGGGTTTCTACAGGAAATCGAACGGAGCGAACTAGAAGAATCCACTGGTTTACTCAGCAGATGGTTTGCGCAACCTCTCTCCCAAGACTATGGAGGCAACCTACTACTGTTTTTCAATCCAACATGCTTCTTGATGATAAACGACGAGGATATGACCGGCTGGTAGTAGCGGATCAAAGGGTCGGGCGAATTGGGCAAGTTCGCGCATGCACGTCAAGGGATAGACAGACGGAGCTTGCATGTCAGCAGAATCGTGAGCATGATGAAGCTAAGGTCGGGATGGGAGGAGCGAGGGTAGGCCTCGCATGTATGCTCGGCATATGGGCATGTCGCCGCTGCAGCGTTTGACATGGAAGTCGTGTGCGTGATGCCACCTATAGCCACAGCCTCAGCTGTGCATGTGACGGGCCCGTCATCGACATACCCACCCGGTCGTAATACCAATAGCAGAGACAATACGATACAAGGGAATCGTGACGTGGTCGTTTTTCACAAACCGTCCCGGATATGCGAATGCGGTATTTGGCCAGGATGGGCAGTGAGTCGGTGCACGATCGGCCTTTTACTGCCCATGTCCGGTATTCCCTGGCATCGGAATCGTAATCCCATTCGGGCATGAATACCAATGGGCATAGATACTAGCAGTAGTCATAGCGGATCACCCCGGATCGTCGAGCGTCGCATAGATTACTGCAAAAGGCCTTAGCTCAGGGTGAGAAAATAGCATGGCTTGACAGGTGCCACTAAGATGCCACGCGAACTGAGTGCATAGACTTGGTAGCCATGGATCAGACGAGGCTGATGTGCAATGGTTTGTGCGTCTCTATCACGGATTATGCCTGTGCCTATGGCCCACAGCGAGGTAGCGTTGTCAGACGGTCTGACACTGCTTGACGGGCAGCGTGTCGGCTCCGAGTCCAACATGTTCAGTGCAACCTTCGGATTTACTCGTGCATCTTGCAGCAGACAAGAAGCACATACACGTCTCGCCTAATTTGGTACGCCCAGGCACTTCGCACATTCTTGGCGTCACTACTTAGCAACGAAAGATGCGTCGATGGCGAGCGGCAAACACTTCATTGGCGACTAAATTAGGTCATTGTTTATGTCCAGTGGAGCTCTGCATGTAACTGGATGAGGTTCAGGCCTGAGGCAGTGAGGGAACAACAGTCAACAGTTAACTGTCAACCACGGGCAACTGCACATGCATGTCATGCATATGCTAAACATGAAAGGGAGGTAGAAATTGCAATCGTCATGTGCAAAATTTCGTTCAGCCTGTGTACTGTCCAGGCTAGAGGATACAGTTGTGGACATGTACATGTATGTACATGTATGCTTAGCTGGCCTGAAAATGTGCCAACTCTGGATACGCGAAGCCCCTTGCACCTCTTGCACAATAGCGGTCAGCAAGGTGACCTTGGTACTAGTACCAAGAGTACATTGCTAGTACCGGTATGGGGATACTCCTGTATTTTGCTGTACTGATTGCCACTTGCAAGTACGAAAAACGAAATTTTCCGAACCTTGAAGCTCCATAAGTACAACAAAGTGAGCAGGTATCCCCGCGTGCCAAAGCATAATAATTATGATGAGTTTGTGAGCATAATGTGAGCATCCATGAACGCATAATTCCATGATCTCGCGAGCATAATCCGCCGGAGCCTACTTTCTGCTCATAGGGCAGTCAGGCTTCGCTCGGCCGTTGCATGGCAGATCTTCCTGTTGACAGTGTTGTGGATGCATAGATGGAGAAGTTTGTCGTTGTGTCCACGTGTTGCAAGCATGGGTACAACAGCAGAAGAGTGAAAGTAACGTTGAAGTGCAGTTTGCGGTTTTTGTGGGAAATATAGTGTACTTTTGATCCATGATGTCTTACTGCACTATCAAACACGACGAAGAGAAAAAAGGGTAGAGATATCAAATGCGGGGCTAATTTTGCTTATAAGTGCACATAATTTGTACTTTTTATTGGGGAAGGTCGTGGCACCCCCTTGATCGATCGCTATCCTGGCTACGCCTCTGTTGTCCACTGACACTGTGCTATTTTGCTGTTGCTTTTCATCACAACCACCACACAATAATTGCGCTCTCCAGCCGGCTGGAGAGCGCAGTTATGGTGTGGTGCTTGATGAAAAATCTGTACAGGGCCGAGTGCTGCTTCTTACCCCATTATCTAGTTGTTGTTGTTCGTTCTCCGTTTAAAAAAGAAAAGAAAAATAGACGGTTTGGAGTGCCGGAGTGGTTTGCCACCTGGGGCTGTGTGGAGCCCGTGGACGAACTGCCAAATGAGTAATTTTCTGTGAAGGACCTGAACACTTTTCCGCGGAAGGAAGGTGTGTATCTGTCTGGAAAAAAGAAGGAGTTGTTGGAAAGGTAAGTTGATCACATTCACACGATTTTCGGATTACTGACAGTTGTATGTCCCATGCGCGTGAACAGTACTTCACACTTTCCTTTTCCCGCGTTATCACCTCAGCCATGCCAGTTTTGTATATGAAAAACTCTTATACCGTACTGGCAATATATGTTGCCGCGTAACGCGTAACGCAGGGGGGTGCGGCGTAACGCGCGACCAGGCTAGTGCGACAAATTTTCGTTGAGTTCGTAACGCGCGTCCGGCGGGGTGCGGCGATCTTTTCATTGCAAAAAAGGCTGAAAACTGTGAAAGCACGTGTACCGCGTGGTGAAAAGTTCAAAACTGGACGCAGCAGGAAGTCCTGCAATAGCAAAAAAAAGGACTGCGGCAATATAGAAACCTGTGTAACGGCTCCTGTGCGACTTTGCATGTAACGCCCTGCGTGCGGCAAACAAGTGCCAATGTAACGCTTCATGGCCTCACTGCGGCAACATATATTGCCAGTACGGTAATAGCACTTTGGTCTTTCATTCAACATCTACTTGTGACCTTCACTGATGAGCTAAGTACTAGTGAAACAACTGTCTGAAGGAGTTATCAGTATCGTGTACGGAAGTTTCCTCGCAGTGGTGATGGTTGTGTGCAGGAGTGTTTAGTCGGCTAAGAGCGCAGTGTAAAGGTGGAGGTGATATCAACATTTTCTTTAATGGCCGAGAGCTCTTTCGCACCCTGTAATGATTCACTGATGAACGTGACAAGAAACCAGTTCTGAACAAATCCTCTCCTTCCCTTTCGTTGTGTGCCGCGCCTTGCGATCATCGTTTATCATTTTACACATACATTGTACATGTCGACTTTATAGGAAATGCTTACAGTGCAATTAGTCGTCCTTGTAGCTCTTTTGAAGATTACTGTAGTTTAAAATGTAAAATAGAGAAGAAAACACATGAGAGCGAGTTATGCAGCAACTATGCACGACTGTAACAAGATGATAAACAGTCAGAAAGTGCCATAATAGGTCACAAAACTGACAGGCTACTGAGACATTCAGCGACCTGAGACCTAGCTCTAGCTCTAACACATCTCCAGTACGCAAACCAACAGCCTTCCAACTTGGAAAGTTCAAGGTTACGCAGGACCGAAGAGGGAAAGGTGAGCGGGACCGGGGTGGTGTGTTGCTTTGCTTCTTCGAATTGTAGTTAGACCGCATTGTTATGTTATTAACTGGTCTCCCCATCGTCCTGTAACAGTCGGCATTCTTTGTTGCCGTGGGATTTAGCTTGTGCACATTTTCGCTGCGCTCACTTTCCCCTCTTCAGTCCTACGTAACCATGAACCTTCCAAGTTGGAAGGCTGTTGGTTTGCGCACTGGAGATGTGTTGGAGCTAGGTCTCAGGTCGCTGAATGTCTCAGTAGCCTGTCAGTTTTGTGCCCTATTATGGCACTTTCTGACTGTTATCATCTTGTTACAGTGCTGCATAACTCGTTCTCATGTGTTTTCTTCTCTTTTTACATTTATTACTGGCTCAGTATCCAAGTAGTTTAAAAATGCCCTTTTCATTTCTCTCCTCTCCTCTGGCGGTGTACAGGGCATTTGTCTGTAAGCATGACCTTGATGCTCCTAGAACTAAGAAGGGCACCACTTCCTCGTCAAATGCACCCTATCAGGTCTTACATTTCCTGCGTCCGACTGGACGAGTGACGAATCTCTGTTTTCCAGAGTGACAGACCCGGTTCTGGCCCTCTGTATTCTAGCCAGGGAGTTGTCTTAGACTTCTTGTTGTACCGTCAGTCGTGTATTCTCTGTTCGCTCCTGGATGTCTTCTTCATACTCAGTCCTCATAAACTTAGTAGCTTATGTTCTGAACTGTTCTTCTTTCTTCTCTTTTCTACTCTTTTTCTTTCTATTTCCAACTCCCGCCCATGGGAGGCCGAGGGTGACACTACCAATAAAGCTCCACACCGATCTGTCCCAGTCGAACAATGGGCACCTGCGGAGTGTTGAGGACTTGCGCCGTCTGGAGCGGATTGCTGTGGACCGTCCAGCATGGAACGCGCTGGTGAAGAGTGTTTGTGCACACCCTCGTCACAAGTAGAAACAGCCATGGCACCCTTATAAACTCATAACAACCATTCTATAATAATATTACTATTTGAATCTTTTAATAATTATCTGGCAACTCAACCTCATACGTATAATTATCTGGCCACCCATTGACCATGATGCTACATGAGGAGACAATATTGATGACATTTTTCCAATGAGACCAATTTTATGACGCTCCATGTTACTGAAGGACTAACTTCGATCATTGGTTTTGTAGAGCCCCATTCTCTAGGAGCTGTCTACATCTGCTTTGTTTCAATGTCCAGCATAAGCGAACGTGTGGATCAAGCATAACTGCTTGGTTGACGCTGCCGCGGGAATGCGTATAATAATAATAATAATACTCCCGCCCATGGCATCCCTCTCTCAGCTCGTCAGCTTCTACCATCTGGGCACGTTTGCAACCCAGAACGCACTTTCGTGGTTCTCCAGTTACCTTGGTGACCGGCAATTCACGGTCAAAGTCACTTCCTCCGTATCCACAACCCGCCATAGCCGCTGGCGTACCACAAGGATCCCATCTCGGCCTTATCCTGTTCCTTCTGTACATCAACTCTCTCCCGCAGACCATCCCAGATTATTGAGGACCACTGTCAAGTTCTTCTCTTTGCCGATGACACGTCCATTGGAACGGAAGTCGCTGCACCTACCACTCCCTCTTCCCAGCATCATAG